GAGCGCATGTCCCTCAACAGATCGATGAGGACGTGCGGTAACATAGCCTCTGCCTGGTTGACAGCGACACCCACACGTTTTTGTTCCTCCCCCGTGAAGACGAGGTAGGAGTCGACGAGAGGACTACAACAGGGGTTGCCCGAGCGCGTGGCAGGGTCCCAGCTGCTGTCTTTTCCCAACTGTTCTTGCATCGCCATCTTCAGCTTGGACACGGTCCCTTTCTGCATGGACGCGGCGGCATACCGCTTAGCACATGGCGTGTTTGGAAGACAATCGCGGCCGTGAGTCGTGCCGACACCAGGGCATGCCCTGTCGTGCACCCACTTGGTACCACTACCTTGTGTGTCCAAGAAGCAGAGATAGTCAAACACGTCTCGGTCCGACGCCTGCTGCCAACCCCGACGTTGTTCTGTCGCCGAAAGTATGAAGGCGTCGAACCCGTCCGCTACGGCGCACTTGCGCTGTTGAGCACGACGGTTAGAAGCGGCCGAGAGGACCTGATCACCACGAGCGCGCAGCGCGTCGAAATCGATCGACACCCGAGCCGCTTGAGGGTCACGCGGTACCGGACGCCCGCGGGCAGGCTGAACACCGCAGGACCAACAATAGTTGTAATGTCCCACGTTTTCCGTCTGGCACGACGAACACGCGACAAACTGGACACAGCCGCCCGGAGGCAGGGTGAGGACCTGTGATACGAAGCACAAGCCATCCACAAGCCAAAGGGAGGGAACTGAGCAAGATGGACGAGAGCCGCATGCTGCATTAACAGGGTACCGGTGTCAATCAAAGAGATTGTTTTTCTTGAAGAGCGGCAGCCACCTAAGAACAAGAAGCAAAATCAACCTCGTAAGCTACCATGGACCACCTCGGGTACTTCCACTCTTTCAGGGACCCGTCTGGGCAAGGCCACTGAAAATATCCCCCCGCATTAGGCGGGGAAATCAGCAAAGACCGCACTGCCGCCTGCTGCACTCGAGGGAACCAGTAAGACCTAGAACCCGGTACAACAATAACCGCATGCGCGTGGCACTCCGCAAGGTGTTGCACTACGTGGCCCGCCATCACCGGCGGCGGGAAACAATAACCGAATGCTCGATCCAGAGTACCTGGGCGCAACGACACGTCTTGGGCGAAAACATCTACACCCGATGAACCCTCGCAATCATAGCGCGAGAAAAACGGCAGAACAACGTCCGACTCCGGGATACGCTGAGCCGAAGCGTCGGAGGCCATGAGGTCGATAGTAAACGGCCCCATGTCCTCCCAGAGAGCCTGACAGGCCGCCGGGTTGAGCCTGATGATGGCCTCAAGCGAAGGGCGAGAAATATCATCAGCGACGACATTGGCAGCCGACGGGACCCATTTGAGGGACAGCATAAACTTATACTCGACTTGTAGCTCGAACAAACGAACAAGAAGTGCATGCGTTTCCGGGTCGCGCGCCCGCCCCCTGTTGAAAGATCCACACACCGCGGTGTTGTCGACGTCGATGAGCACGTGCGCCCGCTGCAAGGAAGCCGGAAAATGCGCACAGAAGAAGCGCAACAAGTGGTACAACGCAAACATCTCTTTCTTGTTAATATGTTTGTGTAGCCAATCGTCGGGGAACACGCCACCTGCGCGGTATTGAGCTCCCTTAATGTTGATAGCACCACCCCAGCCAAGGGAAGACGCGTCTGATGATCCGTCGATTTTGACGATGAGGTGGCTCGCTCGCTGCCACTGTCCTTCGTGTGAAGAAGCCGTCAGCGACAACCACTTCTGGAACTCTTGCCGTAGATCCGCGTAAGCCTCACGTGTCAGATCGATCTGACGCTGGTTGGTTTTGTCCATCGCGGAAAGGACGGCAAACATGGCATGCGTCCAAAGCGACGACGGCCGAATCGCCACCGTCATGCTCATGCACTTACCCGCAACGCGTTGCAGCGTTCGGTAGGACACGCCCCCATCGGCCAGAGCTGTCCGCAGTAAGCCATGCAGCTTGTCCAGCTTCTCTTGCGGAATCCGGAAGGTCATCGTCTCCGAATCGCAGATGATGCCGAGGTATTGTAGAGCTGTGACGGGTCGAAGCTCGCACTTCTTGAGTGACAGGAACTGTCCGCAGAAGAGCGAAGTCAGCATGGCGACGTGAGTCGCTTCCCCGGCTGCCAACCACTGATCCCGCGCCGGCCGACCATATGTGGCCAGAAAGTTGCTCCGCCAAGAATCATCGAGGTATGCGAGAGAAGGGGCGCCTTTGGAACGCTGAAAGGCCGCCTTCGCTTCGCTGAGAGTATGGTAGACGTACGGGCTGAGGCTAAATCCGAACGGGAGGACGCACCAGCAGTAGCCGACGCCCTTGTAGGATAAGCCGAAGAGAGGCCATGACGATGGCCGCAGAAGAACATGATGAAACGCTGAGGAGTCGTCGAGTGACGTCATGTGGCATCCCGACGACGCAATGCTAGCCACGCGCGCTACCGTGTCCATGGCGAAAGGTATTTTTCGTGTGCAGCTGTTAAGCGGTCGAGCGTCATAGATAAGACGCGGTTTGGACGTCTCCACCGACAAAGCCATGATCATGCGAGGACGCACCGGACCGGTGGAGCTCTTGACGTCAGCCCACCGGGAAATGCAACCTCTGGCGAGCAAGGATTGCATTTCCGCGTCGACGAAGTTGTCAAATTCCAGCGGCCAACGGTGGTTGGAGAAAATGCGCTGCGGGAAATGATCAACATTGTAGGGGAGAGACGACGACTCGCCTCTGAATTTGGGAAGCAGAAGGTCATAAAGGTCAACGCCATCCCGGATGTACGAAGTCAACGTATCTCGTAAGGGATGATCACGGAGAATGCAGTCCTCCCAGAACCCAGCATGGGCTCGCACGAATCCTGGGACGAAACCCTTGGAATCCCACACGGGAGCCTGCCATGGAAAGCGACGTAATTCGCCTTCCATCGGGTCCCGCGTGACCTCGTCCAAAGTAGGAAACCCGCGAGAGGCCGTGGGAAAGGCGCCCACTTGCGCCCACTCGGACTCATCTGGCGGCAACAGAGGGGCCGGGGGCATGATCCACTCCACACTTTTGTGGCGGAGGTCAAGCGTCCGCAGCCAGTTCTCTGCTGCAACCTACCCGTGAGTCAAGTGTAAAGAACAGTTCGGAGTGGGGCGACACAGACAACAATTTCGAATTTCGAACCAAACCAGGAAGTGTCTATGAGAGCATTGGGCATGCGACAAGACAAAGGGGCGGTGGCGGGGCGTCGGGAATACAGGGATCAAGATCCCCCCCCCCTCCCCTACTCTTTTTGTTTTTGTTTGTTTTTTTGAAGAGGGAACCTGGGCGCGGAGAAGTGACCGCACGGGTTCCCGTCAACATATAAAAGGCACACAGCATGGTATACATATTTCTTTTCGGGGCCCAATTTGTATGGCCGCGTGTGAAATTACGTTACAAAGCGAACGTCGATTCGATGCTGTGTATCCAGGCGTACCGTCGAGAAAACATGACAGCGCACGGACCAACTAACACAACGTCTCGCCGGGCTTATCCAAGTGTAAGTCTACCTACTCACAGACGGGATTGCTAGCTACGGCGAAATTGGTGTGCATATGTTTTGGTGTTAGTTGGGCGTGCACCACGAGGTACGTCAGTACTTGTCGCCCGCCCGCGAAGTGGCCACCTTCCTGGCGCGCGCCAAAACTACCGTGTAGGTCTCCGCCCCTAGAAGGGGCGGCAGCCGAGTGGCCACCTCACCCAAACGGAGGACCAACTCCTCCACAGTGCCCTGATCGCAACCGAGCCGGTTGCGGTCGAACACCCGCCCAAGGTCCAGCGTTGCCCCTGCTCCCGGCACCAGCGCCGTGTAGCACGGCAGAGCGTAGGCCGCCGTGGTCGCGTCCACAAACGCGGCCGTCTGGCGGTCGGGCCGGGGAGGCAGCCCAGGTGGAGGCGGGGAAAGCGGTCCCATCGGCGCGCTGGCAGCCGCTGGGGCCGCGGCAGCCGCCGCCGGGGCAGCAGCCGCTGAGGAAGCAGGCGCCGCCGCTGAGGAAGCCGTTGTAGAAGAAGCAGCCGCCGAAGCCGCCGCCGTGGAGCGCCGCGTGTTGCGAGGCGGCATGTTACGACTCTCAAATATATATCTTCTCCTCGATAGCTCCGGCGTATTTCGGGAGAGAAAAGGGGGACGAAACTAGGTGGGGTCATTTTGCAACATCCTTTCTGGAATATCTGACTCTTCCCGATTTCGTTCCGAAATCTAGATGCGTCTCAAATCCGAGATTACTACTGTACCCGCGAGAATTATGCCCACTTTCCTTTGCGTGCCACGTGAGAAGTCAAATTTAGCTGAAATTGGAAATTTCCTTCTGTCTTCTTCGTCGTGTGTACATGTAGTTGTGACCAAATCCCTAATAATCATCCTCCTCAAACGAACGTACGTATCCAGTTTGGACGTTTCGGCGTTTACTGCACTACACCATTACACTGTACATGATGCATAGGGACTGCAGCTGTGAGCAAGGAAACGCGCCGAGATCAATGAAGAATGCGCGCCGTCCTTGTCTGGAGTCCGCACATTCGACGGGTGAAGCTGGTGAAGGGCACAAGATGGTATGGATGATGAGTTCCACCAGTCAAGAGAGCGCGGGGGGGTAGATACTAAATAGAACAAGAGCGTCAGCTCTGTGCGCCTCACGTGCGATGTTGGCCCCGCAAATTCTGCATTGAAACAACACGTTCTTGCCCATTTGAAAACCCCGAAAAACAAACGTCGATTGCGATGTGTTTCAGACCCAGATACGAGCCTGCCAATGACGCAACCCAAGAGCGCGATCGGCACAGCGCGAAGGCGGCATCCAAATTTTGCGGCCAGAACAACGTTGCCCTATGTACCGAAGAACAAAACAAGATCAACTGACAAATACACCACACACTTCGTTAAGCAACGATCTGTCGTTCTTCTATCGGATGAAGGAAGATGGCGATGGATGGTTCTACTTGCGCAATACCAACTGGACCACAACCCAAGCCAACTCAACGTTAGCTCTTTATGTACTCGTTGACAGCGTTTTCACAGACACGAAACGCTCCTATTTCTAATGTGCTCGCACTTAACAGAAAACTTCCTTACCGGACTATTGCCACGGACCCCATCTCATATCAAAACCACAGAGAAATGCAACATACCCAACTATTTCCACGGATCATCCCTATACTAAAACCACAGAGAACTGCATGTGTCACGATAAACCACTCTCGAATGAATCAATTTTGACGAAAGTACTTGGATTCTCAATTTCCCGTTATTCCCAGACATCAACCCTTCGCAGAATATCCATACCATATGTTGAACAGGACGCTTTACGCATCGTCTATACCTATGGTCCACGGCACAGTTTCAGGACACAGAAATCACGAGCAATGGGAGCAAAATGTTCCTTGTACACCCGTTTGCCACCATCCTGGTGCTAGATAGCCTATACCAACCAAAACGAAAGCTTAGACAAAGAGCCGGGTGACGCTGAGTTGGGCTAGACCGGTAGATTGCTGAGCTCTAGCGCGAGGTGCTTCATGACGCTCCTCTCCAAGAGGCATAGCAGTCGCGGATTCTCTTCCATCATCCTTGAAAAGATTAGCAGGGGGGGGGGGGGGCAACACAAGAGCAAGAAAAGGTGGAAGAGGCAGCATGCGAAAGGAGTACGTGCTTTCGACGCCCCGAAAAAAACTCCTTGTTGGGAGCAGAGACGTGTGGGACGAGAGGCCACCACGGCCAAGCCTGGTAAGCAACACAACGCACAAAATGTCGAAACAGGCACTCCGGTTGGCAACAGCAATTTGGTGGTTGGCGATATGTTCGCATTGACCTCTGCCTTCCAGAAGAGACGGCGACGGGAAGTGGCCATTCAACCATATATCCCTTCGATTGGCCTCCTAACTTCCTCTAGATCGGACCGACACATGATCAGAAAGGCACCCCTGCTGGCGAGTGACGGTCTCATGAGAGATTCGCTTTTCTTCGGCGTATCTCGTCTGTCCAGACGTGTAGAAAAGAACTCTGAAGCAGGACCTGGGCATGGCCGTGCCTGCATCACACTCTCTCCCAAGGTAGCACCACCCACGGGCAGGACATGATCGCATCACTCCCCAATGTCCTGTGCCTAAATGTCTTAACCTCCTTCCACAAGGGTCAATGTACAGCAGTATGACAATGCGAGGAGGTGGTATCCAAAAAGCGCAGCAGCGATCCTAACGCGTAGACCGAAAAGCTCTGTTCACCACGACCTGCACAAGGAGCACACGTAGAGCCAAACCTCGAGCAGTCAAGAAGTGTGTGGCATCCCTCTCTATGAATCTGTTGGTTGGTGGGGCGACGGCCAAAGGTGGGATGAAATCCCCGGACACATCTAGGCGGCAGTGTCACACTGTTGAAACGACAGCACAGACCCTTACAGTCGCTGCGATGACACCTCTGGCATATTTGATGAAAGAAGGTGACTTCGACAAAAAATACACAAGGCGGTACGAGCCAGAGGGGTACGGTACGGTACGGTACAGTTTAACGGCATGTCCTGAATAGCCGTTGCAAAATCTCGCGGCACGGTTGCACCTCAGTACTCAAACTACAATATGACTGCGAAAACGGTTTAGCGGCGACGCCCTGAATAGGGGTTGTATTATGTCGCGACACTATGGACCGCTGAACCGGGACCAAGACGGTATGGGTACTGTACGCGGGCGTGATGCATCAAGCGTGACGAGTACCTGTCAAGGTGAGCTCTTGGGAAGACCGTCACGACGGCGTCCGTCACGGCTATCGCCGAGTGGGCCCGTCGCTCTTCGAGCTGGTAGTCCACGTAGCCGAAAATAGCGCCGACGTTGAAAAGGACCTGGCCAAAACACACGCAGGAGAAATACCGCTGATTGTTGTAGACGGAAGTACTATTGGTGCAGGGTATAATCAGGTCACATCGACGGGCTCAACAACAGCAATTACCTTTCGTCACGACTCTCGCTCACACACCCCAGCAGAAAATATCACTGGTCACATCGGAGTGCTAGATAGATAGCTAATTTTAACTACATGAATCACAGCGAGAACGGGGGTCGGCCAGTTCTTGTGATAGCATGACGCCCCCAAGTATTCTCTACCCTGTGAACCAAAATCAACCCTTGGGCGGCTGCAGTCGAGGTCTTCGGAACAACAAGCGACGTAAGAAAGCCAAATGTGCGGGGTCCAGCGTGCGGAAGAGGTAAAATAGTGTTCGGCGCCGACATGACTGGACGAGCTATCGATTCCATCATCGGGAGATGAAAAATGTAGCAACGATCCTGCCGGCGAGGGCAGTCTCCCACCTCACGGCTGATGGCCCATCGAGAGTATGTATCACAACAGAGACATCACGATCGACACACCTGCCGCCCCCAAGCCAAGCCTTCACCTTAGCCCTAGCCCCCAATAGGCCATGACAAAAGCATTATGGACCATATCAACTTGTCCACGAACTGCCGTCGGACATTCGCACGCCAAGACAACAGATCCCGGGTTCAATCGCGTTAACTTGTCCGCCTAGACACCAGGCCAACAGCCCATCAAGCGAACACAAGAAGTGGCCACACAACGTCGATAAACCTCTACCGGCTATTCCCACGAATATTTCCGTCGGACGCCGCCAAGACCATGACACACTATTATCACCTGTCCCCCCGCCCTTGCGACGCTGTTTGCTCTTGTTCTGTCCTCCCGTCCGCGTAGCTCCTGCGGCCTGGAAGACCCGTCGGGAGACTTCTCCACCATCACCTGGATGGGACAAGCGAGAGCCACGAATTGCGTGAATGAAAAATAGTCTTGCGCGCGGGTGTCGCGCTAACAAAGTGTTTCATCCATGTAACGTCCGTGCCGGTACGCGAGCATGATGCTGAGTACGCTGCGGTGGGATTTGGTCTAGCCTTTGCCAAAGAATACTACGGGGCAAGCCACGGGTGACTGGGAACAGTAGGGGAGGAGAGCGAGAGCGCCCAGGTACATTCGGACGTGCATCTAGCGTAGAGGAGGTATGAGACACCAAGGTGCTGATTCGCCCTTGTACTGCTCCGGTCTCCGGCTGTGAAGTGTCCAGGGTCAAACAGTCGTAAGAGAGGATACGTTGCAAAACCTTGGACGGTTTTAGTTGCCTGACTCTCAGTGGTGACGCCACACACTTCGCTTTAGGATAAGCGATACAGGCTAGCCCAGGATGTTGAGCAAGGATCCGGGCTACGGTCGGGTTGCTACCTCCGGCAAAAGGAGACGATCACGGGAATGTACGGCAGGCAGGCTGGGACAGACGGTTCTGTCCGCGACAGGGCTAAGTTTCCATCTGCGATAACGTTCGCTGGGATAGGAGAAGCGTCAGTGGCAGGATCAACTCCCATGCGTGAGAAAAAACTACGTAGGAGCAGGGCGAGGTTGACGGCCTACGTTGACGATTACCTGCCCATCCGTGACCACATAGAAGCTGTCAGCCTCATCTCCGGGCGAGAATATCAACTCTCCGGCATGGTAGTCCTCCTCTGAGCAATACCTTGCGATGGCGGCATTGAGACGTGCGCATGTGAGAGAACGCAGGAAGGCTTTTGTACAGAAACGACCTTGACAAGCTCCCAGGACGCCGGCAGTGCGCTGGAAACGGGACGTGGGCCATGAATAGCACGAACCAGAACATGATTGTGGCGACAAAGACAATGCACAATGAACGAGAAGTCGACACCTTTCAATCTCGCAGCGAGAAAACAGTAAAAAACTGTTCAGCAAAGGACGAACTCGTTTGTAGCTATAGAATGTCAGTGCTTCGTGCCAGGGGCACATGACGAGATCCATCTCCACTCCAACAAGCAAGAACTCGAAAGGCCTCGCCAGTCAACTATTTATTCCATTTATTCACTCCGGCACACGGCCACGTTGCGCGGAACAATAGTGGATCCCTCGTGATTCTCCGCCGGGGAAACAGTAGAATTGTTTTTAAGCAGCGCGCACATCGTACGCACCGGGCACCGTCGCTTACAAATAGTCAGCAATACATGCTACTTACTACATGCGTGCCTCCTTCGAGTGGATTCCTTGGTGATGGTAGTCCGGACGATGACACTCATGACTACAAGAATGTAAGTACTATCTTCCTCGTGGACCGGGCCGGAGGCGTATTGAACTGGGTCCGGTATTTTCGTGCCCCCACTGCGAAAGCAACCAAGCCGAGACGTAAGCACGATCCAGGCCAGGTCACATCTCGACGAGCCCATTCGCCATCGTAGACAAACCAAACCCGTGCCCTTTGCTGTTGCTTTCAATATTTTTGTCAGCTACACCCATATGCGACCTATCCGCAACACTTGCATTCCCTAGCCAGCCACGCAATGAGCACGAACGGAAGAACCATGATTGAACACCACGAGCCAAAAGGAGCTACCTAGCCTACCTCTCGATCCCGTCGACAGCCGAAGCAGACTCCGGCAACTCCAAGACCTGCCTCAAGAGGTGCTTGATGTTAACCGCCGTACTCCTGGCAATGACGTTCAACAGCGGCAGTCACCAACCAAGCGGAATTCAAGCACAAGGAACGACATCATCAGTCGCGAGATATTTATCTCTTGGTCAGCCAACGTCGGGCGGGCGCAGGAAAAACGATTGCTGTTGTTTTCGGAAGTAGGAAGGACCAAGATTGTTTGCATGCAAAGTCTGTCCGATAACTTGCGCAAATTGGACGCACCGTACAATTGAGAGGTGTGTTATACGTTTCTAGTGCAGCGGGCTCTACCCCAACCTGTTACTGGCAAACATCCGGACAGTCAATTCGGGCACGACGTTGGGGCAAAAGTCCAAAAGAGACTGGGAGCTGTTGCGAAGCAAGCATCACAATAACAGCTCCACAAACAACTAGCCCTAGCATATACACAAACTTCTCATAGGGAGAAGTGGCATCACAAGAGCAACAGCCACCACCATGCGCATAAAGCTTTCTCCACGGAAGCATAGGCATCACACCAGCAGCAACCACCAGCAGCACGTACTTGAAGCTTTCGCGTCTGGAGAAGTGGCTCGTAGCCCAGAAGCTGGCATTCCCGTCGTCCTCGTAGGCATCCAGCGAGCGGATCAGCTGGGTCTCGCACCAGTCTACAGCCGTGAAGAAAGTCTTGAAGACGGCGACATTGTCGAGCCCAATCGCCTTGTGAATGCTGCCAGCAGCAACGACCACGAGAGAAAAAAGGCGGGGCATGGGGAAATTAGATACAGCAAGAGGAAAAACAACCATCGCACACTAATAACATAAACGTTTTCTACGTACACGGCCCTCTAAGGACAGGAAAAACAAATCAATGCCTCCACATCAGTACCTGCACCCCGCCCCCACCAGCACACCAACAAGAACAGCGACATCAACGGCGACACCAACGACAGAGACTTTCAACAAGCGTACAACCAACGATTTAGCACCACTGCTGCCCGTCAACGTCGTTGCTGTCGCCGGTCTTTTCCTTGACCGCAGGTTGCGTCTCTGCGTGAAAAACCTGGCTTCCCTCTCTTGGTATCACCCGCTTTGCTTCTTTGCGAGAGAAGCATCCCATCAGAGATCTCCGCCAATTCTGCAACAACAAAATGTCTTCTCTGCAGCAGTATTTCTCAGAAATTGTCGCTGGCTACGCGACATGACGTGTGAACTCAAATACTCCCTGGTGCTGTGGGCACTTTTCTTCTCTTGGTGCTGATGCGGTGCGTGCCGCCGCCGCCGCCGCCACAACTGATGCAATAGCCACACTTCCACAAGCCCGCGCAGCAGTCACGCCGTGCAGCACATGCGACAACTATTTTCATTCACTTTCCACTCCGGAACATGTTCGCAAGAATTACAAACTTCGGGCGCTGCCCCCCAGTAGGATTGTATTACCTGAGGAGGGTCTCCATCCTCTCCGTCAGGCCTGCGTAGGCTATGCAAACCCCGTTCGCCTCAGCGAGACGCTGGAGCGGCAAGAAGCACGTCCGAGCAGCGCTTGCATCGATCTGGAAAGGGGGTACAGTAGGCCGGGGGGGTTCATCCTTGGCATGAGAGATGAGTGAGCACCATGCCGTTAACGGACGTGGAGTACAACCAATGGAGAAAAAAGGTGCTACCGGTTCACGAAAGCAAGACCAGGAGCGAGAGACCCGGGCATGGCAATCGTGGCAGAAGGGTAGCTAGCAAGCGTAACCAAGGCGTGGAAGTAAAAAGCATGACAACCAACGCTTCGTACAGCAGAACGCTCGAGCTACCATCTTGACGGAGGGGGGGCGCGTAGTTGCAGTTCGTGGACACTGTACACCTGACTTCCACCGCTGATCGTTGTTTGGCAAACAACAAAAAGAGGGGTAAAAGGTTTCGACACGGAAATAAAAATACCAGCCTGGGCACCTTCGTTCCTTGGGGCACGGGGAACGTGTAAGAACAAGCCCTGACGCTTGGCATGTATGGTAGGTATCCTTTAACAGTACTTGGCTGCTGAAAATCAAAGACTTGAAATGCCTCGTCTTGGCCCGTGCTACTCTACCGTGCGTCGACACTGCCAGTTGTCAGTTACAGATCGACGCGGGGACTCACGTTCGTGACCTTGGAGCAGTCGAGCACGATAAAGCTTATCAGCTCGCCTTCCTCGGCCGAGTCCTGCTCCTCCTCCTCCCCCCCTGCAGCCAGCGACGCCGTACCCCCGCTCACGTTCACGGCGCCCCCCGCCGTTTCGTCCCGCCCCCGGCTGTCTCCAGCACCCAAAACCTTGCCTGCGTCAGTCACCGTCCCCGCCTCCATGGCCGCTACCGCGCCACCGTTAGTCCTCGGCCCCGCGCCGGCTGCACCGTAGCTCGTGCCTCGCCGGGACAACGGCGACCGACTGCTGCCGCCCCTGAGAGGGGAGCCCTCGGGGCTACGATCTTCCAAGGCGGTTCTGCCCCTGCTGTTGCCGTTGATGCCGTTTCGGCCGAGAAACGGCACGGGGCTACCAATGCTGCTGTCTGAGATATCATCATCATCATCGTCGTCGTCGTCCCCTGCGAAGCTCACGGTCTTGGCGGGCTTCGAGAAGACAGCCCTGCCGCCACTGCTGCCGCTCCCACCGAGGTCACTGCCGGCACCCAAACGCCCAAGGCTGCCGCTGCTGCTGCTCGTGTTGTTGTTGCTGAGGGTGTTGGCGGCGGTGGTCGTCGAAAGGCTGCCGTGCGAGCTAGGCATGATAGTTCCAGCTCCGACGATCAACGGAAGACGCTCCTCGTCCCCCCCCAGGCTGCTCGAGCGGGAAGCCGCGGATGCGGCGCGGCTGCGAATACCACCGCTGCGGGTAGACCCGGGAGACCTGGTGCTGAGGGTAGACCCTGGAGACCTGTGATGACCGCGGCTCCCGGAGCTGGGCGGGGTTACCAAGGCCGGACGATTTTGAGGCGGTAAGAGAGGGAGGCTGTGTTCAGCGTGACAAGAGGATGCGATATTTTGCTCTCACGTGTGGCATCCAGTTTCTGCCATCCGTGTGCCTCACGAGAGTACCTGTTGTACGACAAGGGACAACAAACTATCGGAATGCTTCCGCCGACAGAAAAGAAAAAAGTTGAAAAGGCGCTCAGGTCAAGGACAATCCTGAATGAGAAGGGTGACACAGTAACCAATCATCGTTGCGATCATGTGCTACAACAGCAAGCCTTGTGGCAATGTGCGGCAGCAACAGCGTTGTGGTACTGTGCTACAAACGATAAAGTGCTCTACATTGTACAACAGCAGCGAGCAGCGTCGTAACAACGCACTATGACAGCAAGGTTTTGCTGCCCCTACAAGCCGATCCTTCTCAAGTGTGGAAAGAAAACACCATCTACCAATAGACGAAAGCACAACATTCAACACATTATAACTCACGCTCGGGCGGTGAAGCACTTCCGGAGGGCCTTGTGCACCTTCCCCCACCACCGCTGAAACGCCTCTTTCCGGGTAGACTGAGAGCTACCCCCGTCCGCGCCGCCCGCGGCGGCGGTGGCGACGCCCGGCGTCGCTTCCTTGCCACGCTTACCGACCGGAGGTGCGGCAAGACCGAGCATCGCCGTGACCTGCGAGGGGCAACAGAAAGGCGAAAACCGGATTCACAGGTGTGAAAATAGACATTGACGTGATGGGGGAGGGGGGGGGGGGCTACGCGACAGATACCTCCACGAGAGAGTGCCACACGTATGAGGAGGACCCCAGATGACATGTCTGGTTTAGCACAGTCGTACCGAGGATGACGACCACCTCTGGTTAATCCTTGTGAAACGTGTTGTAGCCTGGGCGGTCGAAAACTCGCAATATCGCTCCGTCCCGGCATGGCAGGGAGGCGAGGTCAATGGGCTACCCACTACGCCATGCGTTTGCATGAATCCACCCCGTTCCGATGCAACTTTCCGACCTTCTCTGCTGCCACCGTCACCCGTCAGGGTGCTCTTCAGGGGCTTCCCGAGATAAAAGAACCGGAACACAACCACCAAAACAGACAGACTGATTCCACGTCCCCCCACCCTCACTCTCCCTTGCCCGCGCATCTTCTACCCCTCCACCGGCATTGCAGGGATGCGATATCTTTGGCCAACCTATGACATGCGTCTACGTGAGAATTGCCCCACCCCCGAGGCTAAAACTTCTCCGTCCTCTCGAGGACCCGTGATCAATGGTCTAGCCGTTAACGCATGCAAAACATAAGAGTACGCCCCCCCCCCACGCCCGAGGCCATACCTCCCGCAGCACTTGCTGGGAAGACCCGAAGAAGAGCTCCCCCCTGAGCTCCACGCACAGGATCTTGTCTCGGTGCACCTGCAGGAGGCGGCGCTGGGAGGCCGGCCTCATGAAGCGGCCCCGCTTGTGGACCCTCTCGAGAGTGTTCCTGCCACGCATAACAAGTAGTCGGTGAAGAACGCACCCCACGTAGCCCGAGGCCCGTTCCGTAGTTTGGCTACGCCACAATCGACTATATAGGTTATAGCTTGGGCGTCTTTACCGAGCACCTGCCCTTACAGTCAAGTTTTTCAATTGACAAGCTTCTCTGCTGAGTAAAAAAACAGAAAAAAAAAACACCACGGTAACATGCATCCACTGGGTAATGCCCTGGACCGCTGTTGACCGCCTCACTTTCTCTCCGAGGCGTAGCTGATGACGAAGATGGCCGTGGAGAACGCAACTCCGGCGACTAGCCCTTGGTTGAGCCCCACCACCTGGATAGCGACGAACTGCCCCAAGCATGAACCCAGAGAAGGGGAAAAGGAAGGGGTAGGTGTCAGGGGTCATGTCGAAGCGATGCCCAAACGCCACAGGCAACAAATGCTATGCGTATTCAACGGCCACTGCGTCCTATCGGCGTCACCGAGTCGGAAATCGCTAATGTCAAGCATTTTGTGGATTCGGGCCATGACCGGCTAGCGCGCCGAGCACTTCCAAAGGAGCACTTGTCCCAACACCAGTAACATCAACTATTGGACCGCGACATCAGCACAAACGTTCATAGTAAGTTCCACATCACGTTTTCATCAAGGTCAGACCGCGACATCAGCACAAACGTTCATAGTAAGTTCCACATCACGTTTTCATCAAGGTCACGTGCTACAGCGAATCATGTCAATATCAAGTCAACACGCATCAACAGCGCCGACGTCATAATCAAGGCGACTATTTCGCTGAAAATATCAAACCGAACACCATCGCGTAGAATCAACCCAAGCACTACCGTAAAAGCCGTTCAGCCCAAAAACAGAACATGCATGGAACCAATAACCACAACACATACACGGGCACGGCACAAGTACCAAAAACCACGGTGCTTCTGTACCAAAGACAACGGTACATAGCAAACCTCGCTCACCGTGGCGAGGAGCACGAAGTACTCGTAGGCGAGCAATTTCTCTCGGACCTCCCAGAGCCACTCCACAGAAAGCTCGACAGCTGCCGTCGTCAATACCACGATCACGCCATACAGTATCATCCGTCGGCATGGTTACCATCGGCATCAAAGAAACAAGGATGTGAGTCAACAGCTATGAAAGCAAAAATACAGAATAATCAAGCCACCAATCAGATTGAGGGAAATTATTTCGGGGAGCGAAGCAAGACGATTTTTTGTCGTAGAGATCCTTCGAATGATGCAATGAGTACTGCATACCCACTACTCCATAAGAACTTCATCGACCAACTGCCTTGCGTGGGGCCGTCCGACCCGCTCAGATATTATTTTCTCGATGAACAATAACACAAAGCCGCTTAAGGTTTGCATTACGTGAAACCGCGATGACCTTCTTACGCTGTACTTGACAAAGACCCTGGACGTCCAACACTACAAGCGGATTATCCTTTCTCCGAGGGAGTCAGAACCGACGAAAAGCAAACACAGCAGTGGGTCGGGAAATCATGATCCTCGAAACAATCGGTCGACGCACACACGCAAGACCCCGAAAGACACGTGACAACGATGAATCGATCATTACATCCTCACCGATGAAAGACAGCGTCGCCGCGAAGAAGAGCAGCGGCACGAAGGCCATAGGGTCGATGGTCACCACGCACATCGCCAGCTCGGATACGGCCACGAACCACCCTATCAGACGCGACTGGCACCCCGTCCTCCTCGTAAACAGTGTCTGGGAGAAGATGTAGCTGCAGCAAGCGCGCGCGCACGGTGAAAAGGAATGACAAATGGGTCGAGTTGGGGTTGTGAGAGTGTACCCTGCTGGTGAGGGTGGGAGAGGTTCGTTTACTATCAAGATGGCTGTGGTCGGAGAGGTCTGTCTAGTATCAAGATGGCTGTAGTCAGTGGGTGTGTACTACAAGTACTGAAGGGGGGGTTCCTCGTCATGTACCGCTTCAAGCAACCCGATGTTACACATTCTCGTACGCGTACAAGCCACAAACGGGTATAGGAATTGCTGGTTTATCACCAATTTGCAGGCAGCCACTACGAGAGAAGGCACGGGGGTGGGGCATCAGGAACAATGTCACTCGCATTCATAGGCAGACTGAAAGACAAAACGGAGCTGCGTGCGTCGACAACAAGGTCGAGGGGCAAAACCAACGACGGCACGGACGTAGTCGTAAAGCAGACTCTGAATAACGCAATTCATGTGGAAACAAAAGACAGCAGCAACAGGAGCAAGAATGACACAAATGAACCCCAAAATGAAAAATGAAGATGATGCACGAGAAAGATTGACACGATCACGCAACTGCCGTCGGCCGGTGCCTCACCTTCCGGTAAATCCTCCCGTGAGACCGCTGAGGATGTTGGACCATCCCACGGTGTTGAGCTCCTTGTTCGTGTCCAGCGGCTCCCCCATGTCTGACAAAAAAAAAAAAACGGCAACGTGTCTCAGCGTGTCGACACTTGATACTTACCAGTCGATGATACATGAAAGACTCGAAGCATCGGGAGACATGTTGGGAGAAGAGAGCCATATCATGTCCATCAAACATGACCCCAGAATTGACACCAGCAGTATACAGCAGTGCACTCCACGCACTTCCAGACCTCCCCCCCAAGTCGGCGAGGCATCGGTGCGAGGACCGTGACTCGCCCGTTTGGTTTCTATGTACTGTTTGATACATACATGCGAGGAAACTGTTGGTGTTTATCGCACAACCGTAGAAAACGACAGGCTGCAGATGGATTTCGATACGATCTAAACCCGCAAGGAGAGGTTGGGGCTTGCTCCTCTGTCCCATTCACGGGGTATCTCCAACGACTCTGACGGGGTACATAATATCTCCGATAGTACTGCTGTACCTCTAATGATGCTGATGGGATACATAAATCGGATGGAATTAATGAGCCTCTCTGGTTCGTCTGGTGCGACTTAATCGGTCAGCTCCCCCGGGTGGTGACACGCAACAGCAACAATCACAGCCGCAACCCGTGCGGCGCGAAGGAGCACGAGAGTAGGCTCTCACCGATCTCGATGGCAGCCACGTCGAGGCTGGAGCTGAAGGCCACAACGAAAATCATCCCTTTTTCACGCGAGTATGTGGTCGGACAGGGCAGTGGGCAGCACCAGCGAAAGGGGGAGAGGAGAGAGGGGTGAAGCGACGATGAATGAGTGTCGTTACCGTGGGCGGTTGCGTCAATCTATGGTTAATACTTTGAAAATGTGTTACCAAGACTCTCGTTGTTTGTACTCCCACCTGCGAGCCTTTTATCGCGGTGGTTGAACCTCAAAATGATCGTACTTTTTTTTTCAGTTGAGGTACCAATCTTCCTCATGAGTCCACCGCCTGAGCAGCTCCGCGGCTCGACAAGTATTCTACCCCAATCGTCTGGGAAAACGAGTGAGCAAGCGTCCTTGGATAAACCGTGGCCTTCATTATTTCCTACTCCACCCGCGTCCTACTCTTGTCTAAACTGACGCTATCCAAGGGTCAATGGACCCGTGATCTTTTCAAACAACCGTTCTCTCCACCCCCGCCATTCCGGACGAGTTGATATTTCGTACTTCGTGAGTTTTTACCCATTCAGACGGGCATCAGTCCAAACCTCGTCTCGATCAAGTCGGCCAATTTGGCCTCTCACCTATCCATACGGGCATGAGGCCGGGAAGGACTGTCCAGTGAACGCGGTCGAACCGAAAGAGGCTGAAGGACCATGACAGCTCGGCGGGTTGAGTGATCGCCCCAATCAAACCCACATCTCTCGCGTTCTGCAAGTTTTCGTCGGCCGGTCGTTCGGGCACAGGTTAGGCATAGGGACAAGGGTAACCGGTAGAGTACGTAGAAAAAGGCCTACTGTACCACCCACTGGCGATCTACATGAACACTAGCTTGTTGAAAAACTACACACTCCCTGCTATCGCAAATCGGCCGCCGGCATCACGAGCCGTCAAGGGCATGGTGGCTGGGGTCATGCCGCAGCAAAACACCCGTAACCCTCCCGGATAAAAACTCAACCGACCGCTCCGAGAACCGAGTACTATTTAGTGGGTGGCAAAAACTGTCTGCAAGGGGCTATGTAGTACGTAAATAAACGCCGGCCACCTTGATTAACTCCACCACCACCTCATGACCAAAACCGCATGTGAAATGCCCCAAACGGAAAACTTGCGGAGAAACTGCTGCCGATACGTGCACGCCAACACGCCGTGGCCACACGCAACAGTGTTTTGGGTAGATACGAGCTTTTGTCGTGCGGGCAGGCTGTGATATCTCCAACCAACCTGCATGCTCTCTCCCGAGAGGGCTAGCGCGATGTAGAATACGGCTGGCACGGCAAGCATGGTAAGAGGGAGCACGGCGAAGTGTTGGTACCGCCGGCTGACCCAGCTCCACAGCACGCCGATCACCAGGCACGGCAAGCACAGGAGGAGATCCCTTTAGGTTTCAAGCGTGGTTAGCAGAGAGACACGAAGCAAAAAAACCGGCAAGCAGGAGCATCAGCAAAACACACACACACAATCAGTGGCAACTGGGAACGGAGAGACAAACGACTTGCAGCAGCAATACCGGCAGCAAATAAACTTAAGACGACACAGACGTTTGAAGCCTCAGTCCACGGGCGAGCGCGACAGGTGCTGTTAGACAGTTCGATGTTGGTAGTCAGAACCTCCTTTCGGCAACAGCTCTCGCTTCGAGGCGTGGCGATATTCAACAGAAGGCCACAGCCAAGCTCCACACACTTTGAGGGCCTGGAAATATAAAGTTCACGGCTCCGCACTGTGTCTGTCGCCACAAGCACCCATGGACAGCAGTGAGGAGACTTTCCCGCAAGTTCAACGTTAGCAAGCAACCACCGATCCGTTTAGATTCCCGTCCATCTCATCGTCGTGCGCCCTCGTGCAAGCCGGCTTAAGCTCCGCCAGCGTACTTGCTGCTATCGCTCACGCTACTGTGGGCGCATGCGGTAGCCACGCACCTGCTGTTGAACAGCATCCCCCAAGTGTTCAGCCCGCGGATATCCTTTCCCGTTGACAGCCCCAGCGAGGCCTCTAGACAGAAAAGGCCGATGAACGCGAGGTACCCCCCAACCTGCCAGAAAAAAAAACAAAAAAAGGCTATCAGTGATATAAATAGTGTGAAACCGCCAATGATGCACGCCTCCTCCGTTGAAGACATCGACGACATAGGCGCACCGCAAAAAAAGAAAAAAACACACGTCACGGATAGCACAATGGGAGAGCGGTAAACAAACAACTTCGCATCATAGGTAGGACCACAGAAAGTATCATTGATAGCATCATGGAGAGCGGGGGCGCTACCAACTCCGCTATCGATCACCACACCGAGCCGTACACGTTTAGATTGAAAAATGACAAGACGGACCATCGTGTACGCATCCATCTGAATGCGTGAAACCTCACACATTAATCGCAGGCTTCCGGTGAAGCCTCTCGTGGCCGAAGAACGGAATCACTTCTCATGGGCAGTCCGCCACCACGGCACCCACAAAACCAAACACATACAGCCACCGACGGCAAACTTACCGTCCCCTAACACCCATGGCACGCAAACATTAGTACACCCCCCCCCCTTGCTCGTTATCTTAAGCAGCGTGTCACCATATGAACCGGCAAAAACAAAGACGAACAACAACAGCCAACCTACACCCATACCTCAACGGTCTAACAACGCAAAACATGACAACGCCCCCGCCTCACTGACCACGGGCATGGGCAGGTAGGCCACGAATCTCGCGAGCTTGAGCTTGCCAATGACGACCAGAGCGACGCCCATGGACGCGGTGGCGAAGGCTGTAGCCGCCAGAGCCGTCGCCACGGCCTCCTCAGCGGTGCCTCCCGCGAGCAACACCTTGACCGCAACATCCGTCGTCATCCGAGACAAGAAAATCAGGCCCGCGTCCTGCACAACGGGGGAGCAAAACAAGAAACAAAAAGGCGGTCTTCTTTCGTGAGAGAGCGACATCGCGGGGTTGCTGGGTACGCAGAGAGGCTATGGTGGTCAGGTGAGACACAAAAGCGCACAGAATTGAGGAGATGTTTCGCGGAGAGCGCCGGGAACACGTTCATCCAGCCTCATGTCCTCGGGCTGGATGGCGCGCCTCGAAAGCCCCTGAGACATGTCGCATAGCCGCGGGTGACGCGTACACATGACGCGTGAAGCTCGTACTATCGTGGCGTCGAGGGCCCGAAAGGATCTGCACAGAAAGATGGGAAAAAATGTGGCGGCGGCACGTCACTGCTTATCACGTTGCACAACACGTCACACCTGAACCTGCCCGATCGCGAAGGGTAGCGTGCTGACAAGGGAAAATACCGCCTGATGAACCATGCTGAGGGGCACCGTGAGATGGAGAGCGGCACGGCGCAGGCACGGGTGAGTAGCAAGGACCACAGGCACAGGCGATGGGGGCGGGTCACCGTCGTCAGCCACACACACGAAACCTTCATCAACGACAGCCGTAGCGCCAGCGAAAGCAGACGAGGCAAGGAAAACACAATATCTCTCTACGTGTCTTGTTATCTCGTTGCCGTCGGAAAGTGAAGCAAGCTGGGCCTCCGGAGAGCGCTGGGACACGCTCTGCATCTTTCTCGCCGCGAACGTCCCTCAAAGGGGTTGTAGGCAGAGGCTCTGCTTACTTCTCGCCAGGCGGGAGGCATTCCCAACACTAATGCATACGTGCATACGGCTCCGATTCCATTTCCAATTACATGGTCTGCAGAAATACCGCAAACACCCATGGATGTCGCCTCGTTACTTGTACTGTATCCTCCTTGCTGCCGTGATTCGCGCGCGTGTACCTTCGCGATTGTGGGCACACATGTAAACTGTGGAGCATTCGTCTTCTATGAGCCAGTTCTCGAGGAGGAGCCAAAGCCAAAACATCAACTCGTCACGTATGCGTTACGCCCGTAGCCCCGCTTCGCATCCAAGGCTTCAACCAAAGATCTAGGTCCAGATGTCCGTTCAGCACACACCTGCTGAAGAGCACGAGCTTGGCGAGGGCTGGCATGTAGGGCGCGAAGACCGGGTGGCTGTTGCACGTCCACGGTTACGATACGTGTGACACGTACGCATGACATAGCATCAATGCCCAACACCCGGTTACAAGAGGCGAACGACGGCACGAGAGGGGACAGCGGTTTTGTTAAGGAAGGATCGATCCGTTCACCAGGCGTATCCAGACTTATCACTTGTCGTTCTTTCGTAGTCGATACTCGAAGCAGTTTCACACTTGAGACTCTGGCCGTGTGCGTACAAATGATATCGCATGTCGCAGAATGATAATCACATTCGCCTCTCGAACAACTTGACATGACTATCTCAAACCCTTAAGAACATGAACGGTCAAGGCGAAACAGAATAACAATAATATAACATTGCTTGAACATAACTGTACGCCAACAAAAACAAAGAACAAAATCAACATTGCTGCCCTCCCCACACCCCTCGTATCCATACACCAGCAATAGGTTTCATGAGAAACACATGAGCCCAACCGGAACGTGTTTTTGCCAATACGACCAAAGCCCACGAACCAATTGGTTCCAAGTTGCGGCACGCCAAAAATGTTTTGGTGAAAATGTTAGGCTACTCCACGAACCTTTTTGATGCCGACAAGCTATTCTCGGATTGTATGATGATGTAACCGCCACATCGTCAACGGGACGTGCACAAGCAGGAACTCTGAACGGTAAATATTGGACCAACTGTTCAGATAATAAGTGCGTGGAACACATGTTGTTTTCCCCACGGTTTCACTCTCAATAGCACGACGGCTCACTTAGTTTGGGTGTTTGGTGCAGCCAACCCAACCCTTAACCTACCCGGCTACCCGAAACGGTCGCACAATCATGGAGCCACACACACGGGCAATCCAACAGGCCAAAAAAAGATCCACAAACACACACGCGCGTGGAAATGGATCCACAAGCAAGGTGCAATCCAACGCGTGGAGATGCATCCACACACGCGGCCAATCCAACACGTGAAAGCACAACCACTGCCATCCAACGCGTGTGAAAACCTTCTTCCCCATTTTGAGCATGATGTCGCTACTGCAGGTAGGAGCTCACCGGAAAATGATGGCCGCGTATCCGTAGAGGATAGGCACCGCCATCATCGTGTTAACGCCTCCGTAGGTCAGGATTTTGAGGGCCGCCTCCTTACCCCCTCCTTCCGCGGCCCTGCGGGGAGCATCGCCGCCGTCCTTGTTGTTGACCTCTGCCAGCGCTCCGTTTCGCGAGTCAGGAGCAGCATCGGGGGCGGTCGTCGCAGGGATCCCCCTGTCGGCAGAGTGTGGCGACAAACAACTCTCTATTGGCGATGAGAAAGGAGCGATGCCGACGGCGCGAAGGAACGGGGCCGAACCGGGACAAAAATAAGAAATTGTTTGATGCTGCACCCGCAGAGGAAGAGAGAGCGTGAGAGAGACAGAGAGACAGAGAGACAGAGAGAACGAGAGAGAGAAAGAAAGCGATACCATGGCCTTTTTTAACAGCGTTCTTCGTTATTAGCCGCACTGAGACTGACGTATCTAATAGGCAATCGTGCGTGGTGTAAAGCGTCCATTACCGTTGTGTCGCTGTCCTTGAGATATGAGTGCGTCGTATGGGGTCAGTTGATAGTTTATGTGAGCGAATATGCGTGATCGGAGTTTCGTCGTTTTCTCGTCCACTCCGTCATGAATTTGGGGGGTGATATCGTCTCATTTGCAGTTTGGGGGAATTGCAATTGATAATCGACTTCTGGATCCATGCACTTTTGCATTGTTCACACGGTTTTGTTATTGCCCGATTTTGTCTATCGGTTCCTCTTTTTGCGCGGTCGATGCGAGAAATAAGGAGACACAACATCCAAGTCATTTCACTACAAATGGTTGAGTGGGGTCTCTTCCTCCCCTCCCTCGGTCTGTCGGTCTCTCCACCCCCCTCTCTGCATCCTCTGCGCCTCTCCACTTCTCTCCATTCTACGGATGGCAGTGAACCATAGGTGACCAACCTTTAGCACCCTCCAACGGGCAGTTATGGGTTGCCCATGCGTTACTCTGGACGCCACCACGTCCTCAATAGAAATGCTCAATAATGCCTTCGCCGGCAATAACGTGTGTCTCGGAGGGTGAATCGCTTGGTCTGACTACCAGTTTAGCGGGAAAGCTTCATTGTAAAGACTCTATAATAGGCAGAATTGTAATTGTTGGAGTCCGGTTTCCAGCCGGTCCTCACTTTCGCTGCGTAGGACGTCAACACATGCCCTTCGAAATTAGTGTCGAACGAGACTCGACTCCGTGCGTCCGCGAGAACCACGCGCCTGGAAAATATTTTTGCACCGGATTTTCCGGGAATTTCCGGGAAAAAAACTGGCTAAAACCTCATCGTAGCCCGTTGGATTGCGGCATCACGTGGGTTGGTCGAGGAAAGTTTTGCCGAGTTCAACGATGTTCTGGCCTCTCTCAGTGTCGGCGCTCGCAGGTAAACGGTGTTCAAGCCTGGTACGTGCCGTCATTGGAGGCATGGACGTCGATGACATGTTGCCCAGAGAACTTGGTGTGGTTTCAAGAGGAGGTCACAACAGGCGTCTGAAATCTTTTAGCGAACCGAACCTCAGCTGTTTCTCACTACAGTAGAGGTGCCGGTGAATAGTACCGGTTGCCGGTATAGTGCCGCTTGAATAGTACCGGTTGGTTGCCGGTAGTGCCGGTGTTTTCGGCTCGCACACACTGGAAACCAAGTCGTTCTGCACTTTGAATAGTGCCGGTGTCCGGTTTGGTGCCGGCGAAATTTCGGGGTACACCCCGGCACTAAACAGGGACCTCTACTGTATTTTGTCAGAACTACAGCTTGGTGGCGATATATCGTATGCATACAGCAGTTATTTGTGTTACAGTGAAGAAAATGTGCTCTCTGTCAGTACTCAGTCATCGGCCGCAATCTCCTGAACTGCGGGTTACAGCACTAGCTGATGCCACTAACTCCTTCCGTTCAGGGGTTGACGGTTCGTGGCGGTGAGCACGGCTGTGACAAGTGTTGGATTCCGCTCGGTTCCGGCGCAGATGTCGGGCTGTATAGAGAGGCTGCTGCGACCTTCGATATTAAAGATCCAGTGGCAAACCAGTACCAGCACACGCACGACGTCTTTTCATGGTATCCTGTCCTCTACTGATGACGACAGTAGAATGCACCACTTATATAACTCTGACGGGAACGTTGTTTTCTTCTTTTGTGTTCTTGGATTTCAGCATAAAAAAGAGCCAGCGCAAACCTGACTGCTGTGCTTGGTTCTTTATCGCGGGGGCTAACTGGGTATCATTATATAGCTCATCTTCCGAGCTACAGAGGTGCATTGTATGGATAGGAATGGCAAACGACAGATTTCTGGATGGTGTTTGAATTTGAGGAACTGATGGCACATGCAGCGTATATGTAGTATCAACTTTTACACTCTTGAACCAAAAGGCCGAAACATACACGTATGCATAGGTGGCTGCCAGTTTGCGGTAGGTATTGAGAGGCGTTCCAAGTGTTGCAGAGATTCAACTTGCCAGAATTCTGTAGGACATGGAAAACGACAGAATTCTGGAGGGCGGTTGAAATAAAGCCAATGATTGCACATGCAGCGTTCAGTATCAACTACGAAGTACGCTCTTGTATGCATACGGCCAACTCACGATGCAGATGAAAATGGACACGAAGAGAAACGGAGACGAGGGGCGCGCAAGTCTACACCGTATATATCCATAGGAGAGATTCAGCTTGAGAGATCGGAAAGAAAATTCTCTGTGAAGCACCAGTCGGGTGTAGGTTGTTCTCTTTTTGCGCACCCACCCGCAGCGCTGCGCGCCGCCAGTACGCTCTTCTCGCTCATTCAAGACAACTACACGTAATCAACGGCAAATCTTGGTGAATCTGGCCGGTGTTCGATGCTGCCAACCTTGGTACCCACCCCGTCATGAGCCGAAAGTTTGTTTTTTTTGTTCGTGTCTTCATGTCTCCGTCGTTTGGAGACCGGCGTGGTTCCGAGAACGAAAAATAACAATATCGATTGTTTGTGTGCGTGTGTCTCCGTGTCATGTGCGCGGAGCTAAAAAAGCTGCGTATTTTACACGAAGCCAGTGGACAACAGCAGTGCTGCGCTGTTCGGGGCCAGTGGACAGCAGTTCGCCGAGACAAGAGCTGTAGCCTGCATTAGATCGCGGGATCGTTCCACGCGCGGAAAGCGCCCGCGAAACACAGCAGTCAATCTATCGTTTGATTCCAGGCGAGTGCGCTGTAAGTCAAGTTACAGTTTCGCGAATTGCTCAACGAGCTCAGCCCTCCGCACAATACCCCCGATCCCCTTGTAAATGGTAATGGTTGAGGGTGAGTTGCATGCAGCGGTACTGCTGTGCAAGGTTGCCGCATGAGGGCCGCGTTAGAAAGGCTACTCGTAGCGAAGCCCACAACGTGTGCACATGGGTTACACGCCTTGAGGGACCTATTTTCGCACAAGCGTGACGCATATGCAACTTGAAAACGAAAAGCTCACCATGCAACCCGCCCGTCTCGAAAACTTGACACTACATGCCGACGGATCCTACACGTGATATCCAGGGTTTCGCTGCACTTAAGGTAGTGCTTCCAACTAGAGGACCGCGCAGAGGACTACAGAGATGAACACTATCGAGATGTGGCTGTAGCAAGTAGCAAGAGGGCGTTTACCAGAACATGATGATGGCCGCGTATCCGATATGAGGGCCGCTGTCTTCGAGTCTCCTCCAACGGTCCCGCCGGACGTACCACTTCTATCCATATCCCCTCCTGCCGATCCGTTACCCGGCGAGGTATCAGCGGCCTCGTGGTCAGGCATCCCCTCGTGCGAAGCAGCGTGTGAGACACGCAGTTGGCCTGTTCAATGAACGCACCGAGATGCAAATCTCTACTTCTAACGCATGTTTTATGTTTGCCGAACAACACCCACAACATTTAAGTCTCTCCGGAGATGGGGGATCAGCGGACAGAACTGTGTTGCAGCAATGGAGGGGGGTCCGTAGACGCGGTCTGCCTGCACAGCAAACACTGCACATCAGCACAGCGCCGAGCACAGCAGCCAGCGGTGACCGAGCAAGCACCGGACACACGGGTGCGCGCTGTGTGTTGGGGGATCTCTCCCAGCATAGCGTCATGTCCCGGTCGAAGATTTACGGAGCCTTGAGCTTCATGGTGGTCCTGCATGATGGTAGCGGCTTCCTGGGGCCGGCGCTACGGGCAACGACGAGCGATTTGTCGTTGCTGTCGCGATCAGAAGCAGGTCTCCGGAGGACCGGCTGTGTCAAGCGAACATCTTCATCCAACCTTGGCGTTGCCCTGTCGCGGTCTTGCCTCTCCAGGAGTGAACGAGGTATGGTAACTTGCAGCATGTGTGCTGTACGAGCCTCATGTGTCCTACGATGGTATATTTTTGGGTTGTGTACCCCACATGCACATCATGATCGAGGCCATAGGAGCATGTTGATGGGGACGACATGCCACATGTGCGTTGGTGCTGGCTGCACGTTTACCCCGGAGGAAGCGTGATGAAGGTTGTTCTTTGCCTCACACAGCCCTCTTATCGTAAGGGTAATGGTAACGTTCCTGCCTTAAATTGCGCCTCTGCAACAAGGCGTCATGTACCGCGCTGTATTGCTGCTCCTTGTAGACAACTGCTGTACTGCTGTAACCGCTACATTACAGCAGTGCATGCATGTTCTCCCCAAGCAGGCCGTCATGATGCTGTCCTTTGTACACACAGCAGATGCACGGAGTGGGTAGGGGGCGGTTGAGTTGTCGCATTTGCAGGCGCCCATTGCACACACGCTCGTTTGATGCTGTTGTGCAGTGGAAGCAGGGCACTGGAAGGCACACGGCATGGACGCGCGGATTGTACTTGACGTACACGTCCTTTCTCTGCCAACAACTGCCGCGCCGACTCGAACCCGTTCCACGATGAAAGGCCACCACTTTTCGTTGCATGTTTCTCGTTGCGATCAATTATCTTCCCACCTGAGTTATGGATACTACGCCTCTAGGTACGGCTCGGCAGAATTATCACTGTGCGTTGTGAAGGTATGATTTATGGTTTCATTATTTTAGCTTGATTGTAGGCCGTCCGACTGGAAGTGCATGATCAGGTAGTATCTCGCCTAAGGCAAGCGTGCAATGAGTTCGCTGGCGAGCTCGTTCCGGGAAAGAGATGCCATTGTACCGGGAGTAAGGAGGATGCCCAAGAATCTGGCAAGCAACGAGTGACTGAGTTCCCATTCTCCGGCCCCCCTCCCCCGTCTCTCGCGTACTGCAGGCGGCATTACAATGATGGCCAAGAAGCGGCGAAGGCGGAGGGTAGACGGAGGAAAATCAGCAGCGAAAACCCCGCCGAAACCAGCCGTACCCGAACCCGAGGTGGACGTGGACGGGGAAGACGAGGATGATGAAGATGAGGGTGGGGTTGTGATGCCGCCGATGCCATCGGAACTGGGGGTGGACGCTGTGATGACCGCACAGGTGCGCCATGTTTCGATCGGCGCCAGCAGTTCGTATCTCAGGCGTTGTCGAGCAACCGTTGGGCCAAGTTTTATCTTTCTTCTTTCCGGTCCTATGCAGGTTTTGTGCTTGCTGTGTATGCGAACGACAGTGACCGCCATGTTTAGGCGTACATCGCACAGACCTCCTGTCTTGACGGGGAGCTTCGATTTCTCGGTACAGCAGTAGGGGCCCGGTTTTTTTGGCGACCCCCTGTTTAGCGACATGCCCTATTTAGCGACCACAAAACCACGTCGCACCGCCGCAACCCAGAGTATAACTGCTAAAGACCATGATTGTTCGTTAGGTTTAGCGACCTGCCCTAAATAGCGGCCACATTTCGTCGTTACACTAGGGGTTGCTAAACCGGGCCCCCCACTGAAGTTTCAAAACAGTGAACAGTGCGTGACTTAGGCGTAGAGTGTTTTGTTAGGCTCTCTCTGACCTTACCAACCGTCCGACTCACGAATTGTGCGGTTTTTGTGCGCTGCCACTTGTCATGCCTGCACAGGTGACTATTAGGCCGTCACCAAGGTTTCATGCTTTGGGACTTAATTCTTGCTACTATGTTTTTGGGGCTCCATGAAATCTGGTTGAATCGCTCGTGGCTCGTGCGTGTGTGTGACACTCCGCAGGATTGGATCCAACCATGCCGAAGCATTCTGCGATTGCAACCGTCCTCTCTCTAGCTTTGGTGCCATACGATCTATACTTTTCCTCGGAGTGTTGTTCTGTCGCTAGACCACTAGTATGCCCTCTTTGCGCTGATACATGGCATGTTGTCGACGGTGGTCCAGGGTAAATTGACCACCACGACTCATCTCCCCGTCGCCATTGCCCCCCAAATCCCCCCCTCCCTCCCTCTTCTAGTTCTCTTTTTCTCTCTCCCTTTACGTCTGCGTCTCGTTCTCACTATTTCTTCCTCCTATGCATACTCTGCTTTGTGTTTGTCTCTCGATCTCGCCGCCTATGCCTCTTTTCATCTCATGACACCCCTCTCACCCCCCCCCGCCCCGTCTGCCGGTGGGCGTTCCTCCCTCTCGGCCCTTCCGCTCTACGTCACGCATTCTCCATCGAGCACAGAAGTTCCAAGGCGAAGACATGCTGTCGCCAGCAGCGTTCCAGCCCAAGCCGGAAGTGTCCGACCTGGAGATGGCCGGTGGGGGAGGGCTCAGCGGCAGGGATCTCCTGGATGAACCTTCCACAGAACGAAAGGTACGGTAGGTGTTTGCTGCAACACGTCACCATATGCTGCGTCAAGTCTTTGCTACAATCCGTCATCATACGATAAGTTGCGTGATGTGATGGTACTCTTATTGTTTCCAGAGTACGCGACCACCACTTGAGAACCTCCTTTTTTCGCTAACCCTGTTTTGTGTTTTCCTCTGTGTATATTTCAGCAGCTACCAATGCTTGTACTTTTGGTATCGGCACAGGATCATGTTCAAGTTCTGATGCTTAGATAGGTTCGAACCGTAAATTTCAACTACAAATGGCGCCGTGTACCACATGTATAATTGTATGGACACCACCCACCGGCGGATCACCTCCCTAGGTGATAGATTTCCACCATTCAAACCCCGCCGAGAAGAAGCAAGATGGCAAGTACTGCTGTACCACCAAGTAGATGTGCCGCACTGCTGGCGCACGTACCGCATGGAGGAATGGATTGCGAAAGCTCTCGTCACCCGGAGTGTGTATTGAACCTACGGCGCATGTTTGTGGGCATCTAGAGCGAGGCATCTACGGCATCAACAGATTCTCCTTTTTTTTACACTCTGCTGTCCCATGCCCCTTCCTTTCTTTTTCGGCTTGTCCCTTCGTCTGCAGAGGTCAAAGTACAGCGGGTTCGATCTCGACGTCGAGCTGCCCATGGAATCGGAGAGCCGCAAGTCGGGCAAGGGCGGGCTGGTGAGTTGAAACGAAAGACACGCTGGCTATCTGGCTATTATTATAACTACCCAAGGCGAAGGCAAGCAACCGGTGGAGCGGGGTCCTGGAGGGGTGCCCGTATTGCATTGCGTACTCTCCGGTGTTTTCGTGCACGAAGCCCCTTCCGACGCACCGCACGCCGGATGTACTGGTTTGTATGCGCAGCTTGTCGCTTGTCGAGTACAGAGGTTGACCGGGCCAACACCCGGTGTTGTGCCCCGGGTCGAGCTGATTTCGGTCACAGGAACGCACCCCTCCGTGTAGCCTCCTCGTTGCCACAGGCGTTTCTCAAGAGTTGAGCGTGGTTGTGTCTCACGAGAGAGAGAGAGGGACAGAGGGAGAAAGAGAGAGAGAGAGCGTTTACCCCGGTCCTTGCCTGTCCTCCTTAGGCGCGCCGCTCTTCATGCTGTTCATATTCCGTGATACAATTTCGCAATGAGCGAGGAGGTCTTCGTGCATGGTTGTCACCAACACAATCACTTTTTTCGTGAACATCCTTTGTCGCAACCACTGCTGCTGTCGCCATGCACGCTGTCCTTGACGTATCTCCAGGGCTCCGTGATGAGCCCCGACGGCGTGATGCCGCTCCCTGACTTCCGCGAACTGGCCAAGAAGCCCCGCAAGAAGGACCGAGAGCAGAAGGCTACCAAGGTGAGAAACGGGGAAACTATCGGCTGCGCTTTTGAGGATATTTATTGGTTGCAATGAAACGCGGGGAGAGTTGTTTGATGTTTTTGTTGGCGATTGGTTTTAGGGGGACATACCCGGCCTGACGGACATATTCTCACCATTATGATAAAAATCACCCCCTGTGAATTAGTGCTTTGATCGATTGATGGACTGGAGCTACGATGCCGTTTCGACGACGATTTTTACAACGAAACGTGGTGTGGGGTACGTACGTCATGTGTTAATTTTTCTCGCAACTATGCATACGTGGGAGTTGAAGGTTGAGTACTCCTACCAAAAGAAGCACGCGTACACATAGCATACGCTAACGGTTTGTTGTTGCCCGTAGAGCAATCGAATCGTTGTCAGGTTCAGACCAGTTTGTGGTGTTTGGAGGGCAGGTTTGGCCACCATGGATTGTCCTGTACTTTTCAAGTAGGGCTCCTGTCGAAGATTGGCATTTATCGAGCAGGGTCGGATCTCATCACTCAATTTGAACGACGTCGGGTACCGTGTGCTGCTGTACCGTGTGCCTTAATCATGAAGGTGGATGAGGCTAACAAGGTGGAGCGTGGCAACATGGCAGCGTTCACGAAGCTTTTGGAGCTCGACCCTGAGGCAGACAGCGAGGAGGCCCTCTTCACGACCGAATCGTGAGAAATTGAGATATGGGTTTTGTTCCGTGGAAAACGCAGCGGAACGCAGCCCCTTAAGAATTTTTCGCGCTTGGTTTACCCCACCATCCGCGCCTCAAGTCTGCTGTACCTACTTCAGGAGTGGAGTGCTAGCAAAAACGAAACAGTTTTAGTAATTGGTGTTGTACAACGTACGTGAAAGCTGCTAAACGGTGCATTGCGGTCGTGTTGCCTGCAACAAATGTTTCAATATCATGTCTGCAAGCAAATCTATCCGGGGTATCCAGCGACTGGGAAATAGAACTCACTTAACAATACGTGTTCTGCCCGGGATTCGAACCCACGACTTGGACTGCTTTGTTAGCAACCGAAATCAATCCATTGGACCAGTCATCGCTGCCTGCCCTTGACGGCCCGTGTGGAAGGACAGAGGAGCACGAGAGTTTTGTTCGGCTGATGTTATCTTGAATATAAACAGGCTGTTGACGTGGATGTACAAAGAATATGGAATCCTGTTGGGAAGGACACTGTTGTATGTACTTCGAAGAAATAGAATTTGATTCTCAGCGTATGATCACTGCCAGCGTTCATCAACTGAAGAAATCACCGGAGCTTCGGAAGCCGCTGATGTGATCACCCCCCGGCTTTTGTGTTTGCCTCCGAAGGTACGACGCGTTCTCAAGCGTCCTCGGCGAGGGGAAGCCCTTTGTGGGCATCGCAAACTCGTATCTGCAGTCGGGGCACACGGTGCTGCTGGCGCTGGTGCTGCTGTGTGGCTTCGTCGAGATCCCAGGGTTCCCTTTGACATCGCTACCGTACGACGTGCGCGAATTCCTCAAGGTGCGTGTTTTTTTTTAATGTTACATGTAAAGAAACGACAGGATTGAGCCAACTCGTTCCGCCGCTCTATGCCGCCGCTTTCTTGTGGGCCCAAAGCTTGTTGTGTGGCGAGGGGGACGCACGCCGGGATGGAAGGGTACCCACCTGTCATCGCTCTCGCACGACGAGCCACGGGTCCCTCAACAGATGCGGTGCTTGTTTGGGGTCAATAGCCGCTCTCGTATTCTTCTTTGCGAGGCGTTCGCGGAACAGTTTTTCACGCGTTCATTCTTGTGACGCTGGGATAAACCCCTGCTCGTGCTCCCCATATAGGATTATGCATCGCTTGATCGCTTGACTCCTGTTGCTTTGTTGAAAGGTGCGGTGGCTTGGCTTGGCCGTGTCCTCTCCCATTTTTTGGCCAAGTCTTCTCCCGTTGTGAGCTCGAGGCGTTTGTTCTGGTGGGGCTGTGCACAGAGCACCCCCGTCGTGCGCTCCGATTTATGTTCGTGACTTTGAGGGGACTGTTTTTCTTCCAACACAGTAGTCTCAACCCACCTAAGCTAAGCTAATAAGTTACCGCCCTCCTCACCCTGCCTCCAACGTTACCTCGGGCCGACCCTGACCATGTCCTCATGTTGTCCTCCATCTGTTTGTTGTGCGTGTCCGAAGACGGGGTTGCTTGTTACATACGTCATCAACGCTGGCATCGCGTATCTCAGCTACCTGGAGGCCAAGAGGATAGGACAGGTACAGTACATACGCCTGAACCATGGTAGGCCCTGGTGCTCGTGCCTGTCGATGTGATTGTTTGCTCTGGGTCGGCAACATTCATGTTATGTTCCATGACCTTTTTCAGCACATACACCGTACATGCGCACACATATCTTGTGGCCGTTACAGTACGTGGTGGATGCTGGAGTGCGATCGTGTTCGATATTTGAAGCTGTAACTCATGTTTGACTGGCCGAATACACCAATCCCTTTCTTGCGTCGTGCTGAACGAGAAACGTATTCAATCGCCTTTGGACACGCGACGAATATCTTGTCGCCTTGGTTATTCTGCATGCGCGACGATTAGTGTGAAAAGCATGGACCAACTTTTACCCGGAGTTGCCCCGGGGCAAGGCGAGTTTCAAAAGCCACTGTCTTGGAACTGCACACGGTAGGGGCGGGGCGCCGGGCATGCGTACACATGGGTTCACCCGGAGCCCTCCCGCGCGTATGCTCACGAACTTCGCTCAAGCGCGAATAACGCCCGAATCATGAACGACAACGTGCTTCGTTTTTCCTCATACTCTCGCTGTTGTCGCTCATCACATGCAGCCCGCCGGTTTCTGGGCCGTGAAAGGGTTCGTGTTGGGAGGTCTATCTTTCAACGAGCTAAGCCAGATCGAGCCTGTAAAGGTCAAGCCAACGGGAGGCAGAGAACGCCGGGGCTAAGGATAAGGGGGGCAGTTTCTGGTGGTTGGTGGGCGGCGAAGCTCGATATATGGGCGGGCTGAACTCGTGTCCTATTATTGGTTGCTGCCGATTGCGTAGCTTTGATACCGCAAGCCTCGGTCACCTGCTTTGCCAGTGATTTGGGGTCTTGGGGCTAGAGGACCTGTGTCCTACGTTGCTGGCGATTGCGTAGATCTCATTCCTCAAGCCTCAGCCACCTGCTTTGCCGGGGATTTGGGGTCTTGGGGGCTAGAGGCAGGCCATCGATTGAAAGGCGCGAACCACGTCTTGTGTGTGTCGTTGGCCGCGCTTTCGGGTCGGCGTTTCCACTGCTATCTGTGAACATAGAAGGCTCTTTGCCCGGTGCAACAACGGGCGTTCCACTGCTATTTGTGAACGTAGAAGGCTCTTGCCTGGTGCAGTTTCCACTGCTACTTGGTGAACGTGCAAGGCTCTTTGCCTGGTGTAGCATAGCGGAGGCAGTTGCCATGAGGAGTGTTGACAACACGGCGTCTTCGAAGAACTTCTGCGAAGAAACACACGGGGGAGGAAAAACTACAACAACGCCGCTGACCGCCTGTAGATCAGAGCTGTAGTGGGAGAGGTTATGGGGGTCGTCACTCTCTGCTAGTCGCGCGGCGATCAGTGAACCTGTACGCTTGCCTCCAGAATGCTCTGCCCAGTAGCTGCTGTAGGCGACCTCGGAAAACTTCAAGTAAGTTGGTTGTTGCGGACACAAGCTTGGTGCGGTGGGGTTGAAACGCCATGAGCACGTGCATCGCACCTCGCCGAGTTGATGCCGATGGGTGCTGCGTCTTCGCCACCACCAGCACCGAAGTATTTGGCCGTCGTACCATACCGAATCGATCAACTACAAAGGTGACACCCGTCTACATAAAACGTGATGCAAAAACTGGTATTTTTTCCAACGTCGTACAGCAGTATGCCGACATGGTACCACTGGGTTAGAAAAGATCGGCGAAATTTTTCGGAGTTCCCCCGAGGCCTTCGTGTGCAAAGGCAGCCGCCGTGACACCTCTTAGCAGACCCCTCTCAACTCTTGCAATCTAACCCGGACAGAAGAACATCGGAAGCTTGAACGAAGACATCGAGACGTCAAACAAAATAGTCGACGGCGAAAATGCAGTTTGTATGTTTTTGCCTTCACGACCGTTCGGATAGACACGCAATCAAAGATGCGCCTTCACGACGAGATACGGCGTCAGTCGAAGATCTTCCTGTGTCACGCTCATGGTTCGCACTCAGATTTACGAAAGACTCCTTTCCAGTAAAGGGATGACAACGGTCACAGATGTGTGCTTTCAACCAAGGCTACCGCCATTGCTCCAACACAGCAGTACCGCCACTCCGAGGGGCTTGCTTCGCTCATCATCAAAGATATCGCTCGCACGCCAGGCCTGCCAGAAACGGCGACACCTCTCTCACGTCTATCGCGCACGGAACGTCCCCGCAAGACCCAACAAAACTCAGGGCTGCCCGTATTGGAACCAATGACCTGGGAGGGATCAGATTGGTGGAAGACGTGAGCACGACCAAGAATAGCAGCACAGGAACAAAACGATCGGAAAGGGGGAGCAAGTTGGTTCTGGTGCCTTTATGTGTTGGTAGATAGGCGTGCGATACGCCGCAGCAACAGCGGTGGTCCACAACAATCAAGTTGGATGAACCATCGGTGGGAGCGACTAGACAAGTATCACGCATCACGTCCCTTGGTTCGTGATCAACAGCAGCAAGTGACAAGGATGAGCACGCCGGGCTCGGCCAAAGTCTGTGCTGCTGAGCCGAGCTGGCGCCTTAGCGGCATACCTTCTGGGCGATGTTTCTCGGCCTGTTCATCTACGACCGATTGTGATGTCAGGGGTTTTCATGTCGAAACTGTTTGTATAGCAAGAACACCCAGCAGAAGCGATTCGGGGGGTGATTGGGGAATGGTGCGCGCGATCAGCTACCAACACAACGTTCGTGACCATACCTGCCTTATTGGGGTAAGACTACTGCACTCAAACAGCTAGTCGTCTGGTTTGTAGCGAAGCTGGGGATGAAACTCGCAGGCCATGATGAGACCGAAACATCAGTACTCAAGATAGCCCACGTACCTTGCAGGCACCCTTAGCCGACCTTCGCCACTGACCGCATCCCAAGACAACACGTCCACAGGGTAGGCCAGCGACCCAACCTCGCCATGCAAGTCCTTAACCGCGGCGAGTATGAAGGTCTTGAACGCAACGTCCGTGGGCAGGTAGACACCTTGACTGGTGGCGGCACTACCCTGCGGTGCCTGTTGCTGCCGCTGGGTTGTCCCTCCGCCCTTGACTTTGCCTCTCTTCGGTCGCTTCGGAGTAGCTTGTCGTGTGGCTTGAAACGTCCTGTTTGGGGGTGATGCGAACGCAATGAAGCCACTATGTATAAGAGTCAGTGGGTCAGGAAGGTCTTGTTTTCTTTCGTGAGGTTTCACAACGTTGAACGAGCATCAACTGAATGAGGATTAAGTCAGCAATAACCTCTAGCAATAATGTTTTCACAGACCAGGGCGCTGCACGTATCCACAAAGGCGGAAATATGCACGAAAATGATTTATAGTTTCAGAAAGATGAGGGTAACGATGTGTCGCTTTACATAGACTACAGTTGCAATGCGGTTGCAATCTACGTGCATGTGTTGGTGTGCATACCGGTACACTTATCTAGGTGACACAAGATACCACATCCCCTGATTTCAAAGGTCGTGTACTCCACGGCGAAGAGGATGTCGAAATGAACCATACGTTGACGGAAATCTCTCGACGAGGCGGTTCTAACGCCGCCAAATTCGGCACCGCCATTCTCTATGCTGTGGAGCAATCGATCTTTGAAAATCGGGCCAGGGAGGTGTGAAATCTTAGTACATAAGCACCTACGGTACAGGCATGGTCTCTTCAGCGATAACGGCGGTGCATGAATGTATGCAAAAGGCCCATATTGTGCGTGTAGCAACGTACAATCAATAAAGCACGGCAATGCATGCATGCACGCAAGTATGGTTGTTGGTGAAGCACCCAGACACAGCAGACTTCGGTACGGCTGGCGATAGCATTGCCCAACAACAAGCAACCGACCTCAGGCAAGCACAAGCGGCGGGATTCAAAAGTTCAAAACGTTGGCAGGTCCCCACTCACAACTCACAACTGCACTGCGATGAAGCAAAAAGCGGCTGGCAGCGTGTACGATGACGCTTCCATCGTCCAAGAGACTGTGTCTGCCCTGTCCGTAGATCGCTGGAGTGGTAGCCTTGAGTGTCTCACGTCTGGTTCGTGCGGATGATGGATGCTGGCAAAAGCCGGTGAATCCCAGGGGAAAATTGGAAACCATCCCCAGGGTTTCAACATAATAGGAAATTAGGTTCGGGATTTCGGTTCCCACCGAGAACCAGCCGATGATGCAAGGATGCTGGATGCATGTGCGCATGTGCGCGGACAGGTAGCTAAGGGCGGCTGCCCCGTGTAAGGTACGCTACCTCCGCCGCAGGCAAAAGAGTCATACCTTCACCTCTCTGCCCCTTCATAAACCACGGTTTGGCGAAACTGCCAACCCAGCATATAGCAGCACCGACTCTCTGTACGTCATTCATTCATGGATCCTCGAAAGATAAGAGTACACAGGTGTGCGGCTGACAGGGTGATAGCTGCGAACATCCGATAGTACAGATCGGTACTCACGGTACCCCCAAGAGTCCCTTGACTTGAAGTACACGCTGCAACCTTACCGGCTGCGGATGGTTACGACGGTTGCAAGGTCGGCGTGTGCACACTTGTGAACAGAAATAATCGAATATGACAGCCGCCTTGTTCGAAGGGTTCCATCTGTTACGCATACCAACACAAGGCCGGGTCTCGGTCACAGCAAGAGCCAAGTTCAAAAAAGGCATCCCTTGTGTGACAGCAACGATATAGTTGCAAGTTCTCCCTTCCTAAACGGTTGGAGGCTTGAGCGAATCGGTGGGCGCCCAACCGGTCACCAGTATCAAGAAACAAGATCAGATACATGGCACCGCCAGCGGCAGCTTACGGCGATACTCTAGAGGAAAGCTCGGACCCAAACACACGAAAGTACACAAAAAAAAAGTAGCGGAGACGACCACCGGAACTGCCACCCCTGTGCGGCAAGCAGCGCCCCCACAAAAAGCAAACGCACCGAGAAGCAACTATTACTGCTCCGCATTACTCACCACGCCACATTGATAAATACGCGTATGCCCTGCTACAGTTGCCAAACGCAGCCATTCCCACGACCTTCGTACTCAAACTAGGCGTATCGCATCACGGCAAATTCCGTCAAGGCGCTCTGACACAACGGGGCATCGGCCTCCTCTCTTGGGCCCTCTCGTTTTCGAACAGCTTGCCTCGCCCGTATTTAAAGACCGAAAAGCCATGCACCACCCCCAACATTTAAAGTCTATCTACTGCTGTTGTGGGGGAATACGGGTCCCGCGCAATTGAGACCGCCCATCCGGGCAGGCACAACCACAAGAAACGCCACCGTATCGGTGACAACCACGCGCGCCCAGACTCTCCTAAAAAAGGGTGCCACCCTGTTCTCGAGCTCGGAGCTGCCCCCGCACGTCGCCGTATCTGTCTTCGAGCTTGGAGCGGCCCCTCGCTACCACCGCTGACCTCTGCCTTTGCCGGACGCGCCTGACGCTGTTTTTCGCGCGGCTTGACCGAGAAGGCTACCGGAGCCCTTCTTCAAGACGGACGGCTGTTTAGGCGCAAGGTTGGCAGCGGAGCGGCGGAAAAGGGCGTAGGATGGTTACTTTGTAAATCAGGAGGACGCGTACGTGGCGGGAAATGTTATCGTCCCCGTTCGTATTAAAATCTTGGAATCGATTTTTCTTGGCAGTGTGCTGCCTGCCGGCAGCATGTTGTGGGGTTGCGGGCGAGAGACAAAACCGGCAATATTGTACGTACAGTACAGTAGTGGACCCTCAACAACGCCGGTGTGTGCCCGGCGAATCCACCGGCGCCATTCAGAGGGACCGGCGCCATTCAAGTACAGAATGACTGGGTGATTCAGTCTGTGCCCAACAATTTCACCGGCGCTGTATAGGGCTACCGGCGCTTTCGCTTTTCAACGGGCGTTGTTGAGGGCCCGCTACTGTATACGGAAACATGCACCGACACCTCTACGCCGATGACGAACTCCCATTCAAGCTAAGTACCATCAATAGCTCTGACGTTCTTGTTGAAAGCTAGGGGCACCCCACGGTTTTGATGTCGTGGAACATTGGAGGTCTGCCGTGTAGTCAACAGCACTGTGGGAGACATCGCGTGGCAAGATATGGTCGCAGGCCCCAGGGGGTCTACAACAGCAATCCTGTCGAAAACGGGAGAGGGCGTAAGCGTCCCGTATAGGGCGTTTGCTCCCCCAACCGTGCATCTTCCCGCAGAATGGCGCCAAATGAGCTAAACCAGCCGAGTTAAGCCGGCACCCCGCACAGCCAATAAGCCGTCATGGGGTCACAAGGGGAACACGACAGCAACAGAAATCTGCCAGCTTCTTGCGGGAGAAGAGAACGCACCTTGGCCCTGATGTTCTTGCAGTGCTGCATGTGTCGCTCGCCCGCGAGCTCGCTGAACCTCCGCCCGCAGTGGGGACACGGGATCAAGCTAGGGTCCGGAGCCGACGGTTTCGGCGGCGGCAGGTCGGCCAGGCTCTTGCCGCTCTTCTGAGCATCCGCTACGACCCTCGCCTGCCATGGTGTCCCCCGAAAAGATCGAAAAACGGGGATCACCGGGCAAAAGGTTGCGGGCGTTGGCCGACCGATGCGGACGGATCATCACGTACACGACGGACTCAAGTCCTGGATATTGCGGGTTGATTGAGGAGGGGTGCCGCCTCCTCCGCGTGCGCCAGTGTGGCACGCTGAGGAAAAGAAGATAAAAAGTTGTCCATCAGCGTCGTTGCAGACTTGAAACATCCGAAGTCTCGGGGTTGCCTGTGTTCGGAATGTAGTTATAGCTCAAACCCGGAACCCCGTTCTGCTTCAGTACACACCTGGCGAAGGGCGTCCCTAAACTGTTTCGACTGCTGCCTCCACTTGCTCGACCTTGCCCCCCTGGCCGCGGCTCCACCCACGGGGGTGTCATCGAACCCTCTAGGCGGTCCTCTCCCGCCACGGCCTCTCCCTCCTCCTCCTCTCCCCCCCGCTCGACCTTTCTCCTTGGCGAACTTCTCGAGCTCCGTGCCTTTGAGTCTCATCTCGGCCGTGTCGAATACCTAAGGGTTTGGGAAGTGTGGTTGAGGTGGGGTGACACTCACAAAGCAGCTGACGGGACGGAAAAAATCCCAGAGGTGTAATCTACAGTTGGGGGCCCGGTTTAGCGACCCCTAGTGTCACGACGAAATGTGGCCGCTATTCAGGGCAGGTCGCTAAACCGAACTAACAAGTAAATAGCAGCGGTGCGAAGTGACGTTGTGGTCGATAAACAGGGCGTGTCGCTAAACAGGGGGATCGCTAAACCGACACCCCCACTGTATTGAGCATCTACCAAACACAGGTGAAACGACCGGTTCTCGCTTGACAACCAGAGTCAACAACACCGTCAGGAGACATACCGACGTTTGATTAGCGAATTTCGGTGAAGGGCATGTGTCGGTCCGAAGGAACCCATGTTTGGGATAGGCACGGATTATTGGGAACGTTGTACCCCGTTCTGTTTGGAGGTATGGGCTCTCATCCCGGTGACTTTGGCACACGGAATAGAAACGGTCGCCGCCCTAAAGTCACGGCAAGGGGCGAAAGCTCATGGCCACAACCAGGAGCTGCACTATACTACCACATGCAAGCCAGCGCTCACCCGGAACTTCTTCGAGAGAGAACACGCACGTCCAACTCAACACCATTGTGTTAAACTCGCATCCAAGCTAGACTTGCGTCCAAAACTCCCCCTACTCGGCGGAAGCATCTTCCAACACCGCCTCACCTTACGCTTAGCCTGGAACACCTTGTGACAGGCCCGCGAGTGCTTCTCCAGCGCCGCCGGGGTGAACCTCCTCCCGCACGTCCTGCACTCCTCGAGCTCCACCTGCTCGTCCGGGAACGCGTCCGGCGGAAGGTCGTCGGCGTAGCCCTCACCCCCTCCCCCCCGGCCCCCTCCTCCTTTCCCGCGACTACCACCGCCGCCTCGACTTCTACTACCGCCTCGACTACTACCGTCGCCTTGACTACCGCCGCCGCCGCCGCCGCCGTTCTCCCCCTCCCAAGCCCGGCGTCGATCAGGCGAGCCTTGACCACCGGAGGCTCCGCCGACGCGGGCGCGGCCCCCACCGGGCCGTGCCGGTGCCGCTGCGTGCGTTCCTCTCCGAGTGTACCTGGTGCCACCTCCGCCAACGTCTCCGGCACCTGAGTGGTCGTGGGGCCGGCTCCTAGCGACGTCTGCTGGTGCGGCTGTGCGACCGCTAGTAAAACCTGTCCTGGGCGAGTCGTGCTTACCTTCAAACGGCCCGTGTCTCCGGCCACCTGCTGGGTTGGTGCTCGCTTGATGATGCTGATGATGCTGTTGCTGGTGGTGACGATGTTGACGGTTCTGTTGTTCGAGCGGCGGCTGTCGGTGATGGTGTTGGCGGGCGCTGGTTCGAGCAGACGCGGTCGCGGCGGCGGCGCCGCCGCCCCGGGCGTTGGGATCGATGGCGTACGGGCTGCCGGGGCCGTCCGGCGGCGGTCTGTAAGAAAACGCGGGCGAAGGAACGCGAGAAAAAAAGGGGGGGAAGTCTGTATTGTTCTGGTCTTGATGACCTTCGAGCACTCTGCTTGTGACCCCGAGTCTGCAGGCGTCACGAATGCCGTCGATGCCGTTCGGTTTCTAGAAGATGCTGGTGAAATCGTGAGCCAGAAATCGGCGGAGCGGTTCTCGAACACAAGAGGCTCTTCGGTTCGCACTTTCATCGCATCTGAACGATTTCCCCAGAATCCTCCCACATGTCGAACTCACTGTCGTTCGATTATTATTGGCATACGGGGGAAGACTGCTGTACAGCAGTGCCTCGGAATGACGTATGCCTCGACTGAACACTGCGGTATGCATACGACGCGAGACACCCAACCAACCAATAACGGCCGAGTCTTGCAGCCTGACAACCCGGCTTAGCTCCGAGTAGACCTCACGGTTTTATCGACCGGGTGTTATGAAAGTAGACGAGAGCGCAATTCTGCGAAACGTTTAGGTTTACATAACACTAAAACCAGTAACAATATCTCGGGATCTCCAAAACAGCTGCTGCAAGAAAGCAAGCTTACCCTCGTGCCGTTTTTTTTTGGGGGGGGGGACGAACACTCACCTCCTGCGTGCACCACCCCCCACACCTCTCCTGCCAAGCGCGCGCTCCGCCGCATCGCGATCTCTCAAGAACGCTCCGGGATCGGCAGGCATCATGGCGGGCGCCGTTCCTGTAGTCATGTGGAGGTGCTGCCGCCCTCCGCCCTCCAGGTGAGAGTCGACGCCACCCGGGCCGCTCGGTGCAGCGTTGGGGTCGCCAAACAGTTCTCCCGCCCTTGGTCCAGCGCTCTGCCAGACGACAGACGAGGGCACACCACCGGTGGTGTGCGATTTTGTTGGGTGTACTGGAGTAAGGCTTAGCAGAGGTGATGCAGCGAGAGGGCAGACGTTTGTCCCAATGCGTACAACAAAGGAATGTCGATGTCCGCGCGATGCTATTCGGAAGTGGCATTGCATTTGTTCTGCGGCCAGCTAAGAAAACGGCCAGTCTTGAACTGACTCTTAGGTTCTCGTGCCGAGCGATGAGGCGCCAGTTTATGTTTCACTTGCTTGTGCGGAGGCCTAGCGAGTTTTGAAACTGCTGTAGACATCTGGCCGTGGCTATGTCAACCCTCCACCCCGGCGAGAGCCTACGGGTCGGACACCACAATCTGATGTGGATGGTCCTACGGCACCAGAGGCGAAGGTAGCTGACAACGCCCAAAATACTTCACTGTTGCGTGATCTCTCTCTCTCTGCTTGACAGTCCCGCATCTACAGCTGCGGAACCCCCCTACAGATACGGAAACACTTTTGTCCACACCTGGCTCCTCCTGCTGCCGGCCTGGCCGTGCATCTTTTTCTTCAGAAGCGACAGGTTGCGTCGCAGCTGCTCCTTTTCGGCAGGCACGCCCCTCTCTACGGGAGGGTTCATCCCTTCGTCGTCCCCACCGAATCGATCACCTCCGCCTCGGTATGCGGCCGTCAGGTTGCCGGTGGACGGGCTGGGCATCATCTGCTGGCCGGCGTCCGTCAAGAGCGGGGGGCAAGAAAGTTCTACATGCAGAGAATACTTGTCCATCCATCTCTTGGTGCACAGTACTTGTCTCAGAACCCCGCCTCTGATATCTAGCCTCCTACTCCAAACTACTCTGTCCACACCCAAACTGCCAGAAAAACTTAAAACTAACTGGTGCGATTTTCCGCCGATCCACGGGTACACAGGAAGGCACACAGAAACAAACAACCTTGCAGCAAAGAGCGAATGTCGGCAAGTTTGCGCAACGTACGTCCAAAGGAGAACCAGTTGGCGTAGCGAGAGTCACCTGTTACATCGCAGCACACCTCAAGCCTTGGATGTTTCGGTATTTCAACCCTTGGGTGCGGTCTAACTCGCAGTACCAAGTGTCAGCGTAAGCTATGAAGGGGGAAGCACTTTGCGCGTGGCCGACATGCTGGCGTTTCTAATTGATGGATCGAATGTTGCTTGCTGCTGCTGCCAACCGTCCCTCAAGATGTCCAGAAGGGCAAACCAAGCTTCAGGTCCGTTGAGGGGGGATGGAACAGCTTACTACTTTAACACTGTGTCCATACTTCTCATTATAATACATGTATCGGGCCAGCAACGTGTCCACGGTTTTGCGTTGGACCAGCGGAACAGAGCACAAAGATAGCCAGCAGTGATCCATTCTTCGGCCGAACAATCAACAATCGCAGGGCAAAGTCCGACCCTCCCTGGCCACTACAAACGGCAGAGGAGGATCGAACGATGGAGGCACCTCAGCGCGCAACAGCACCCCCCCCCGGCCCGCCCGGGGAGCGCACGTACCTGCGTTCGGTATCCCAACCGCGGTGCCCCCCCTCGGCCTTCGTCTGGCCCTCTTCTCGCTAGTTGGCTGGCAGTGGGCCTCCCGAACCCGTACAACTCCCGTCCACCATCGTCCTCGCCACCGACGACACCAGCCTCTCCTAAAGCCTCCCCCTCGCCCCCCCACGGCAGGGTCTTGGTGTGCTTGTGTTTCCACGTAGCATTTCCGCCGCCGGTGGCGGATGTGCCGTTGCTTCCGCCAATCGTGCCGCCTCCTGCGGCGTACGGCGAATCGGCGATACTGCCAACAGCGCCGTCGGTATTCCTCCGCCTGGCGGATGACGACTCGATACGGCCCTGGCGAGCAAAGGGCGCACGCAGGCAAACACTCGGCTTGCTACACATACCTCGCGGTCATCGCACATCCTACGCTAGAAAAGCTGCACCCTGTTCGAGCTAACAGCAGTAGCACTCCATAACACTAGAAAAATGGGCGAACTCCGAGACAGAGGCGAGAGGAAGCTGAGCGTTTCTGTTTGGTAGGCGCCCTGGGCATCAGGTGCGGAGCCCGGCGAAGCACTCCGCGCTCACACGTGCCCAGTTTATACGTTGAGGATTTCGGGTCTACAGGAGGCGGACACCATCCACGTGAAAAGGTGGCATTCCATCCAATCTTTCGGTCATGACGTACGGCAACACGAAATGGGTTCAAACAAGACACTTTAGGCATGCAAGCGAATGCCAAGAAATGGCTCACCAACAAATATGGTAAAAACGATCACATCGCCAAAAAGGAGAAACGCGCGACAATACGGCCGTGGAGGGTGGAAGTAGGTGCGCTGAGTTGCAATAGTACAATTTACTACCTTCCGGAACTGCACGCACACCCTGTTGTACGGATCTGGTATGCCCCAAGTGTGGAAATAGAGTATGGCTTTCGTCTAGAGTCACCCCAACGTTTCAATAACGAACGAACCAAACCTTACGCCGACAAGCACACCGGCATACCTGCACCGCGGACGGCGAGTTGTCCGCTACAATCGCTGCTCGAGGGCTCCCAAGCGATGCAGCAGCACCAGTGTCGCTGTTCCACTCCGGCCTCCTACCGCGCCTCGCCCTCGCAGCCTGCCTACCCGGACCTACCCTGCTACCCCCTCTCTGCCTATTCGCCCCCGCCTCCGCGCCCTCTCCCCCCCTCAACGATGCCAAGAAATCTGCACCTTCAGGTCTTTCTATTCCGTCCCTTGGTTCTGCTGGGTGCGGGTCCCCGTTCTCGCCAGTAGCGCCACCGCTGTACCGCCTTGTCGCCGCCGCCGCCTCCTCCGCGCCGCCGGCATGAACCGGCCCGTCGTCGCCTACCGTCCGTCGTCCCTGCTGGTCGTCACGTCCGTGACGCGGCTGACCAGGACGGTGTTCCTCGGCTATTGCCCCCCGCACGTGCGGCCTTTGCTCCAGCTCATGACTCAGGGCGTCGTCTCCCGTTGCGGCAGCAGCCGACCGCCTGCCGCCTTCCCCGTTGAAAGCATCACCAGCGCCGCGCTTGGTCGCGGGGTCATACTCGCCGTAGGCGCCGCCATTCTGGGCGGCGGCTGTTTCTCTCGTTGGGCCGGTCCATCGCCCTCCCGGGTCTTCCCGGATTATCCTCCGCCGTCCCCCCGTCGCCGCCTCTTCCCCTGCGCGTGGCGCGTGCGGTCGGTGTGTGTGCTCGCTACCGTTGTTGTCCTGCGTAGACTCCGACTTGGTGGGGGAGGGCAGAGGTGGCGGCGCTACCGCCGAGCTGTAGCTGCTCGTGCTTCCCATTCTGGGTTGCGAATCGCCGCCGCGTAACAATATGTAAATATGGGGATGACGACGTAGGGTGGGTGAGAGAAGGAATAAATGCTTGACAAGGCGGTCCCGTGTAGAGCGCTATTCTGCCTCGGTCTTGAAGAAAAAATCAACGAGTGCCCTGCCCTACCCCTTTGTTGGGAGTTGATACATTCTGAGCACAAGACCAGACGGCAAAAAAAGATTGGTGACAACCAGCTTAAGCGATGCGACGAACACAGCAGCAGGTGCGTGCTGTTGGGACTGGCGCTGCTATCCAGCCGCCTGAATGTATCCTGGTGGGCAGGGTTGATCGAAGTGTCGAAAATCCAACCACGCCCGCGCACCTCGCGAGCCGCTGCCTGTCGACGTCGGAAGTCGAAACGGCCAGGCGATCCAGCGAGTCCCTCGTCTCCCCAAAGTCCATCGGCCCCCTTACACCACCATCGGCCTTGTCGTACCGGTTGTCGCGGTAAATGTTGGCGCTCGTTCTTTTCGGAGGGAAAGCGCCGTCCATGTTGTCCAGCACGGTGAGGTCGTACGCCCCCTGCCTGCAAACCCAGATCCAATCGCCAAGGTTGGTGACGTGATTCAGGGTTTGCATACAACGACACTTTTGAGCGGTCGGCGTTTTTCGTGGAGCTCGCCAGCGTAAAATCAATAGCTACCACGGGCACTGGAATACTGTAGTTGAAAATCTGCACTTCGGTTGGAGTTTGTGGTGCAATAGCGCCCTGAAACGTCGGCGCGTCGCCCAGGGCGAAAACAGGGTTGTCTTCCTGTCTACAGCAGTGGGTCCTCAACAAAAGCCGGACGAAATAACGCCGGTGGCACTGTACAGAGCCGGTGAAATTGCTGGGCAACAGACTAAACCACCACCTGTAAATCACAAAGTCCTTCTGTGCTTTGAAAAGTACCCTTCCCTGTGAATAGCGCCGGTCGATTCGCCGGGCACACACCGGCGTTGTTGAGGGCCCACACCTGCCATACATTCCATTGGTCTACGGGTTGCGGGGAACAACAGCAGTAGTGGGGAAATCCATCATTGATGTCCACTCGGATACTGAAGCCGCTGAGCAACCGAAGACTTAAAACATGGCCAATAACCATGATTTCTTTGCGCTCACGTTGCGGAAGCATCCCCGACCCTGGCTCCGGGGGGAAGCTTGGAGCGGGCGCCATCGTTGCTGCTGAGCAGGTGGGGCTTGAAGGTGTGGTTCTTGTCAGGACTGCCCGATTGCCGTTTTTGCCGGGCCTATCACCAGGGGCACACGAACGATGTATATGTCTCAGACTTGGCTAGCAGTCTGCATCATGCAGGACAAACTCGTTCGCAACAGAGTCCTCAATTCGGCCTGCTGTGGCACTCCAGGATAACAAGGCCGCTCGGAGGGAAAAACTTGGCGAGGGTGTATTTCGATTTGCTTTCAGTCCAAGCTTAACCCCTTTAGGGCTGGATCGCCTTTTGGGGACACTTTTTGTCCCCATCTTCTTCACCTGCTCTACCTCGCGAAGATTGGCATGATTCTCTCCTCCTTTGCACTACTCGACCAGGGGGGTGCCAGGGTACACAGGGACGACTCTAGTCTAGTATGGATGCTTTGTAGAGTGGAGGAGTATGAGGGTAATGAACAGGTCGAATCGCGGGGCGATTACGCCGCCGGTTCAACAGCGAAGTTAAGCCGCGTCTGTTTACCCTTGGGTGGAAAGCGCTACTAGGGGCAAGCGCGGAAGAAGTACCTAGACCACCGTTGATAGGAGGCACCAAGCAACCTAGGGCTTGAGTTAGAAGGTCTCGCTTTCCCTCTAGAGAAATATCTTGAAAACCTCCTTTTCGTGCCCCGTTTACCACGCTCCCGCCAGTTGCTGTCTATAATCCCTATCAAATGTCCCCTCGTGTCCCCTCGCATCGAGGGGACAATTGATAGGGATTATAGACAAGAGACGGCTCAAGTGGGAAGGCAGCTTTGCACTTGCACCCAGGGATGGAACTGTCTGCACCATCCAATCAGCAGGCGTCGTTCGCTCTTTTTCTTAAATTCCAGAAATTGCGCAAGACCGCCGAATTTTCTGTGCGTGGTAAGGGGGTTAAGCTTGTTCAGGTGGATAATTGTGATCGCGATCCCTTTTTCGGACGCGCACCACTTCCTCAGAGATGCGACAAGTCACCAACACTCAATTCAGACCACCACCTTATCGCACGGGCCAACTGGATGTGTCCTCGCCATATGCATATGCTCACAGGCAATTGCATTTGCCGAGGCTACAGCAGTACGGTAGGTGACACAAGATACCACACCCCCTGGACCGATTTTCAAAGCTCGACTACTCCATTAAGAAGGGGGTGAAAATCTCAATCGACACGTTTTTGAAAAGACCTCGACGAGCTGGTTCCAACGCCGCCATTTTCGGCACCGCCACGCTTTCTGCTGTGGAGTAATCGAGCTTTGAAAATCGGTTCAGGGGGTGTGGTATCTTGTGTCATCCACGGTAGTACTGCTGTGTGAGAAGGACACTATAACTCGAGTTCACGCTCGAAGACGACATCGCGGCTTCAAACTGACGAGTAATCTACAAAAGATGCCGCCTACAGGTGGAGCACGCAATAGATCCACAGGGATGCTACGTGTGCAACAGTAGTCTATTACAGTGACGCCGTGTGCGTATTGGAACACGTACAGGAGCCTACAGCAGTACACCACTATGGCAGTGGATCGGGGGCTGTCGTGTAGTACGTCGGAGGCACACAGCTTCTCTGGTGCAAAGTGCAAACTTCAGAGAGCGCGAGGGAAGAGAGCTCTGTCGATGGACCTCCTAACCTCGAACCCGTTTCACCAATATACGACGAGTAGGTTGCACTGCATGTACTGTTTAGCCTGCCAGGCTTCACGGCAGGATGTAGCAGGTGCCTTGTTGCTTGTAACCGACGAGGGTACTGCTGTACCCGTGCCACGTACGCCGCTTTCTCTCTCGTACACTGCACCAGACCTACTCGTTAGAAAACCAACCGCATCCCACCCTGACCTGCAAAGCTCGCTTTATTCGCTCCTGTCGCTGCTTGGCCCATTCTGATGGGTCATAGTCCTTGCCGCTCGCATGTTGCATCCAGAAGCTTGCTCCGTTCGGGCGTGCTGGCAACAAAGATACCCGCCGTAGTTGCGAGCCAGATCATCCGAGCTGGTGCCGATATCTTCCCGACACGATTGCGTCCGACACCCCGACAAGAAGGCACACTGTGAAAAGGTTGATTGCGAAGGCAAGATCCAGCGTGTTGTTGTCCACGGGGTTGGCGGCCTGAAACATACCACACATGCGGCTAGCAGCAGGGGAGACGGCAGCAAACAAGAGCTTGAGAACGGGAGTTCCGCAGAATCATGCGCGAATATCAAACACAGAGGGGGGGGGGGGGGGCGAAGAAAAAGCTCGGCATCCTTGGCATCACACAGCACACAGCCAGCAACAACAAATCACCGTGTGGGCTGCGTCTCGTACATGACACGAAAACTAGAGCGGCGTCACGACCCAGGGGACCTTTCGCTCCGTGCATGCGGGATCCAGAGAAACGGGAGGAGGAGTTGATGGCAACATGCGCCTACGCGCGCGGTGCAGGAGGTGCAACCACTGCCGGCTACCAAGCGCGTGCTGCTGCTCCAGGATCCTGTCCATGCGAGTCCCACTGCTGTCACCCGAATCTCTCTCCGAAGGCATCCGATAGCCCCCCGGCACTCGTCGTGCTGCTCGAATACATCCATGCCAGGACCTCCGGCAGCCCCGCTGCGCTCGTCGCACTCCTCGAGGCGGCCGCCGCCGGGAGCGACATGCTTCTTCCCGTGGCGATAGGGTCGTCGAAGGGCCAGCAGCCCGGTCGCAACTACTTGCCGTTGCCTGCCGCGCGAGGAGCAACAGCAGCAGCAGGCGGAGTCCCTCCGGAGTTCCTCCTTCCACTTGCCGTGAAAAACAACTACTTGGAATGCGTGCGGGAACTGCTCAGGCTGGGCGCCAACGTAGAAGCGGTGGACGAGATCGGGTTGACGCCGTTGCTCGTGGCTACACGGGCCGGGAACGTCTCGGCGATCGGCGTCCTGATCGATCTGGTGAGAGACAAGGTTTGAATTTTTGAAGTTGAAATATTTGGCGTTGCGTGCCTTTTGGTCGCTCTTGGCGTCCCACCACTCTCCAGCTACTTGCTGTAGCTAGCTAGCTCTGTTCCCGACACGCGGTGCGACACGAAGCACGAAGCACTACTGCACTGCTGTGTGCTTCGTGGTCCATGTCTCTCCGTTTTTCCACGTAACACACACGCGCTTGCCGGCCGAAGGTACGGTGTACGGACAGCGGTTGTTTGGGCGCTGCGCATCATGGCCAAGATGGAATGCTCTGTGTTGTTTGTTGTTGGTTTTTGTCGTCGGGTACGTATTTAGCGTTCCAGGGGCAGCGCAGCAGTCTTCGTCACCAGCACGCTCGCTGTTGTTGGTGCTGCTTCTCGCTGTTGTTGCTGCTGCTGCTGGTGTCTTTGCCAACGGCCCTTGTGGAGACCCGGCATGAGTTGCATCTCCAACCGGTGTGTGTGTTTGTGTGTCTCATGATATACCATGCATCCCGACCCTTCCCCGTTGTGGTGTGCATGCAGGGCTCAGCAGACGTGAACAGCAGAGGGCAGACCGTGTGGACAGCTCTGGTGAGACGAGAAGTTCAGGGTTGTTTGTACAGCAGCAGCCGAGAGCAGCAGTAGTACTGGCTGTATCCGTGTACCAGGCGTAAAGAGGGGCGCAGGAGCTACACAATAGTTCAGCGGCCTTGCTGCTTGGTCTCCCGGCCCTGTAAATCCCATTCCTTCGTGTGCTGTAGGGGTACGGGCGGAGGCGGTCATTATAAATTCCTCTCAACCGAACCTAACGGTACCTTGTGTGTATGCCGCTGGCCGCGGTAGGTTCTTCGGTGTTGCACCAGCCAAGATAAGAATGAAAGTGTCCGGCCGTCCCGCCGGCCTATCAATGACACTTCCCGTTGCCAGCTTGATCATCGCATCGCCCGCCTGGCATGACCCCCGGCGTACACCCGCACCCTCAGAGAAATCGAGCCTCAGCAGTGCTGCGTTGCGTGTTTCGGGTGTGTGTATTGGATGGATGGATCCAAAAGTTGTGTCGCGCACACACACACGCCCGCGGTCGGTGGTATCTTCGAGGGATTCATGTACTACAGTCTACACATAGATCACCTTTAGCCGACAAGATGCGCGTGAAATTTTCAACGTGCGTTGCATCAATATTTCTCTAGCTTTTCAAGTAAAGCCCGACAGCAATAAAATATACCATGGTACCACATACATAGGTCAAGGTCAACCACGTAATCCGCCCGCGTCTTCCACAGCACATGTATCCAGAGCCTAGGAGAACGGTGGGAGCCTGTCGCCTAGAGCAAGAATCCAGTCCTGGCACCCGTTGCCTTCATTCGATGTTTTTTAGATCCGAGGAACGCAAAGCAAACAACAACCAGGGTTTACCTTTACCTAATTACTTGCTTAGGCGGACCCAAACGACAGTTGGGATTGTCATCTACTGCTTGTATACTTCTCCAACACAAGTTGATGGATCAGCTCGCGCGCATGGTTGATAACATGCATGGGGGATGGGGGAACCACAAGGTCCACACGTCACTTTTTCATTTTTTCCTCAGAAATTTTGCCCTCACTGAAGGGTCATCTCTCTCTCTCTCTCTCTCTCTCTCTCTCTCTCTCTCTCTCTCTCTCTCTCTGTAGTACCGAGATTGGGATGGTGAATGCCATTCCAGTTCATTTGTGCCACGCATAGCGTGTGTGTAGAGGGGGGAGCGGAGAGCCCCAGACTATCCGTCTTTGATTTAAAATTGGCTTCGTTAGCCTGTGACCACGGGAATGACTCTGTCAAGTATTCGATCATTACGAACAGATAATGTAGTCGGTAGAGAGATCGGAAAGTTTACTTTGTTCAACTTTTTTAATTTCATCAGTATGACCCAACGAAGACAAACAACAAGGACTCGAAAATACTACTGGTATTTTCGTGCCCAAACATTTGTGCCTCAAAACTGAAGACAAATTGATTGTCCATTACGGTAGTTTCGACCAATCATCTCTCCGCGAGCAACGTCGCTGGGGAGTTTCGCCATCATTCATGTCGCTTGCTTCTTTGCGTGGCTGCTCTTTCGTGGCGCAAGTATAGAGCGCCATTGGTGCTTGATGGGCTCTGTTGGGCGGTGTGGGTGCTGTTGGCCCCGTCACGCAACCATGCCCGCCTGCCGCGTTCTCTGTAAGATGTCAACCCGTATTTTCGACCGATATGTATTTTTTTTTTTTTTGCTTCACTTCAAATCAGCGCTCACAGCACTAGAGATGCCGTTTACTCCACCCCGTGGTCACACAGAAGGGACCCTCTCTACCCTCCCCTCCTGCGGTACTTTGCCTTCGGTTTTTAATGCGAGAAGAATTCAGCACTCTCTTCCCTCTGTGTACACACGAACTAGCGCTGTCCACTAGGCCAGGAGCGGAATCGAGAGAAAAACTCACTTTGCAAGAAAAGCTCGCTTACGCCGGGATTGGAACCCCTGACCTGACCTCTAGATGGTTTCGAGGATACCAACTAGACCACCGGGGCGACCGGTGATTGTATGCATGCACCGCGAGAAATACCAAACGTTCGCGTCGAATACGGGCCTTAGCTCTCTGCTGAACGGAGGCAAAGTTTTTGCCAAAAGAGTGACACAAGCTCTGCTTTATTTCTGACGGGGGGTGGCACACGCCTTTGATCCCTCTGCTGCAGTGTGTATTGTGAATGCACCCGTCCTGTGGGATGGTGACGCACATCAGAAATATTAACACCACAACAATTTTTCGAGCTCAGAAGAAAGTGCCATGAACGGTCAACCATGCCTGCATGGTATGCATTGTTGATGGAACTTTTGGCGGACCCCGAGGATTTGTGCAGCAAGTTGAATCGAAGTTTTGTGTTTCAACCTGGGTCGCTAAACACGACCAACATGGCCGGTTGCGCATCCTGTACGAATGATTTGCATACAGTAGTACACATGTAACGTCGTTTGAGTTTCACCCTCTGGTACACGCGCTTCCAGGCCCCGTCGGTTCTCTGCGCACTCTTCACTGTTGTTCACATTGACAATCGGTGACAATCAGAGTCCCACGGGGCCCGAGAGTGGGCAGGAATCTTTTCCCACGCAGACCTCTTTCACACGTCACAGCAGTAAAAAATTTTCCTGCGTTTTTCACACACCACAAACCACAAACTGCGTTCATCAGCCGCATCCGCTACTGAATCTTTGGATCTGGGGAAGTGTGCGTGAGGCAAGCAATCGTCAGATTAATTGGTAGGGGGCGCGTGTTGACCCGTAGTTGCCACAACATGGTCGGCTTTACCATCATCTTGCAACCATCATGGCAACATCATCATCATCATCATCGCTGTTGTTGCACTCCGCTATTATTTTCGTCAGCTACATAGTCCTTGGGTTGAGCTGCTTGGGTCCGTTCGCGCTGTGATATTAAAGCGTGTACAGCAGTATATATACAATACCATGGTATATATATATAAGTTGTCTTCACTTCAAGTCAGCACTCACAACATAGTGCCGTTGGTGCCGTTTACCCGTGGTCACACAGAAGAGCCGTTCTCTACCCTCCCCTCCTGCGGTACTTTGCCTTCGATTTTTAGTGCGAGAAGAGTTTAGCACTCTCTTCCCTCTGTGTACACACGAACTAGCGCTATCCACTAAACCAGGAGCGGAAGCGAGAGCAAAACTCACTTTGCAAGAAAAGCTCGCTTACGCCGGGATTGGAACCCCTGACCTGACCTCCAGAAGGTTTCGAGGATACCATCTAGACCACCGGGGCGACCGGCAGTATGTACGTGCCTCGGTTCTGTTACGTGTTTGAATAGACCACCCGTATCTGCATATGCGTAGCAGAAACTGAGACAGACAGACAGACAGTAGTGGTGGCAGCACACCGACCAAGCCCGCAAAGGCTCATGATGGTATCTACGCATCTATCCTGTGGTCTCTGGTGCGAACAAACCCGAAAAGGCAAATAATGGTGATCTAAGATCTTACCTGGCCAGCCCTTATCTGGCCAACCCTTGGTGGAACATGACCAGCAGTTGGAGCACAACGACCAAGCGGGGGATCCGGCTCTTTTGGGGGGGCAATTATCACATCTAGAATGGTGGTCAACGAGGCAGGGCGAATCTTCAGACAGCGTGGTCTCCAAGGGAAATCCTGCCACACCTGCTGTGTTGGCCTCTGTTCGCTGCCTCCTTTGTTATGATATCCGTGATGGTAAATTATACCACTTGTTGACGATCCAAGTAAAATCAGAGACGTCTTAAAATGGTTACAACAGACCACGGTTTGAACGACCGCTCAACCCACGGCCCTCGTCCACCCGCTCGGCAGCATTTCGCCGCGCACGGCGGGGATCCGGCGACGATAGAGGCGCTCGTCACTCGGGGCGCGGAGCTGTCCGCGAGGACGACCCTCAAGGGCAAGTCCCCGCTGCACATCGCCGCCGGGCACGCGCAGACGCGGGCGGTCCAGGAGCTCGTGCTCCGCTGGGGGGCCGACGAGACGCAGCTCGACGGCCGCGGGCGCTCCGCCAGCGACATCGTGGGCGTCCTGAAGAACGTGTTCGATCGGGGAGCCGGGCACGCGGAGGAGGTGGAGAGGATCAAGGTGATGCTGGCGAACGCGCCGGCGGACCGGAGGTGGAACCGCCGCCGGGACGTGGTGATGCTGGTGTCGCGCTTGAGGGGAAAGATCGCGCGAGAGCGCAGCCTGCAGGAGACGAGCAGCAGCAGCAGCAGCAGCAGCAGCAGCAGCAGCGCCGTCAAGAAGAGGGGGAGCGGGGTGGACGCGACGGAAGTGGCGGCGGCGGCAGTCCTGCTTGACCCTGCTGTGTTGGTGGTCGGGGGGGATGGTGTCGGTGGCAGGGGTGCCGATGCCGAACTGCTGGGGGGAGAGAGTGCGGCCGCAAGGCTCGGGGAGCAACAGGCGTCTGCGCCGGTCGGGATGGACACGTTTCGTGACGCGGTGACGCGTTTAGCAGGGGAAGACGACATCGGGGTATTTCGCAGCGTCGTGAGTTTCTTGTGAAACAAGCAAAGGTGAGCTAAACCTACGCGGAGAGAAGGCACATATGGTCAAAATGGGTTGTTTCGCACCAGCTGCTTCAGGCTACGCTTGCATGAATAGCGTGACGCCCAGTGTGGCACCGGCATCTGTCACCCAAATGTTGTCTTGGTACCGGTGGTAGCAGCAAAGCCTCAGATTTTTTCTGAAGCCACGGTGTAGACGCAGGGGAGGCATTCAAACCTTTCGATGTGCGGTCCACGGCACCGGTGGACCTTGCTTGACACCCTGGGTGGCATTTCGCCCCGCGCACCATGCGTGTAGCAAAGGGGTTCCGTGGATGCTACAATGCGATCGCACGGAGGCACCCGTTTGTTAAAGAATCAAGTCGAGGAGGGTCGCCTTGCCAAACTTGTTGTGTGACGAGAAAAGGTTTTGGAACGGGGGCTATGTCAATGACGCCGTTTGCACCAAGACCCGAGCCTATGGTTCACTCACCCTCGAATGCAACTCTCGCGAAACGGGCGTCCTGTACCGCGTCACTCTTGAGGGTTACTATAAGGTCATTGTTGTATCGTTGGACAAATCTTTCGCACATCCCTTGGTGTATGGGAGTCTTGGCTAGATCGCGTTCTATCCCCTGCTGTCGGCGTAGAGTACTTCGCGCTCCGTGCCCATTTGCCTGGCTAACCCAACGTTTCCCCTTGTTGTGTTGCCGCTGATAGGTTGTCGACACCGGTTACTGGGAGCGATTCTCGATGGAGGCCCTGCAATCGCTACGGCCACGTCTACCGCTGTATCTTGGGGGTCGGTGTCTCTCGTGTTGTTCTCAAGACTTTTGTTCCCGTTGCATTTGAGTGGGGATTAATACTGCTTGGCAGTCGCTTTTTCGTGAGGGGGGGTCCCCGTCCGATCCGTTTGTTTCGGTCGCCTGAAGCTCGTGTTGTGTTATCCATTTGTGTAATAGAGTTTGTGAGCCCGCCCGCCCCACTTGCGAGGGTGCAAGGGTCGGTTAGTTGCGAAGCGTACCTGTTTTCGAAAGCTAGGCAGATCCTCGTCGAATGCTGTAGATGCTTCTTCTTCCGTTTCGAAGAGGCTGGGGTAGTAGTGGCGAATCGTGCGTGTCTGCGAAAGGTGGTAGTACATGCTAGGCAGCTCTTTGCCGAATGGTGTAGCTGTGCTTCTTCCCTTCCGAAAAGTGTAAGAATCGTCTGCGATCTGGTGCGTCGAATCGCAGAGAGTCTCAAGGCGCATTGCCGCCAGGTACCTTTCTATTTGGAGGGCCTACCTGTCAGTCAGGGACGATTTCAGTAGTACATGCCGCTTGAAACGGTCTTGTACCTCGTGGGGGGGGCACCGTATATCATCGTCGGGGGGGGGCGTAGATTTTCGCGGGGGGGTACCTTAGGACATCTTGACGGCCGTATGTGGTCACCCGACGATGACCCCCTCTTCCTGTTGACGGTTTCAGATAGCTGGTCGTGTGTAGCCATTAACGAAGCAGGAGCGAAGCCCCTTATTCAGTCCGAACGGTGTTCTAGAGCTTGGCGGCATCAAGGTCCCGAGATCTCCTCACATATCGCAGCATGTAGAATCTCTTCTCTCTGTTGTGTTTTCACGCGTTGTTGTCGTTGCTGCCGCATTGCTGCAGGAGTGGCGCTGATTTGACGCCGTCAAGAGTGCTGTGGTACGCCCTCAGGCTCGCTGTTCCACCGTCTAAAGTCGTGGTCACTGGTTTCAAAACGGTGGCTAGGAGCATCGATGCATGGAGTATTTATTTCCTAGTTTCGTGGATTGAATCGATTTGTCGCATAGAAGAGCTTCTTCTGCACGTAAACGCTAGGTCATTGGTATTGGGCCGTGAACGTGTCCCGAATGGGTTGGTTGCGTCCTTATTATTATTCTGTTTACGTGCCCGCATGCGACGTTCTCGGACTTAATCAGATTCGGCGGTCAGTCTATACCCCAGGTAAGGAAATGGCACGTGCCTCATATTGGCCATGTCCATGTCCCGCCTCGTCGCTTGAACGCTCTTGTTAGGGTTCTCTCCAGTGTGGTGTGTTTCTTGTCTGGCGTCTCTCGTTCCCTTAGTCGTGCATGGTGGAGAGCGTCGCTTCCTTTTCGTCCTGGTAGGGGGTTGGTGCACGGGCTCTCTCCGGTGGCTAATACCGGCGGAGGGACGTCATGTTGCTTCTTCGTTCCCAAATGTTGATTTTCATGTCGTTCCAGTTGTATCTCCTTGTGCCTTAGAGTGTAACCCACGGTAGCAGAAGGTCGTGATGGTCCCCTCCTGCCCGTACTTGTGTTGGTCTGTATTTTTCTGTGAATGGTTTCGCCGTCGTTATTCTTGTTTTGATTTGCTCCTGTGTTTGTGGAACGAGCAAGCTTGGCGTGGGATATATCCTCAACTATGGTTATGTCGTTATTTTTCCCTTTTTTTCGTGTCGTCTCATGGGTCCCCGCAAAAAGTTCGATGTTCGTGTCCCTGTATACCTCCGTGCTTGAACATCACGGCTGCTTTATCGGGGTGCCGTGTGTTGACGCTTGGTTTTTTCAGATCGGATTTATTCGTACGCTTTCTTCGGATCGGGTGAAGGGAAGTCAAGAGTGACGGTTGGTAAGTCGCATATTTCGGCGTGTTTGCGATGCTGCGACGTGGTAGTGGGCATCGTGCGCCAACACACGAAGCGTTGCGAGTACCAAGCCAAGAGTACGAGGGCGTACATAAAGCACCTCATACGACACCTGATTAATAGACGTTGCGGAAGGTATTGTTTGACACCAGACATTTTGGATCTCTTTTGGCAGGCGTAGGGTAAAAATCTTGTTTTTAGGCATTTTCCGCGAGGATCAAAACAACGATAAGAAAGTCGATCGGTGTCTCGATTTTTATACTTTATGCGAATGTTTAGTTGGGCGCCCTTCTACGGAAGCTTCGCTGTCGCCGCTCGTCCTTCAATGAAACGAAAATTTACGGCGCATACAATGGTCCGGGCGGTGAGACGTGTGTAGGCTGAGGTTTACGGTACGCAAGTGTACGAGAGGTGCGAATTGGTATGGGTTTGGAAATATATTCAGCAGTAGATGAGGTGTTCTGGAAGCACCACGATACAATAGCTGAGGTTTCATGTTGTTGTCGCTGGTGTTGTTGAGGGAGTTTCCGCGAAGAGCGAGAACAGTCAGGATACCTGTGTTCTCGCTGTATTGGTATTTGAAGGGCTGCATGGAGTGTAGCAGGTACAGTAGTAGGAAGCGTGTTTGCTCACGTGCGGCGGAGTGCTGGAGAGGAATTAATTGGGGAGAGACCCACAGTGGGGTGATAAAGCCCCTGCTGTGTTGGTGCGTTCGATTGACCAAGGACGTTCGTTCATGAAATAGCACCAAAGGAAAGCCAATGCTGTGTTGCACGTAACGCAACGTGTTGGTATTTGCGTCATCAGAGTGTAGTTTGTATGTTGAGACATCGCTAGATCTTACGCCCTGAGGCACAAATACTTGTTGTGTGGTGTTGTTTCAGTCCGCCGGAGTGGAGGGGTGAAACTGTCTGGATGATGTAGACTACGTGTGTTCGACTGTCTGTCCGTAGAGCAACGCGAATAGGGGCGAGGGCTTGAAATGAAATGTTACTAACACTTACAGTACTACATCTTCTCTTTTGCTCTTTCTCCGACGACGCTGTCAGTGGTGCATGCAGGGTATATAGGGTCGTCTACGGCCGACGAACCACTTTCTTCGTCGAGGAATCCACACCAACCACAACCACCGGTCGGTCGCCGGTCTTTCTGCCTTTGGGTGCCAAATTAATTGTAGATCGATTGCTATTTTTTGCCTCGCGGGTAGGATCCATCCGCGAGCCTCACTAGAAAAATGCAGTTCTCTCTGCACTACTCTGTACATAGGAACGGAAGCGAACCCAACAATAGGGCAGGGAGTAGAAGATATGTGGACATACATGTAACTTGATGCTCACACGAAAGCCCACAGCTACTCTTGGCGGGGCTAAAACCGGGAAACACGGCGGTGGAACACACTACTGGCGGACACGGCTTTTTTGGCCGCCAAACATCGACGGCATGTCTGACTCGAAATAAGTCCAGTACCCAGCCGGTTTTCCTCCACTCACTGAAACTGAAAAGACTCCACAACATCCCGTTCGAATGTGGCTATATCTCGAATGGGTAGTCTTTCTGGTGTGTTTTTATTTTTCCTTAAGTAAATGTTGTCTACGGCAATCTACACCGCAATCTACGGAGAAAGGGGGGCGCGCGTATGGGACACAGCACCATCACACCATCACCTCTTCGGCAGATGCAAGCGACCTATCGCACCGCCGACCTACGTGCTACGCGCTTTGTTGCGACTCTCCAAGAGGAACACAGCAGTGCGCCACTAAGCCCATCCTCGGGCTGTGCCTACCCATCTCGGTGCCAAGTACACCGCCCGGTGCAACGGTTGCGCTGCTGCGTTGCCACCACCAGCGCCAGGCCCTCGAACCGGTACATTTTTCTTCCCTTTGCCACTTCAAGCAATCGATACGGCGGTACGCTCAGCAGCTCAGCGGGACCTTTGCCGAATGAAGCCGTCCATCTCGATCGACCTGCCAGGGTGGTGCACACTTCGACGAGATCCCAAAGAAGTCGAAAGCGACGAGGTCAGTGGTGAGCGGTAGTCAGCGCTCACATCCCCGGATTTGTACCCGAGATTCGGAGACACCGTGTTTTGCTCCGATCTCCTTATCCTATCTAAATTTGCATGTACATGGCCAACACCACCTGGTATGTACCCCGTACAGCAGTGTGGTTGCATAAGATACCACACCCTTCTCGACGTTTTTGTAGCCCGGTTACTTCACGAGGAAGAAGGTACCAAATGAACGTTGAGAATCGGTCCAGGGGGTGTGGTATCTTGTGCAAGCAATGTAGGGTGCCTTCGAAGTCTTGCAGGCGGAGAGACTAAGTGCGTTATGTTGGTGAGCAGAGACCCGCGGTGGTTTTGGAGTACAAGGCCCCGTTCTGGGTGTGCCACTTTGCGTAGGGCGAGAGTTTCCAGTAATTTGCACACGGCATGGACGCACACTATTTTTGCTTACTGCTGTCGTCTACAGCAGTAGTACCTCTCCGGCGTGTTGCTTGACCACCTCGGGGTAGTGCGAGTTATGTCCTATCTACATACCATCTTCGCGCCAGCGTATATTGACCGGTCGCCCCGGTGGTCTAGTAGGTAACCTCGGAACCTTCTAGAGGTCAGGTCAGGGGTTCCAATCCCGGCGTAAGCGAGCTTTTCTTGCAAGGTGAGTTTTTCTCTCGCTTCCGCTCTTGGCTTAGTGGATAGCGCTAGTTCGTGTGTACACAGAGGGAAGAGAGTGCTGAACTCTTCTCGTATTAAAAATCGAAGGCAAGGTACCGCAGAGGGGCTCTTCTGTGTGACCACGGGTTGGAGCAAACGGCACTAGTGCTGTGAGCGCTGAATTGAAGTGAAGACAAAAAATAAAATAAACATAAAAACAAAAAAAATAGTCCAACATCTTAGAAACTATGGATGCAACCACTGAATAACTACCCGTTGGAGACAATTCCCCAGTCAAAGGGATGCACTTTATTTGTCTTAACAAGTCTTGATGAATGGAGAAACGCACCAGCTGAATGCTGGGCTTGCGATCACACCCGAGCCACCATGCCAGCTTGCACCAGGTGTCCACGCCCCGGCAATAGCTTTCGAGCTTGACATGGAGACCTGGTGCTGTGGGGTCTGGTATCTTATTAATCAAGCAACCTATTGCAGATGATTCGCTTTACGGGTCTATGCGATTGCCGCCCCTGTCTCATCTCCGCCCCTACGACCTACACGCCCCCGACAGCAGCTCCTGGCCCTAATGGATGACGTGGCCGGCTCGGGCGGCACTCACGACCTCGACGGCAACGCGAGCGGGGAAAACTCCGGCAACGGTGACAACGAGAGTGACGATGACGACGACGCCATCGCGCGGCTGTTTTCCGTTGGCGGGCTCAAGCGGAAGAGGAGCTCGGACTCGCGCCAGCAGACAGGGGACGGGGGCGAGGTAAGGCCACTTGCGGCAGCTGCCATTAGTAGTACGAAAAGCGAAACGGCGCGCGTGTGTGTGACGCGCCAAAGAACGCAACTGATGCTGCTGTTTGAAGCTCTCAACTCATCGCCCGAGGAAACGGCGTGCGCAATGGCGGCAAGTTTTTCCGCGATTTTTTTTTGATACTTGGTTTTCTGTCCCATGGTGTTGGGACTCTCTTTTCTCCATACAGGATTTCCCTATCACATACACGCCCAAGATCCCCTGAATGAGTACAACAGGAAAATTTAAATGACCCCCGCCGATTCTTTGCCCGCCACCCCGCACCACAGACGCGCAGCAGCGGCAGCGGTAGCGCGGGGCGGGCGGGGAGGGGCACCGCAAGGTCTGACCTCGAAGCCGAGGCGTACGCGGACTGGCCGTGCGTGAGGTGCACCTTCATCAACGCCTACACGGAAGACGCGTGCGGAGGCTGCGGTGGCGCTAACAAGAAGCGGGACCGCTTGCTGCGGGAGAGGAGGGAGGAGGCCGAGAAGCTGAGCAGGCTGCAGACCGCCCGGCGGTGTCGAGACAGGCGAGTCTTGAGCGCTTGCTTCCGCCGCCGTTTCAAAAGTTGGACCCGAAGTCCAAGTGCATTGGAGGTGCAACCGGTTTGTCTTGCACCGCAGCAACGGCAGGAGGTTGTGATTTGGTCGCGAGGCCGATGGCACTTAGTGTTTTTCTTTGCAGCATTTTTTCATTTTTTCGACCGTAAGTCTACCCTGTCCGTGGGAGTTTTTGTTTTGTTTCGGTCCATCAAGGACGCTGCGGTGCCCTCTTCGATTGGGCTGAACCCCCCAATCATGGGGAAAGTGGGAGCGCTCTACGTGGTAAACCAAGTAGTCGTTTCTTGTGGCGGACCTCGGGCGTACATCACCATTCACGAGCTTTTTTACAAATTGAAAAGTTTGGTATTCGGTAACACCGGCGCTCTGTTTGCGTGACACATGGACAACGAGACGCACTTCGCTGTTTGCATCATGTCGTCCCAATTGCGCGGAATCCCCGAAACCAGATCTCTGAAGGAGGAAGCGTTGAAGGATGTGTTGGAAGACAGCAGCGACTCCGAAAACGACGACCACAACCGGCGAGGAGAAGGCCCAGCTTCCCATACAACGAAACCGGTCGAGGACGAAACACCGGTGTCGACGGCATCCGCGTCGGAGACCACCAGCGCCGCTCCGGCAGATGATAACACCGGCCGGACGAAGACCCTGCAGCAGCACCCAGGTACTGGTGGCGGTTGCGTAATCAGTATTCTCCCTCCCGACCTGTTGCTGCAGTGCGCGGAGTATCTGGGAGACGCTCGTAGCCTTTGCCGCGTGCGCGAGGTCGGCCTCGGGTGGCTGCTAGCCCTTGACGACCGAGAGGCCGGGAGCCGGCTCTGGCGGCCGCTGTTCTACCGCCTCCGCGCCAGCGGTTCGATCCACAAGGCCACCGACGCCACCGGGCAACAGAACCGACAGCTCAAGGTTTACGACCTCGGCACTAGGCCACCAAACCGCGGCAGCAGTGCGTCGGCGTTCGGGAACGGCCTCACGGCAGGCGTGTCCACGCCGAGCCCCTCGCAGAAGACGAGATTATCGTCCGGAGGGCCCCCTGCTTTGGCGGCAGGAAAGGGGACCCCGTGGTCTTCGGGCTCGGGTTCCGCGGCGGCGGCGGTTGTTGCTTCTTCATGCGTGGTATGCGGCCTGATTCAGAGGGACGGGTACTCCGGTAAGGACTGCGAGATGTGCGCCTCCGCCCTGGTGTTGGTCCGAGGCCGGGAATCTCCGGCCACGCCGCGGCTGGCCTACACCCGGGTTAATCTATCGGGAGGGGGCGGCTCTTGTTCTTCCTTTTCCTCCCCGACGACGATGCGCTGGCAGCAGCACCCGGGATGCCTGGTCACCGGGGCCGGATCTTCTCGATCCCCTGATCTCCGACAGAAGGGACGTGTCGGGGGCATCACCCCCGCCGGCGCGACCGCCGATGGTGCTCGCGAGGCGGAGAGAAGCATCGGCAGCTGCAACAGCAGCGGTGGCGGCGCACAGGGCCTCGAGGAGGAGTTTGGTGGGGGTGCGCGCAGCGTTGACTGGCATTTCCTGGTGAAGAGACTGGCGGAGGAAAAGCGGATCGCCAACGGGTGGGGGTCCCTGCAACACGGTTGGGTGTGGCTCCAGCGTGAGCTCCAGGTGAGAAGGGGGCGGATGACGTCATTTTGTATCATACAGGCTTTTATGTTTTCGTTCTAGAAAGGGGTACTGTACCCCTCTTCGGGTAGGTGGGTTGTGACCACGGCAGGCGTCAGCGTCAGTTGGACCAGTACGGTACTACAGAATACGGATGTTAACAGGTACTGAGCGGAGACCGGAACGTTGTTAATGTGAAGACAACAGCAACAGCAACAACTACAACTACAACAACTGCACCACGCAGGCAGGTGTGCGGCGGAAGGACTCCCCTGTTCGCGCGCCCACTTTTGGTGCTGTGCGCGCTGGAAGTTCGTTTCTTCCGAACGTTTGGCAGCGGGCGAAAGGCTTGGTATCCGTTGGCTCGTTGTGGAACCGCTGGTGTGACTACTTGTCCTCTTTTAAGAGTGTGTTTGTTGCTGCTGTTGTTGTCATCCCGCTAAAAATACACGCGCGTAGCAGTTTGGTCCTCTGCGCGCGAGCGGCCATCGCAAGCACGGCAAACCACAAAGGAGCGTATGCATAGACGTCCAAGGTGGACCAACGTCTCCTCCAACTAAGGACTGGTGTGCCCGCGCCCCCCTCCGTCTCCACGCCTGATTGCTCTTGTGTCCGTGTCCGTGCAGAACATGCTCCGTCGACGACGTGGACACGAACAGCTCGGACCCGCTCCCTCCCTCACAGCAGCAGTGCCCACCCACCCCCCTCCTCAAGTCGAGCTAGCCGCTCTCTCTAGCGCCTCAGGGGTAGGAACGCGGGGGGGAGCCTCCCATCCCGGAGCGCAGCAGCAGCAGCAGCAGCAGCAGCAGCAGCAGGAGCAGGCGAGCACTCCTACGGCGGCCGGCCGGGCCGCAGCAGACGGCGAGCCGGATCCCAGGATAGCCCGCCTCGTCCGCAAGCTGTCGACCAAGAAGTGGGTGGTGTTGTACGACAGCCTCAAGGCCACCTTCACGCTCCAGGCGGAGGGCATCGCCAGGGAGATCGTTCTCGCGGCCGCGTCTGCCGCAGCCGTTGCCGCCGCTCGGGAGGACCAAGGCAAGGGAATTGTGGATGCGTGCGGGAGGCGGCCGGGGGCTTCTGCTGACCTGGAAGGGCTGAGGGGGTGCGTTGCTGCGTGGGAGGCGTACAAGGATTGGTGCGAGGAGGTGAGAGCAGGGCGTGCGTGTTTTCTTGATTGATAGCATCGACCGCGCTAACTAACCGGCTCACCGATGGAAACACGTCAGTCGTGTAGAACGGGATAGAAAACACGAACACTTCCTAAGCAAAGGGTCTGGGTTCTGGATGGAGCGCAGGAGTTGACCGTGTGTGTGTGTATGTATTTCCCGGGCGTTTTTTTGTCAAGGTTTGTTTTCCTGGGGCCTCTACTGTGATGAGCAATACTTGAGTCGTTGGCGAACGCAGCAGGCTGGTTTTTGCGATTTGATCCCCAGGCGTTTGGCACACTGCTGTGCATTCCAGGACCCTCTTGGACGTCTCGCGTGCCGCCTTCGAGGTTGAAGGCGATTAAGCAAACCACGTCGCACTTTCTCCTGATCATGTGCCTCGCTTTGTCTGTCCGTCTCTGTCTCTCTCTTTCCGCCGACACGCGGTGTTCGGTGCTGCAGGTGGACATGTACTGTGAGCTTCTCAACGAACACATTTCTGCAGAAAGGTACCGCACAGCTGGCGCCGGATGCGGTCGGGGGGACAACACCCCTTACATCCGAGACACCGCGCTGATAAGCTTCCGGCATTCCTTCGCGCTAAACGTCCAGGTATGCCACCCCTGCCTAGAGAATCGGTATCGTCAGGTTTGGAACACTCCGACTCTTGTGTTTTGTTTTGGCGTCCTGCTTTGTTCGGCTGGCTGTCAACGTGTTCTGGGTTTCTTCACGACTCTTGGCTTTACGTGCACGTGTGTTGCGAGTAATTTGCTTGTGTGTTGCGAGTAGTTTGGGCCTTTGTACAACGCGCCCCGTTGGACCGATGTAAGAGCTTGGTTTTCGAGAAGGTGGCGTCATCATCGAGCAGCTAGTGGCAACAGGCCTTCGGTGGATAAGATCCTGTGAAGTCCACATATGTGTTGCTGCGAAGTTATTTGAGCTTAGAGGTACGGCCCGAGTGTAGTTGATCGCTGGCTGTGTCGTCTGCGGCATACCGGAAAGATTGCAAGCGTATGCCACAGAGAAGGGTAGTTGCTGCATTGTTCCTGGGCAACGCACGTCTGACTGATATCACTCCGATGCATTGTTTCTGGGCAACGCACGTCTGGCTGATCTCACTCCCATCCGTGCTTGAGTAATCACAACGGCTGCCTTGCAGCAATCCTTGTGCAAGCCGGCCTTACTCCCATTCCTCGCTCATCAACCGTCCCTTCCTTCCTTCCGCATCCTTTCAACCCAACCCGCCCATGACGCTGACACAAACACGCAGGTTTGCGCCATGCTGCGAACGGCGATATCCAAGGGCATGCCTACCGCTTGCACAGACTCATTCTCGGTTACTGGACCACCCCTTGAGGCCGCCCGATACGAGCCCGGTAGAGGTGGTGCCAAGCAAGACAACCCGAGATCAGACACGGCGAAGTCGGCGGCCGGGGACGCCGACGAGCTCTTCACCGACCTCGAGTTGATGGAGGACTCAAGAGCCATCGATTTTTCCGTCAGGTCGTTCTCGGGGCCCGGCGGCGGCGGCGGGGGCGCGGGCGGCGGGCCCGGTAGCAGGGGGGCGTCGACAATCAGCGGTGCCTGTGGCGGTGGCGTTGCGGGCAGCAGAGCGTTGAGGGCCGCAAGCGCCAGCCGCTCGTCTGTCGGGTCATCTCGACCGGGCAACTATTACGACTGGTTTCTCAGCAAGCTGGAGGGTAAGGAGGCGGGGATTATCCGCGGGGACATCGACGCTCGCGGGAAGAGCGTGGTGCGGTCGTCGCCCCCTGGGGAGGGGAGCGGGGCGGCGGGTGGGGCGGGTTGCGCGTTGCAGGCGGCAGCGACTCAAGCGGAACTGTTGGAGGCTGTCGGCGACATGGTGGAGGAGTTGGACGTGCCGGATGATGCCCTCTCGAAGGAAAGGCACACGCAGGGTGAGCGTAGACCCTCGGTGTAGTTTCGTGCAATAGTCGATTTGCTTACTGGAGTGGGCCACCACCTGTTGTTGTACTTGGATTGTCTTTGGCTGAAATCGCCGCAAAGTCGTTTTTGGAGCTATACTAGCTGCGCGCGTGGCGGAAATTTATGGATTTTCTCCGGAACTTTGTGCTGCTAGATGGTTGCCGTAGTATTTCCTCCTATGCATGGGTAGTAGTCTACGCAGATTTATCTAAAGTTAGGGTTCTAGGTTCAGCCTCGAAACGGTAGCAAATCCGGAACCCCACGAAGATACAGTTCGGAGTGAAGTGCGTCCTCATACAGAAAGTAATGCCGCCAAATTCGAACCGAAAGGGACACAAAAACAAGATCGAAGAAAGCTTCTGTAACCGTCCGGCTGCGCAAGTGGCGTGTGTGTCGCGTCAATCAGTCTCGATTGGGGTGGTGCTGTCAAATCAAATGGGAACGTTAGAGGTGCTACACTCCAAATGGCCCAGTTGGTCGGGCCAGAGTATGTTCGTCGTTAAAGTCAACAGCATAGCAGCAAGACCCCAGCACGTCATTGTTCGTTAAACCTCCAGTGCTTCTCAATTGCTTTGCCCCTTTTTTCCTTTTCCACTCCCCCCTCAAAATACGTTCTCTTCCTCGCAGGCGCGATGCGAAGGCTCCTCCTTCTGCCCGTGAAGCGCTGGCAGGCGGCGGCGGCGGCGGCGGCGGCGGCGGAGGCGGCCGCTCGCAACGACAACGCCGAGGGGGACCCTCGAAACCTGCTCATGGCAGGCTTGTCCCCTGCCCCGGGCAAGGAGGGTTTCCATCGCTTGCGCGGAGGGGCGGCGGGCCGAAGAAGGAAGGGTGCCCCCCCGATGTCTTCCCTTGGGAAGGACGCCGGGAAGTCTTGGGAGCATCTCAGCACCTTGTTCGGCTGACGTTATCCCCGCTCGCTCGCCGTTTCGTAAGAGGTTTATGTGGTTTTCCGTGGGTGTTATGGGCTGGGTGCGGACAAGGAGCAAGCCTGGGGGCAAAAGCGTGGGTCAGCGGCCTGCTGGCTGAAAGCTGGTTTGTGTGCTTGCCAGCGTCAACACTCGTCGTGTAGCAGCGCCTTTCGCTTCAACATTCTAACGTGATTTGCCGAGAATGCGGAGAAGTTCATCCCTGACAGTATTGATCGTTGTTAAGAAATGTGGTTGTGTTTAGTACTTGCGCATGGCTCGGAAGGCGGAACGGCCGGGATACACGTCGCTTGTCTGTGTTATCCGAAAGAGGCGTCGGTTGTGTCGATTTGTGTCTGCCACCATGGCTTGGGGGACAGGAAACGATTGCCATAATATTACGATGCGTAATTTTTGCGTTGTAGTTTTTTGACGTGCAGTTTGTGCTCTCTTTGTATCGATGAATAGTTCTGGTGTATGCCAGGCACATACCATTTAAAGTAAATATTGACGAGCGGAGGTGTTCTTAAATAGCGTTAGGCCTTACAGGAATAGCGTAAGAACACCACGAATCGGGAGTGTTCCAATTTTGAAGGATTTCGAATATTTAGTCAAGTTTTGCTCTGCGCGAAGGATCGTGCCAAATCGGAACCATTCGCCGATATGATGCTATGTACTTGTCGGCAAATGAGCTACCAATGAGAACTCGTCGCTGGCTTAAGGTGTTTTACCGAAAGGGGCGACGCAATCTCCAAGGCGTGGTGTCCGCGTTCGATGTTTTTGCGGTAGAAGGGTCTCCGCCTGCTTGGCACCTCTCGCTACCGCTACTGTATACTACGGGGCTACCTCGCCGGTCTGCTCTACTGGTGCTCCCTCCCCTTCTTCCTGAGGTTCTTCCTTGAAGGACTTGGCGATCTCGCGCATAGTAACGTAGGCAACGTTGGCCTTGGCGCTTTCTCTCTCCGCCTTGTCTCGCTCCCCCTTCCATCTGTCCAGCGTGTCGGGCTCGGTCTTGTTGTCCGCCTCCAGTAATCTCACCTGGAAAGCGAAGGAAGAGAAACAAAACGGTAGATGGACGTACTACAGTAGCAATCGTAAATTTTCGCAGTGGTACAATTTACCGCCGAGACCAACAGAAAAAAGCCGCCGGTCGCCGCAGTCGGTATAACCTCGTGGCTTTCAGATGACTCGGGAAATTGTGTAGAATCTCGACACAATTTTTTTTGTATATTTAGTTCTCACGGAACGTCCTAATAAGGTCAGCGACGGAGGTCGTGTGCACGCCGCAATTTCGGGTTCACGTCGACGGCAGGAATGGACGGCGTTATCTTTCTCGTGATAAACACTCAGGGAAGCACTGCTGAAGGGCGGCGGAGATTAAATCTCTGGTGTGAAGCCGGTTGATTCGTCAAGAAACCTTGCTTAGCGGAATGCGAACACTGACGCCCAGGATGATGAGACCGCCAACACATAGAGCGTGTCCGCGTTATGATCTTAGCTATCAGAGTGACGTCTATTCATTGGCTAGCCGGTTAGCGTGGTAACTGCCAATGAGAGCAACACACGCGACCACGATACCCCGGCGTACCGCTATCAGGAAAAATACTGAGTCGGGCAGAATTGCCGTAACACACGAGCACACGTCAAAACAACCCGAAAATGTGTCGGAGGAACAACCATAATATTGTGCTGTCACCTACCCCGCACTCTGTATGTGTGTATGTGTGTTCATCACAGGGCAAAGGGTCGCCGAACCTTGCCGGGACCTCGACTGGTTTGTTTGGGAAGTTTGGAGGGAAAAAATTGGCCACCTCATCATGGAACAACGTCCCTCGTAGTCCAATGGTTAGGATATATGACTCTCACTCATGAGACCCGGGTTCAATTCCCGGCGAGGGAGGACGCCAGTTTTTTTCAAGAGGCTCGCGCCATGGCCCACTGCTAATTGTCGAAGAGGTCTCCAACGCGACGATTATTCTTCCAATCGCGTGGTACAGCGTCGTTGCCACATCCTCGTGTTTGTCATGCATGTAGTTTTTTTGGGCCCTAGCCCCCAGTAAACCACCTTCCACTTTTTGACATGATTCAATGTTGTTCCAAACGTGTCAGGAGAGAGTCACTATATATGTGATGATGTGAGTGTGAGAAGTCTACTGATCTACACAGCTCTTAACATGTACCTTTGTTTTCTGTTGTGACGACAGCAATAAAATGGGATACCTACTGGATGGTGACCCTCGCCAGCACCTCGAGTCATCATATCGCAGACCTCGCATCAAGGTTTCACCGCGGTTGTTCATGTTCGCTCGTTCGTGGGATGGATGTTGTCCGATGACAACCAATAACCAAAGGAACAACACTCACCTTTCGATACATCTGTTTTCGGGTGTGTCCAGTCTTGTATACTACGCAGTCCCACGCGTCCAATAGCAAGACTACCAGGTCATTGTGTGGCACGTCTGGCATGCTTAAACCCAAGCGCCTCGCCAAGTTCAATGACCCCTGCAGGTACACGTGGATACGCACGGAAGAGATAATATCCATCGATTGCATCATCATCATCATCCATCTCGTCTCCCACGCCGATAACATCAACTTTGATTTGGGGGTCATCGCACGCTTCATTTCAGCGAAGATTTGGGCCCACACGCCACTAATATTGCACAGAAACCAAACTTCCCACCGACGTAGCACCCCAGGGCTCACCATGAAGTCACCGCCTTTGGTCAAGCTTGTGAGGTGCTCAATAGATTCCGCCGCAAGCCCGTTGACCTCGAGCAAGTTGACGATCTTGGCACTAGCTCCTTGGGTTTCTTCGAGCAGTTCATCGGCGCCGAGCCTATGCCGAGGTTTTCTATCCTCATCTGCCATCTCTCCTGAGTGTTGTATGCCCCAACAGACCCCGTTGCCTCTTTCATCGCGCTGCAGAGCCCGAGGCACGGGTTGCCGTTGTCGACTTGTAGTTTCCTTTCAACTTTTTTGGACGTTACAAAATACAAACACGCCACCTCTAATAACTCCGATTTCGCCCGCATCAGCTCTCTGTATGCAAAGCCTCAGGAAGGGGAGAGAGACTGGCTCCCTTGCTTGCCTCCCTCCTCGTACCTGCCACACCAAGTCACCTCTACCGGCTACGTCGCCGGCTTCAAAAAGGTGGGGGTTAGTTGCTGTGGGATAGGGTAGTGGGAGATTGAGTTGTGATGGACAACAACATCATTCTTTCACCTTCTTGCTGCTCTACACGAACGACCAAGATTTGATTTTCTTGTTCCTGCGATGCACCACATCGTACGAGATCGGAGGCAACGTACCAGCTCGATGCAAGAGTACCTAGGCCTGATCTGTTGCCTGTTCGTCTCATTGACGACCACTGGCTGGATTGCTGTAGGTATCAGTCCTGCCGTGCTTGCGTTCTCTTGAAGGTGTTTGCAAGGTCCAGACCAAGTCAGGCAACAACTAACTGCGGGTTGTTCAACTTGGACGCTTCGTGTCTTTGCTCTTTCCCGCGGCGGAGAGCATGCAAGCACTCTCTCGTCGGCGTGGGGCCCACCTCTGCGAGTGCGTTGAAAGGGGCTGGCGTGTGCCTCGGCAGCACACGCCACATTGTTTTCAAGAGGCTACTTCTGCCATTGTTTGTTCTGTTCGCATGTGAAGATGTACGGCTGAATTGGCTTGCACACTTGACTCTCTCGGCCTTGGTGACTCAAGTTCGGAACGTTTTGTCTTGTTGATGCCGGTTGTGGCGTGGAATTCTGTCGCCCTGGTGAAAGTGAGAAACGTCCGCTTTCCCATACTGGGCTCGGCGAAGGAGAGTTCGCAGCCCTCCGACCGTTGATGGCAGGCATCTCCACAGCAGAGAGAGAGAGAGGGAGAGTTCGAGGACCTCCGGGAGAAGTTGCGCCGCATTTCTCTCTCTCTCTCTCTCTCTCTCTCTCTCTCTCTCTCTCTCTCTCTCTCTCTCTCTCTCTCTCTCTCTCTCTCGCTCGCTCTGTGTAAAGACGCGCAAGAACACACACATAGCAGTACACAAACCGTTTTGCGCTTGCCAACTGCAGCTGAGACATAACAATCTGGTAGCGGGGGCGCAGTATTGCTCTATCTCTCTCCGTCCTCTCTCACCACATCTTGCGCCTTGCGGTCTTGATTTGTTGGTCAGACAGCGAGACGGCAGCATCTACGAGGGAGCAGGCTGTCCTAACATGCGAGAGGACTTGAGCGACGAGGACGTGAATCGCCTCAACAACGTGCGAAAGCAGATATGGGCGGCAGGATATACGGGCTTTTTCTTGGGCGGTGCCTGGGGCTTGGCCAATTGCGTCATCTATAAAGTGAGCCAGCAGCGGAGTATGCAACACGTATCACAAAAAAAGCACAGCAGCAGTATTGGGTCGTACGATAGCATAACAACCAAGGCGAGTAAGCAGACTGATACTGCTGTACGGTGGTGGATTGAAATGGCTGAGAGAACCCAGCAGGTGTGTTGGCCCGCCCCTCTCCCCGAGAGAGCTAAATGATGTGTTTCCGAGCCTTCGTTCCGATCGTGGTAGTGTTGTACGTGTACGCCTTCTGTGTTGTCGTGTCGAGCAGCAAGGGTGTCGTCGGGAGAAGCGCGCAACTCGATTATGATGCCCTGACGGCAAAACTGCTCTCGGCGCACATGGCGACGTCTCCTTCTGGAATGTGTGCTCGAAGGCGCGCGACTTGGCACCGCTGACTTGGACTCCTTGGGTTATGTCCGAATCAAGCAACGCACCATTTCACGGGTGCCGAACGGGCAACAGCATATGTTGCGTTTCACTGTTTGCACATGTGGCGCTTCAAAGACCACTGCTGTTTTTCTGCACCCTTGTTCTGTGCCCTTCAACCAGGCGTTACAAGCGAAAGCAGTCGAGCATTTTCCGAAGCAATCGGCCATCAAGTCCTTGCCCGTCTTGCAAAACAAGCACTACGTCATGTGCACGCTAGTGGCCGGGGCGACGGGGATGTTTTTGGGTGCTGGCATGGGGGGCATCAGAGGAAACGAAGATCTCCGAGACATCTACGATAGAAGAACCGGTGGGGGGCTGACGGAGCAGCAGGTATGTCCAGCAAGAACAAAAAAAATCCGGGTGAAAATTGCTGAGCCCTCGAGCCCCGTACTTCCGACGTCGTTCTTTGCTGATTCCATACGACCACCTTCGTAACGTGCATGGGCAGTTTTGATCTACTCTTTTCGGCATAATGGGGTAGGGACCTTCCGGCATTTTCCGGATTTTCACGGGTGGCGAAGAGGGTTATCCCACGAAAGACCCATCTGGAGGTTGTTGCCATCTCGAAGAATTGTAAGCTCTTATTTTAACGATTGCGGAGGTCTTTTTATGTTTCCGGCGGCGACCGACTAGAGATGGGCCTTCGGTATTAGGTAGCTGTGCGAGACCTGACACTCGCAGGCGTAGTCTGTATGTTGCAGTAGCAAGGCTGTGTACCGCTTTGGATCAGTACGCTTGCCGGAGTGATCCTTACGCGTGCTCTTGAATGATAACAACAATGGAAAAATTCCAAGGGCACTTGACATCAAATCGGAGTGTTCTCCTCGCCCCGATGGAATGGAGGATGGCAGTGACTAGGGCCTACGCGAATCTTGGGTTGATGGCAGAAATAGCACTCGCCAACAAGCCACAACTTTGTCGTTTTATTGTGCGCTTGCACGCGTATTCATTTTGTCGGCCGGTCGGCGCGGTTGATAGTTATCAAAGACGCACACAGGCATGCACTTTAGAGCCAGGGTAGTCCATGATGATCAAAGAAACACAAAACACGTTGGCAGGGGGTGTTGACGACGTACCCCACGTCTTGCTGGACTACTAAAATTCTCTTAAGCCATGACGTCTTCGGTTGTCGCGAACGACGTCGTACACTCTACACATACAGGAAACGCCGGCATTGCCGAGCCATCTGCCGCGCGACGCCCCCGAACACCACGTCGCGAAGGCGTCCGCCGATAGCCACGCCAGACGGATGGAAGCGATAAGATTGAAGAGACAGCAAGACAAGGCAGAGCGTGACGGGACTTTCAAGTCGGGCAAGTTCAGAGCTTGGTAGTAGAAAACCTCGCAGCAGAGCATCCTCAGATTTTGTCCAGACTTCCGAGGCTTGGTGGTGCGCCTCTCGAGAGTGTGTGCGTGTTTGCGTTAGTCGTGAGTCTCCGTCGGGGCCGAGACACTTGCAGCGGCGTCTTTTTCGAGAATTCTGTTCGTGGAATGAGTTTCTTTTGGAGCGACGCAAGCTCTCCCTTGTTATCAACTTGTATTAGGCCACGTGTGCCGTTACCGTAGACACGTCGTTATTTTCTGTTTGTGTCGGGTACAAAGTTGGTCCTAACGTTGGGCGTTCTCTTGTCCTCCAGGCGGCCTTGCGCGGGCTCTCGTGTAGTTTTGCAATCACAATGATGGGCTGGGGCGGTTTTTCGCACAGCAACTCTGGCTATGCCCAAACTTGGTAACGCTGGAGGGCGTGATATTTCTGATACTGCTGTTCAAGCTTGGCATTATACCTATTTTGTGTGTGCGTCCCTTCGTCGCGGGACGATGGACTAAAAGCTTTCTAGTAGGACCGTTAAGGGTGTGGCAGTGCTTGAGTGCAAGTGGGGTGTGTGTGATGTTTGTACACGACAGGTCAATCGAATGCAAGCGAACACCGCGCAGAGGTCCGGAAGCTTCCATGTTATGTGTAGGAAGAAGGTTGAGGGCAGATGGAATGTATGTTGCCCCGCCCTCGGCAGTATCGTACGGCTATGTATATCTGTTGCCTTATGAATTCTGGCGTGGCATAGAATATCCTTCAATGAAAGGAAATGATTTTGAAAGTCAGTGTTGAAGGGCCTCTTCATCAGCAGCGTCGAACACAAGGTATTCCTTGCTGCATCCAGGTTTCGCACTGGTCACGTTGCCTGACCCGTCCGTATGCTTGCAACCACTTACGGGTGGGCGTGTCAAGGAAACTCTGGGGGGCATCTTGCGAGTGGATGCCATCCATACGAGATGTGTTGCCAACTCAACTGGAAACCCACTTTTATGATAGCCACATTTAGCATACCCTCGTGAATCTTGGGATGTCGCTTGGGGATACTTGGAATCTGAAACGGTCCTTGGGAACTGTACCAAGACGTTGGTTTGGGCCTTCGACCGTCTTTCAAACGAGTCTACCAAGCAGCTCTTCCTATGATACGACACCCCAAGTTGTGCACCCGCACATCGTCGTCGCCAGCGCAAGACCGTCACTGGGAGGGTACTCACAACGCGTCCATTTTTTCACGGAAGCTTCGATGGCAGGGTCCTGGGTGTCGCGTGACATGTAAATTGTGAACGCGTAGGCCAACAGGTGGTAGAGGTTAGATTCCCGCACAAGGCTGTCATACTGATACGTACCTTCTGCGCACGGCTCATAATTCTGCGCGTGCAGCATTTGCCGTTCAAGGCGTACTACGCACGCAGGCGCCACCGTTTTTCGGTTCTCGTCTAAACGCAACCAATCGCCGTCGGCTGTATCACACCCTCCCTATCATAGCTCAATCGCCGAAGGCTGGCTATGTCCGCAACAAATGATGCACCTCATTAAACCACGAGTCTCTCCGGTCGACCGCAAAACGCGATGCTACTGTAGTGGTCGAAGGACGGGCAAATCGACGAATCAAACCAACCAGCTCGCGACCGCCACAAACGATTCTCCACGTAGAATCAGCTCTGACTAGACGTCCCAGCCACAAGGGCAACAGTGGGAAGGAAAGCGCCCCCCTTCGGCGGCCGTCGACCAAAGTTAAATCATGCCAGCATGGTACCACAGGAACGCTCCGCGCTATTCCAGCCCCCAGTCCTTTCGACGGCGAAAGAATCCGTCTGTCCTTGCAGCTTCGTGATTGGGCACTCCCTCTCGACCGATCCCTCGCTCGATTGTCGCGTTGGCATCATAAGATGTAACCGCCGGGTCACGTGATGTCATCTGGAGCAGGCGGTGGCGGTGCCGCTGTCAACTGCAGTTTTTTGGCGGGTCGCGAGTGAATAGATATGGCAAAGAAGAGGCTTATGTGATGCGCTTACAGTCCAGCGTCTTCGCAGGCGGCATTCCGGACCAACAACAACCGCTCAAAGCATACTACCCATTCCGGATCAGCAACAACCGCTCAAAGCATGCTGCACGATGGCCATTCGCTGCAATAATAGATGCGTACGCTGAATAATACAGAACAAAGGAGTTGAAGCCTGAGTGTTGTGAGGAGCGGAAGAAGCGACACCGATCGGCCCATCACAAGGCAGCAGTATGGAGTATCGGCAGTAAGACTACAAGTTGTCGTGTGTGCACCTGCTGGTCTGCCCCAAACAAGCAAGAGAGCGTTGGTCTGCTGCAGGCAAAGACGTATTTCGGAGATCAACTCATTTCTACGTGCGCCTTCCAATGGGTTGGTGATCGAGTGACCCTTCGCATACACATACCTCCCGTGGGCGAGTGTGGCCGATTCGACCGACGATTGCTCGTAAGCGCTTTGAGGGTGGCTCGGGAGGAAAAGTCGGCAGAAACCGGGAGGTGACTTGGGGGTAAGCTGCAGCCACGCTGGTGGCAGCGAGGCGAGTCCTTCCTTTGGGTATCGAGGATGGCCCGGCTGATGAGAGGGGGGCGGCGCATCCCGTGCTGGCTGGTGTAGCAGCTAGCCGTGCTGCTGCCGCGGGGGCTGCATCATCAGTCATGCCCGCAGGTGGAGCGGCTACTAGCGTCGGATCGGAAGATGTCGGATTCAGGAGAGGTCCGGCAGCAAGCCCGATCGCCGCAGGAAGACACTGTGTCCGACGTCATCTTGCGATTAGAATTAACCCATAGATCGGTGGGCGCTGGGGTGGAGCAACCCTCAGACGATGCATCACCATCTGAGGGCGAGCAAGATTAAACCTCGCTCGCCCTCAGATGGTGATGCGTCATCGGCGGTTTCCCCACCGCGCGCTCACCGATCTAGGGGCCATCCGACTCGTTAGTCAGATGACGTTGGACACTGCAGTGTCTTCTTGCGGCGGGCGCGCTTGCTGACTGGCTGACCTCCCCTGAACCCGAAATTCCAGATTGACCCAGATCTTTCGGCCCTATGCTCCACCTGCGGACAGTCCTGACACAGCACTGATGATGCAGCTCCCGCGGCAGCAGAAAGACTAGCTGCTACTACAATAGCATCAGCCACCGCAGGAGATTACGCCCCCCTCTCATCAGCCGGACCACCCTCGATGCCCAAAAGAAGCACTCGCCTCGTGGCCATCAGCCTAGCTGCAGTCGCCTCTCGGTTTCTTCAGACTGTATTCCTCCCGAACAATCTTGCGCTTACAGTCAATCGTCGGTCGAATCGGACACACTCGCCCACGGAGAGATATGTAGTATATGCGAAAGGTCACTCAATCACGGACCCGACGGAATACATATTCACCAAGAATAGAGCTGATCTCCGAGATCTCCGAAATACCTCTTGGTGCAGTAGACAAAACGCTCTCTTGCTTGTTTGTGACGGACGGACCAGCAATAAAATATTTCAGGGTGAGAAAAAAACCCTTCAGCTTTGGTCCCCAGAGAAACGTTTTGGTCTGTATTCGATCTGTAACAAAGAGAGAGCAGAGCACTTGCTTCTCCTGTCCGAAACTCCATGGACTGCAGTAGACCAGTACCAGCCCTCCCGATAGTCTTGCCTTCGACCTGCCAACACGGGTAAATACCAGTAGTTGCAGGCCTCTCACACGCTTGACTCCACCCTGAGCATTTTCTCTCGCGAACATGGATCCAGAATACTTGCCGTCTCTGCACCGCATCAATCTGCTACCGTCTATGTAGTGAAAGACTTGTGGAGAGGGGATGACAGCCATCTGACCGAGCGAAAAAAGCTCGTACTTCATAATACTTGTGTGGTATCACCAACCTACGTTCCATCGTCGTCGTCTCCGTCTCCTTCCACCTCCAAGCTAAAGTCGCCCCCGCCCACGGAGCACACGGCACCGCGTATTTGCGTCGCGAGCACGGTGGCGGCCCCAAGCTGGCTACGAGACTGTCGAGAATACGGCCAAAACAACGGAAGGAATAACCGTAATGGCAGTTGGTACAGATTGATCTGGCGGGAAACGGACAGGGTGGTGTGTAGTGGAATTGGAACAATCATCAGCATGCGTGACTGATACTGTACGAGCAGTCGCGGGATGGGTCGTTGTACCATGGTGTGGGGGCTGCGGCGTGATGGTCAAGCGTAAATTGTCGTTGCTGCTGTGTGACACGCCGACAGTCTTCCCTCGACGCACCAAGGACAGCAGTTTGCGTCGTGGCTTGAGAATGCACTAAAATCCGCACTCACCATGACAAACTCTTCCACCATGCGCCCCTGTGATGCTGCAGAAGATGATGCTGTTCTTGGTCCTGCTGCTTGAGGCCCCGCTGCTGCATTTGGTGTCCGATGAAGCCCTGATTGTGAGCATGGCCTTTGCGAACACACACAACACGGCAGTAGCATTAGAGACAAGGCTCGAGTCTAACGCAACAATAGAGAGCCAACACTCCAAAAATTGTGTGCCATGAGGAAGCTACGCTGCTTTTGCTACCACAGTCATGTTGGCTCCACGGCCACGCAGTGGTGTTCACTGCTGTGTCTCGCGCGAGGCCACAGCTGCGAACACCCGTAAATAAGCAAACGAGGTCCTCTCCCGTCCCAAGAGCATGCTCCGCTCACCCTCTTCCTCGTCGCGCCCTTCTCGTCACAAATCCCAGTGCCCTTGCTGTTGCCAACCCCACCCTCATGGTGCAGTGGTGTTGTTGTGTGTTCGTGTTGAACAGACGGTATCAATGATTGTGTTGCGCACAGCGGTGGCGGGCGGCGCGGGTTGCTGGCAAGAGTGACCCGCGGCGCCCCCTATCCCCCCTCAAGCTCCACTTCGCGTACCCCCATCCCTAGACAACTTGCTAGCTCCGTAGCTTAGCTGCGCGAGCAAACGCATCATCAACGCTGGGATAACCGCACGCAAAGCCTTGCTTCACTTGTGCAACGATGAGAATAGCCGCATCAGCAGCAGCCCGGGCTTTCGCCAAAGCAGCTCGACGGACGGCCAGGTGAGTTGTGTTGAAAATTACCGACCGTTGGTTGGCATACGTACAGCGGGGTCTAGTGGTGCGAGCGCTGCAACCGCACACAGACAGCCACACAGACAGCAGCAGCAGCGGCCGTCCCTATTGCTGGCGAGTGAGGTAGCAGTGGAGAAATATGACATTCTACCATCACGCACCCACGCGCTCGATGCCTGTATCATCAGAGCAGCAACACTTCACGTGCAACACTTCACGAAAACTATGCTGAATATCCCTCAAACGCGGCGTAACCTCTCGTATGATCCCACGCCCCATTCGTCGTTGACTGCTGTCACAGGCCGGGACAGATTGGGGAAGGCGTCAGCCACGGCGAAGCTGGGCGAACAATGGCGGCAACAAGAATGCGAGCCATCAATACTGCTACGGGGGTGAGTGTTCGTGGGTTGTGCCTTCGGTCACACTGCAAGGCCGCACACGCGTATCATGTGTTACCTGCCGCAGTGCTGCAGTGCTGTAGACTCGAGCGTAGCCTCGACCGTCGTCGTTGTGGTGCTTGTGATGGCGGTAGGTTTTGACGTGCACGACAAGACCCCTTCGCGTAGCGTTCTAAGGTAAAGCAGTTGTTGAAGCAGTCCACGGCTGTAGCCCCGCTTGAAGGTTATCAACTAGAGGTTGAGGCGATGCTTGCTCGGTCCGGGCAGGAAGGAGAGAGAGTGTGTGTGTGTGTGTGTGTGTGTGTGTGTGACTTGATCCAGTTACACGCCATGACGAGGACCGAGCAATCTTCGAGCTGAAACCCAGTGGTACCATGTGGTGAGCTTCGAGATAGGCGTTGATACATCCGCTTCAATAAGCTGCAGTCTTTTTAGCGCGTCGAATCTATTGTAGAGAGACCGTGACGACGCTTCTCTGAATTTCAAGTGGCCACCCGCCACCACCACCGATTCCCACTCGTGCTGCCGCCCCCCCCCCGCGATAACAACGCTTGGCAGATTCAGACACACGTCGGGGCAGCCGCCGTACTCGTTTCAAAGGTGGTGATGATCTCGTGTTCATCATCAGTAGCGCCGACTTTTTTGGAAGAGGAAGAAGAGGATGAGGATGACGATGGAGGACGGAGGAATTGAGACACCAGCAATGGCGCGGACGCCAAACAACTAGTGGGAGCGAGGGGGCATGACGGTGGTGTTAGGCCGTAAAGGAGTGTTTTCAAGCGCACGTGTGAGCTTGCGTTTTCGGTTTAGACGCTGAACGGTGGTTCGGGGACAACGAGAGTGCAACCTGTTAAAATTACAATTTCGTGGAGTTTGTTAATTTCGTGAAGTTTGTTTGGGGCGATATTTTTCGTCGACATCGCCGAAACTCGTCGTCATTTTTTGGCGCTGCAAGAGGGCTCAAAGATCACGACGCACGCATGATCACCCCCCGTTTGCGACAAACACCTTTCGATGGAGCCAAGGCGTGATTTCCCTGTTTGCAGGAATTGCAGTCTCTATGAAGACCTCAACACGTTTCCTTGGAAAACTGCCCCAAACCGATAGTCCCTTCTGAAATGCTCGAGCTTGCTCAGTCTGGTAGGGGCAACTGCCTAAACATGGGCCAGCCCTTGGATTGCTGTGCCGTCGACTCGTGGTAGTGACTGCCGTCTACGCACACCAGCTGTGACTCCATTCAGTACGTCGCAGAAGCACATTCCGCCGCACCCTACCGCCTTGCCGTGTTTCCTTGACAAGGAATGCTCTGGTGACGATAGAGATCGCAGCAGCACCCAACTCGCAACACGTAACAACACGCAGCTAAGTTAGACCTCTTGAGCCCGTTCGTTTCCCGAGTACAGCCAGCTCGTTCGTCCGTTACTCAATCCCTCGAAGCACTAGGAGGCGGACGTTGCATCGTCCAAATCAAAACTGCAACTACCGACAAAGTGTTTTACCGTACCGTGAATTCCGGGTACGTTGACACTAAACCCGGTAGACTGTAGCTCCCACAACACCTACAAGAAAATTGTCCCTCGAGAAACGTTCTTTCAAAGCAAAACCCAGATTCTTACGTTTTCTACGAAAGCACATGAAGATAGTGGTACGGTTTATCTACGTCCGGGCCCGTTTTCCACCCCCATCATAACTGCTGCCGGCGCTGGCCAGTTTGGCGGCCGCTTTCCTCGCCTCTCTTTCTGCCTCGGCACTGGCCTGCATTTATCACAGGCAACGAGCAAACAACAACGCGGGCCAGGAACAATTTTGGTGTGCACAACAGTTTCACTACTGCAGGCAGAACGCTACGTGCATGTTGTTGGAGATGAGAACCGTTTGGAAGGCGTGAGTGAACCGAAACATTGACTTGGGACACGGTTGTGGCCGTAAGTATGAGTAGATTATCACGGATCCGCGGAAGTGCGTGAGGTCAAGAGAGGCTGCAAACGCAACAAACCACCACCGCATAGACTCAGTGAGCGCGCCAAAGACCGCAAACGACCAAACTGCTGAGCCACGGGACATCATTGTGTACCCGAGGTCAAGATGTTGATGACATAAACGAACGATGGGCTCTTGAAGATTCTTGCAACCCTCCCTGCCGCCACGTGGGGGCGAAGCTAAAATTCTCATTACTTCAAACTATCAACAACCCTGCTGTATACAGCGGTGTTGTGCGTGTGTGTCGGGGAGTCGTGGTGATTTTTGTGAGCACAAGCGGAAAAGCGAACATATTCTGTTGCTACTCGGTTTGTATCTACCAGCATGTCCCACCCAAGAGGACGAGAGAAGTCGAACCAAACACATACCGTGCCACCAAGGGTGGGGATGACCAAACCCTTTTCCAGTGCTACGACATGAGTACCAGGCACAACGCTTCCCCCGCCTCCCCAGGGATGGGAACGAAATCTCTGGGAGACAGGAGACAGAAAACTCTCGAGAGATACAGGAGACTCGTGGAGACAGACTCCGGACCGGGGAGAGAACGGCCGAATAACACTTACGCGGGAACCTCCAAAAGGACCAAGACCCACAAAACGAGGAGCGCTGTCAAATGGCACCGCTGGTGTCTGGTTAATTATGTAAATTCTCTCTGTGGCATAAGTTGCTACGGAGACCGCGAATGCGTACAATATAAATAGGGTTATCAATTAAAACATGGGTAGATGGAGAGATCTGAACGATTCATAATGTGAAGACAACAACAACATACCTTCGCCTCGTCCCCTGGCCCCAGCATGGCCTCCGCCTCGTTGTCCGCCCAAACCCCCCCGTCCTTGTCCTCGTCTTCGGAGTCACTGTTCGCACCGTCGCCGCCACCACGCCCACCGCCCTTCCCGCTGCTTCGCTTGTCCGACCCCTTCTCCCGCTGCCCCCCCCCATCTTCCTCCTCCTCTTCCTCGTCCTCCTCCACATCGAAAAGCTGCTCCCGGGCCTTGAGATCCTTCTGCTTTTGCCTCGCGACCTGAATGAGGGAAGCGAACGAATGACGTTGAATGAGTATTTCTGCAGACGTGTAATGCAGACGATGGGTGTTATATGAGCCAAGGAAGCGAGCGAATCATGTTGTATTGAAGTATTTCGTTAGACGTACAGTGCCGACGACGGGTTTCATAGGAGCGAAGGAAGCGAGCGAAAGATGTTGTGTGAGTATTTCGGTAGGCCTGAGCAGACGATGGGTACAATAGGAGCGAAGGAAGCGAACGAATCGTTTTGTGTGGGTACTGCGGTAGATGTTTGCAGACGGCGATGACTGTTATGTGAGCGCAAACAGCCTGTGTGCTTGAGGGGGGCTTGGGGTTCTCTTTTTCAGCTGATCATTGACGTCGCACCTATCCCCAAGGCGGACCACTGCTACAACGGAACTAGTAATAGCAGGGACACATACAACAGAGCCTCGCGTACCCCGAAACACACGGCGGTTACACGATACCGTATAGTATGCATACCCTGCTGTGCTACGACGGTAAACACCGAACCGGCGCCAATGATGCCAATGCGAGTTGAGGTGGTACAGAATTTTCTACGATGCTGCAAACGTATTCTATACCCCTTGGCACAGCCAGCTTGCCTGGATAGCGGCCAGGTACTGGCCGTACTTGTTGCCGAAGATGTTCTTGTTCCCCCCCGCTCCTGTGGCACACCCCCGGCAGCCGGTGTTCACGTCCTCTACCACGGTCCCAGCCGACAGATACTGCTTTGGCACCTGCGCACACAGGAAAACGCAAAAGTACACAAAAGAAAATGAAGTGAAGGAGGCACACGGTTGCGTTGTCGGGCTCGACGGGCGAATGGTAACGTTAACACGAGGCTAGGAGTTTCCAGGTTACCTAGAGCATTTTCGACAAATATGCGGGGATCGAGACGACCGTAGTCGTGGTGGGGGAGAAATCTATCTCTACTCTTTACATCGATCTCAAACGGCCAGGCAGCAGCGGGTGACAACCCAAGACTCGCTTCGGTTAGCTGGCGCCACTCACCCTGCAGATGCTGACGGTACCGAACTTGTAGTTCTTGGTGTTGATGACGTAGGTGCTGCAGAGCCGCTCGTACCCGGGCTTCTTCCACTTGGCCATCAGAGGGCCGTCCACAAGTTTCTGCAACACCACGAAACGCATCGTGTCGCCGTCAGATTCGATGTTGTTTGGTCAGCGTGCGCGCGTCTCTCAGTGCAGTATTTCGTGCTACAGAACTTGCATCCTCTGCAGCGCCAACCAGCTGCAAACATGAAATACTCCAATTGACAGACTTGACGAGCACAGGTTGATCATTGGCGTCGCCGGCGCTAACTGGTTAACCATTCAGAAGACTTCACTCGGTGTGGCAGAAAAAAACGGACAACAACGCCTCCAAGCCTCACGATCTGGTGTCTCGGAGGAGGGCTCTCGCGGGCGTGTATGCGAATGTCACCCCCCCCGGCGACCATACGTTAGCAATAGGACATTCCGCTGTGCGCTCCGTACCGGAAAGGGATCAAGCCCCTCTTCACTGCACTCACGCTGCGAATGCAGTACTCCAGAACGTCCTTGGTGATGGCCTTGTAGACGTAGTGCATGTCGTAGACGTAGCGAGAGCGCTGCCACGTGATCTGGAAGACCGGCCACAGCGCCTCGTTCTTGCGCTTGCCCTCGTGCTGCTCGTTCACCTCTGTCAGTATCGAACGAACACGATCATCATCACCCCACCAACAGAGATGGGCGAGTGTCGGGGGTCGGCCAAAGCAAAATAATCACAACAGCAGTAGGGTAAACCGCGATGAGTGCGTGCAGCAGGTTCAAGGTTGCGCCTCGATTTCAGGACATACCCGTATCGTTGCCACAAGATTAAAGCTACTTTTTGGTTGCGATGAAAAGCGTTTGGGTTTAGTCAGGTGGAAAGGCGCGACAACGGCAACCTCTCCTTAGCGCTGTTGGTCTGCCGCTGGAGACACTCTAAATAGTATATATAGCACCAGAGTCTAACCTTCACCGAGGTTGAGACTGAAGACTGCGGTAGGGCCATCATCAGGTACCAGGTAGGTTATAGGTCGGTCGGTCCGCCGTCGGTACGTAGTTCCTTTGTCATTATCAACGACATATGTATGAAGCATTGGTGCTCCTCGACAATTGGGATCGACTCCCTTCGTCAACCGAGACTTAAGACCGCACGTCCCCAGGGATGCGTCAGAGTTGGCCATAAGTGACAAGGTACATACACACAGCGTTGACGGGGCTGCTGTTGCACCAGCTTCACGAAGCAAAGAGCTACAAGTCAAAGGGCCCGCCCCGCGACCGTGTTGCGTGTTGCGCTCCACCGCACTGCAACACAACACAACACACCGCCATTACGAGCGATGGCCAGGGCTGAGGTACAGACAAGAGTGGAGGGAGGCGACACATCACATCTCGGCAAAGGTCACCAGGACGCCGCACGTTGGTAGTGCTGCTGTACAAACATCGCCGTTGGGGTGTTGAGATCGCGCTGCGTGCTTGCTGCCTGCAGTAAGCTGCAGTACACCACAAAGCTTAGGGAAATTAAAACCTCCGGGACAATTCAAAAACCCTCGACCAAATCAACTTTATCACTCCTTTACAAGTGCGTTGGCGAACGACACATGATTGCCTTCGACCAAGGGCTTGGCTATGTGCCCTCTGAAGGGCGGCTAAACGAGCTGCAGGTAAGTTGTCGCGTGAGAAACAACCAGCTGAGAGAACCATGGTACTCACTTTCCCGCAGCTCGTTTTCGAGCGCGTTGAGGGTTGGCTCGAGAATCTCGAACCCGGGTGGTGGGCGTTCTTTCCTTGCAAACCTCGACATCGTGGCGGGATCCTTGTGCGTCGCAGCGGCTACACAGCAGCTATGTGCGTGACCAAGCACCACCTGGCTCCAACCTCCAAGCGGAGCTCACCCAGGGGTCTCCGCAACGTGCAAACATGCACCCCCTTTCGAAACAGACGAAAAAGAGAAGTCCCCCCGCATCACCGCCGCCGCTAGACCACAGCATCATCCACTCGAGCCACACGCAGCTTCCACAGCCAGGAAGCAGCAAACACAAATACTCCCCACTTGTAATCTGTACATCTCGAGTGTGGTAGTCTATTTCGTTTACTTCGACGAAGACACGGGGGGGGGTAAACACAGCGAGAGCTTCCCAAGAGCTTCGTGATACTTGCCACAGGAGACCAGGACCGCTGACTTTCGAGGTTTGGACGCTTGACAAGAGACAATGTCCGACAACGTCAGCAGCAGCAGCAGCGCTGCCGGAGCGCCTGAGCTGGGACCTCAGAGCAAGATCGCTATCGTCCCGGACGCGTCGGCTGGATCGAACCCAAACGGGAACGGTCACAGCGTTGTGGAGAAGGCACACAGCAGCCCCGCGAATGGTGTCGAGATCTCGCCACCAGCACCGGCACCACCGGCAGAAGTAGCCGTGGTTGCCGCTAATAAGACCGACTCGTCAAAGCTGGCGTTTAACCCGATCAGCCCTGGGCTGAGCAGCGTCAAGCTACCGCTGGGCCCTTCACCCAAGGAGGAAGCGAAAACGGTGAGGATTGTAGTTTTTTTTTGTGTGTGTATCGCGGGACATTTTTATGTCACAGGTATGGGTCTCGACATGTTGTGTCGAGTTTTAAGTTTTTTATGTACAAGTAGCCTCTCTGTTTACCATATGAGCATCCAACCATCCAACCTGCTGTCAACTACCAATGCCACACACCCTAGGCTTGGTGCGCACACCTCACACGCTACACGACGCTCGTTGCTTTGGCGGTGATGTTCTTATGCTCTGAGGATACTTGTAGAATAATTTCGCCGGGACCTGCTCAAGTCGAACGTTGGGTTGTACTGCTGTACATATCTACGGCCTCGTAACTCCATCTGTCAGCATGCTTGGGCCAGAAACGTAGGCTCAGCTGCACCAGCACGTAGTAGTAGTAGCAGCTCAAAAACGCGTTATGCTTCGAGAGTTCACGAGCAACCAATTGTCGACTAGACTGACTACACCTGTGTTCGGGTTATCCATCGTATCTGGTCTCCTTGTTTGTTCTCCCGCGGAGCATTTTTTTTCAGTACTTTACGCCAGCGCTGGTATTCTAGTACTTGTAGCATCTCTGCCGAGTAGGACCCCCCTACCGACTACGCACTCCTCCTGCGGTGCTTGCCTTCGATATCGTACACATCCGACAACACCAACCTCTGCTGCAACTCCTCCACTTCCGCCGTGGGTCCCGGCTACAAGCAACGCTCTACAAGTCGTAGGATGCGTCTTGTTCCGAGTAATGAAACATCTCGGGGAACCCAGGTGTACAAAAATTGTGTGTTGGTTCGGTGTGATGGTTGACAAGTGTTGCTCATGATCGTTATCCTTTGATTCGCACATGCTGGTTTTCCCCCACCGTGCAAGGCTTCGCCCGAGAAAAAGGAAGAGGAGGAGCCGCCTGTGGAGGCTAAGGTCGGGGACCTGGTAGAGTTGTTCATGGGGAGGGGCCAGGTTCGCGGCATCCGACAAGAGGACGGCATGCTCGAGGTGTGGGCCGTGGGCTGGGAGATGGCCGGCGAGCAGAGGGCTCGCTTCTTCGTCCCGAGGGAGACCGTCAAGGTGGTTCCGACGGTGTACTACAAGATGAACGGTGAGAGGCAGTATTTTTTTGTTATTTTTCTGAGAAATTTCTTATTGAGAAAAAACAACCGGCTCGTCGGACCACTTGATGATCGCAACAAGTTGTGTAAAGGCTGCATTTCGATGCTGTGCGCCTACAAACAAAGGGCGCGTGGTTTAGAAAACGGTTTTTGCCTCCCAGTCCTTTGTCGGCAATATTAGAAGAGACTATGAATCTGGCCCGCTGTATCTTGCCGCCTTGGGGTTGCATGCCGCGATGCCTTGCAGATGTTGAGGCGTGCTCCGTCTAAGACAAACGGAGAAATATAACAAAAACAAGAGATGCATGTAGTCGTGCTCGACGTAAGCACGCCTTAAATGGACGGAGGACAAGAAAAAAACAAGAAATTTACTCTTTACCCGCTCGACGTAAGCGTGCCTTCAAGTTGCTTCGATCCTGTCGACAGCTGTACTGTAGTCAACCTTGAACAAGGTCGGCGAAAGAGCAGAATTCAGGCCGTGTGTTCTTTGAAATATGACTATTATATGCTGCCTTGATGAGGTTCTTTTTTTGTGGAAGCTGCTTCAGGTAGGCGTCCGTCGAACGCATGTGTATCGTCTTCAGTGAGGCTACATATGACCCGGTTTTTATGGACGGTGGGGGGTGGCTCCGTCATGGAGGACCGTGCGCTGGACCAAATGTATAATGTGTACGAATGTGTTGGGAAATGTTTGCGCAAGTGTTTGCTACGCTCCGACAAGACCCCGGCAAACACGGGCATGGTACATGTGAGTGAGATGGTTGGTTTGTTCGCCGTCGGCCAGAGCGGTTGTCGTCCGCACGCGCTGGTCACTCACGTGATGCTCGTCGCCCTCGCGGCGTGTATCCCGGCGCTGTCCTCCTCTGCTTCGCTGCACGGGTGATGTCTACTTCCGTGGTGCTGTTCGTTTTCAGCGCTGGAACGGCTGCAGATGGCCGCGTGGTTGAAGGAAGAGGGTGCCAAGCTGTTCAAGGCAGGCGATTTCGAGAAGGCTGCCACAAAGTAAGCCAGTTTTGTGAGCTCTCTCTTTTTTTTTTCCCGTCTTCTGTGGTAGGCTGTCACAGCACGTTATGATAGTGTTTGATTTTCTGGTATACACCGTTGGTCTCGCATTGCAGTGCAGTGCAGCAGCAGCAGCAGCAGCAGCAGCAGCAGCAGCTGTAGTGATTTTTCGGTTGGAAAGTGCGCTTGCTGGTACTGCTAGATACGTGTCCTTCAGTTTCCTGTTTCGTCTGGATGGCCTTCTCTTTCGAAGGAAGCATCACGCAGCCGCCTCTTCGCCCGTCCGATTGGTCTTTCCTCTGGACGATGCGCACTACGGCAAGCTTCAGCGCACGGTGTAATTCTGTTTTTGGTGTGCCACACCACAGCAGTGAGACTTCGCGTCTATGTTCATTTATCTATCTGCCTTACGTTGCCTTTCAGCGTCTTGCCAAGATGATACATAAATACGTGAATAGATGGAAACACAACTTAAGTAGACACGGTGGTACTGTTGTATTTGACCATGAACATCGTCCGACCAAAGGAGGAAGAGAAAACCTCAGCGCACGCCCATGGCTTGCCCTACGTCTTGGCGTTGTTGGTGACACATGTGGTGTAGGTATATGAAGTCGATCGGCGTGCTCAAGACGGGCGAGTTCACCACCAACGCCCAGAACGCGAGAGCGGTGCAGCTGATGATCCCGTGCCACAACAACGCCGCCACGTGCTACATCAAGAGAAAAAACTACGGGGACGCTAGGCTCCTTACAGAGAACGTGAGAGTTTTGACACCCAAGGGTCCCGTGTTCAACACTCGTACTCCTTACTATATACATTCGATGAGTACCGTTACCTTCATGCGAAAGTGTGTAACCAATTGATAGCAACACTAGGTCGCTGATTTTCGGAACGATGAGGGTAGCATATTTTGGTTTTGTCCCACAGGTAGTCTTTGCAAGCAGTACAAGTGCAGAGCGTATGGTTGTTGCACAATGGTCAACGCCCAAGGTTAGGATTTGCGGTAGGATTAGTGTTGCGATAGACTGGCACCGCTGTTCAGGTTCGACGAAGAGCATGTTGACGCCAGACTCGTGGGAGTGATCGGTGCGGGAATCTCAGCGCCACTGGTGCTGTTTTCTCAGACAACGAAACGGTTAGCAACGAGCGGAAGTCAGCACAATCAATTTCGAGGTTGACTCAAATATGGGCTGCTGGTAAGGGCCGTCAGCCGAGGCATCCTGTTCCAGGTGCCTTCTCTGCTGTAGGCTGTTGTTCTCACCACCGCAGCTTTGGTGACGATGATACCATCTATCTCTTGTGGGTGAGACCCGATGAGATCTCATCCCCTGGGAACCGACTCCAATCCACGATAACCTGTTCACATGGGACGTTCTGGTGATTTCGAACGCAGGTCGACACCCTCTGCAGCGCCTTAGAGCGCAACAGGGACGGTAAGGTGATGAAGGAGCTGAAGGAGAGAGGGGTCGGGGAGACCACCATCCTGGGCCAGTGGTGGTGCAAGGGGTTGTTCTTGGGAGGCAAGGCGTGCCTCTACCAGAGCGAGAATGAGGAGGCGGTAAACTACCTCAAGAAGGGGAGCAGGGTGAGTGCGGGTGTGGTAGTGGGGCATGAGATCTACCACACACCCTGGACCGTTTGTTTTTAAGCTCAATTACTCCACGACGAAGAGGATGCCGAAAGCAACATATGACGTTTTCGGAAAAGCTCTCGACGAGACAGTAGTTCCAATGCCGCCATTTTCGGCACCGCAACTGCTTTGGAATAGTCGAGCTTCAAGAATCGGTCCAGGGGGTGTGATATCTGATGTCACCGGGGTACGTTGCTTGGGTACTGGCTAATGACACATGCCGGTTGTGGTGTTTCGGAGGGCAGCGACGTCAGGACCGGACTAGCTTGCCGTGTGCTGTTGCCGTCGCAGTGCAACGTGTCTTGGAGTTCATTTCGTTCCGATCGCTCTTGAACAACATGTTCGTTTGTTTTGTGAGATAGGGTTGTTGGGGTGGCCGGCGTTTGTGGTGAAGTCGAATGTAGTTTTGGGGCGCGCGCTGTCCGCTGACCCCTTTGCAGCTTTCTCCGGATGCTTGCAGAACTGGGCACGTTCTGAAGGCGCTTTTTTGTTCGACCCGGCTTAAACCGGGGCGTTTATTTTTGTGGAAACAAGTTCTTCCCCAGAACGCGCGTGTCTCTTCCTGTGGCCTTTACTGGGTTATTATCGCAGAAAGAGGAGGAAGCTATTTGTGCCGGGGTTGTGAACCGCGTTAGTACTTTCCCTTTTCACGGGGTTGGGAGGCCGCGTATGTTTCCCGAACCGAAGCGGAATCTGTGTTGTGAAAAATACTGGTATATGCATCCTGCTACCTCTGCTGCAGCAAGTAGGTGGTATCCTGGTGCTCTTGTGGCAGAGCCGCGCACGTTGCTTTTGCGACCGATCTTGTCTCTGGTTATGGTGCAGGTACAACAGTAGTAGGGCCATTTGCTGCTGGTGGTGGTTGCTGCTGCTCTTTTGCTGCGGATGCTTTACGGCGTTGTGGTCGATTCCTTTTTTTTGTTGCCTCCTCTCCGAAAAGGTCATCCGGTGGTGATGACTGGATGCTCCCGAAGAGCGTTGGAGAGCGAAAGGCGCTCTGCCATCCCTTGACCCCCGTTTATATCAAAACCATCGATACCACCGCCGGTCCGTGGAAACCTTGCTATCGCAGTTGGCCAAGCCTGCGGCTCTGGCGAAGCTTCGTGCGGAGATCAACAACGAGCTTGAGAAGGCGACGAAGCGATTGGCCAGCCAGACCAAGAAGGCGCAAAAGATGTGGTCAAAGGTACATCATTGTCATGTAGGCATGAGCAAGTTGTGTGAGAGGACGGCATGACCGCCGGGCATGGTGTCGCGATGGTGAACGAACACCCCAGCCAAGACCAAGAATAAGACGAACACAACTAAATCTGCAACACCGCAGATGTTTAGTTTGTTTTATTCCCAGACAGCATTTTCGGGGCGTCAATGGGGTCTGTTGGGAATACTCTTGCTTTATTGTGGGAAGTCGTTTTCTTTTGTGCTCTTCATGTTTTCGAGATAGTGGGATTGCTGTCGTGCGCTTTCTTGGGTATGGTTGTCACCACAAGCACCACGGATACCCATCTCTTGACATTTGACGAGTACGCAGCGGGATGCACTCGATGGAACTGGCATCACTGGGCCAACAGGGGCTGGTTTTGATGACGTCATCATCTGTTGTGATACGTCCAACCATTGATCGAACGATATCGTGATATTTTGGTGTGAAATTGTATGACCCGATGGGATGGCATGATTGCGCATCCGTAGCTGGCGTGGTGGACGATGCGGTGAATCGGTATGCCCTCTCGGACCCATCCGGGTTCGCATGTGCCAAGAGCGCTGATTCGAACCCCCCTTGGTAGAGCTGACACAGCAGTAGGCAGCCGTTACGTAGGTTGCTTGGCTGAAAATGCGCGGAGATGATGCCGGAGGACGTCTCGGGGAAAGGGCGCCTTAAATCTGTGTCTGTGTATGTCTGTATACGCGTGCACTAGGGTATTTCAATATTTGGTGCGAATTGTACTACGTGCGTTGTTTCTGGAAGATAAAAAAGAGAAACATTCGTTCTCCCGTGTGCTTGATTCCCTCACTCCCCGCCGGTTTTCCTGCCCTACCTGTTCTTCCTGCCTTGTCTGCTTGCTCTGCAGGCGTTCTCTAAGAACTCTACAGACGTTGCGCCAGAGCAAGAAGGAGTCCCTGCTGCAGCCGAGAAGAGAGCTTTGCCGTCTATGCCCACGCGAGCGATGGACGGGAGGAATGGGGGTCCTGAGAAGTCCGTGGTGGAGCGATTGGAGGCGTTGGCAAAGGTACGGTGTTGTAGTCGATGCAAATTACGATACCATTTGGCATTTCTTCCGTTCAGTTTTTTTTTGTCGTAGTCTCTGCTTGGATGGAATGATACGTGTACACGTTGTCCCATCGGTGCTGGCTTCCGCATGACAGCCGTAAGAGCTGGCACAAGAAAGAAGAGGAATCCACTATAATAGCTCTTGCAGTCGGCACCGACTCTCAAAAATTCGCCCAAAGGAGGGGGATGCGTCCTTCAATCGGGGGGCTCCGAGGTGTGGTATTGTCGCCAGGGTTACCCAAAACTGTTGCCCTTGTTCAGCTCCCTTGCAAGTGGTCCGATGGCCAGGTTGTGTCGGCGACAACACCTCTGTGGTGAACCCTGTGAGGCGACCGTAGCTGCATCACACGTCTGGTAGAACCAAGCTCGTCTTTGCTGAATGTTGGCGATGCACCACTTTTGAGGTGCTCTCTGTCGTTCTTCGGCGGTGTCTCAATTGTAGCTCTTCGATACCGCATTGTCTTACAAGGCGATTGATCGTGGTACATAGCACTCTCACGAAATTGTAATCAACGAGCCCGCCGCACGCTCCCGTTGTGCCGCGAAAAGATGGGGGTGGTTCCAGCGATTCCAGAGCCTAGCAAGACAACCCCGAAGCAAGATGAGGAGCAGGGCGAAGAAGGCGAATCGGAAGAGGAAGAATACGACTCAGAATACGAATACGATGACGACGAAGGCTCAGGGTCTTTAGCGTCGAGCGGGCTGCTGTGGGGGTCGCTAGCGGTCGGGGCTGTCGCGCTCTCCGTTGCGACGCTCGTGGCGTTGGGGAAGAGACGCTGAGTGTCGGTGTGGGGCCGCCGTGACCGTGCGTTTTCTTCTTCCTCGTGTGTGCGCGCGTCTTGTGGTTGTTTGGGTTGGCTCTGTCCACGACGGAGACACACTCTGTTTGGTGGTTTCATCGTTGTTGTTGGAGGAAATAACGTTCTTGACGGGTTCGACCTACTTACTCTGCGGGAGACAATGGGTACCTGGTACGGCGTACTTGAAGATTTTCTAACGTTAGGCCCACACGCTCCGCGTAAGTCCTGTTGGTCCAGCTTCCGTAGAATATGCGGTGACGTGTGTGGTCTACACTGAAAGATTCGCTCCTTGTGAAGATCTGGAGTAGTGAATTCGTCAACCTCTACCAGACCCAGGCATGGTGACATGCTGTTAGTTGTCTGCCGCTGCTGCAACCGACGACGTTAAGTAGGCGTGTTGCTCGCTCTCGCCCGATTGGCGACAACGACGCTATGAAGTAACTCCCGACCAGCCTTGGCTGAGCATCTTGACAACCAGAGAGATGCGAATTTGTTGGGGGCAGCTATATTTTCTGATCGGTAAACAAGGTAAGGTCGAGGAAACCGCCGTGGCTGAGTGTGGATGACCGCTCACGACATCATTCATGCATGGAATCGATTTGGCGTTTGGGAACACGGACAACATAATTTACTTGAGTGATTTCCCTAGCCGACCGATGTTTCTGCAACCTTGTGTTTTGCGAGTTGCCGACGCGAAAGACGATCCTGCCATGCATACGTATTTTTTGCTGAAAAGCGCAGTCTCTCGTCTCTCATGGACGATCTGTTAATTTGTTAATTCTTGCGGCCGGCTTGCGAATCCTCGGCGTCAGGATTAACGGAAGCACATCCACGCCTGGGTCGATGCGGTTGAATGAACCTTTTACAGCAGTATGCATGCATTCTGCGGTTGTGCGTGCGTTAACAGAACAACGTATGGACCCGGAATAACAGCGATATTCTGAAGCCCGATGGGGATTCACTCTTTGTTGTCGCCGAAATTCTCAGAGCTGTTTTCGATTTTGACCCCACTAAGTGACTCCAACAAAAGTGGCTTCACTCTGTTTTTCACATGGTTTTTCAGTAGGTGATCTCCGGGCCTCTTCTCTAAAAGCAAGTTGTTTTTCTTCGGTCGATGTTGCTCGAGATTCCTTCGACATTTTTTCCTGTGGGTTAGATAGAGGTGGGCGTCCCGCCTGGCCCCGTCTGCCCCTCCTGCAAGTTTGGTGCAAAAGCTTGAGTCAGTTTTTGAGAGAACGTGTCCGTTGTTGTGTTATTCGTACAATAGATCTCCCCCGTGCGAAGAACCGAAACGCTCCCTACCTCTCAACCTTTTACCCCCACGGGTCGTGAAGGGTCAACAAGCACCAGAGATATATGGATGGACCCCACAACATAAAACACGCACCTCCCTTTTCGGACTCTCCTTGAGGGGCCGTTTGCGCCCCCCTCCCCTTATTCGCAGCGTACCCAGGAAGTCCGAGTAACAAAAAGGGGTAAAAGGATGGGATCGGAGGGGTCAGTAGCAGGCGAGGGGGCGGCGGACTCGAGGAAGTGGCTCATATTGTGCTCAGCTCCTAGCTTGTGGTGCTGGTGGCGGGGCGCCTGTTGTTTTGCTCGTCCAGGAGTTCAAAGTCGACCATCGCAAAGGATAAAGAGGCGTCACTCGGCGGATGACGAGGGATTCTCGCTGCACACGGTACACGATGCGGTTGTTCGTTCACGAAGGGACCCAAGGCCAGCCAAGTCGAAGGACATACATGCAGTCGTCGGCTGGCAACACCTTCTAAAAACTGCATCAACCACACATTACATTCTTCGAGTGAAATTCCCGGAAAAGAGGGCGACGTGAGCGATACTCGAACACCCCACAGGCATAGACTATGTACGAGCTATAGACTATGCATAGCATTTTAACTACAGCAGCAGCAGTGAGTGAGTGGTGGCGCAAGAGTGCGTGCAGAGAGGAGCGCGGGAGAGGCTCTCCTCTCTCTCCTCTGTCTGTCTGTCTGTCTGTCTGTCTGTCTGTCTGTCTGTCTGTCTGTCTGTCTGTCTCTCTCTCTCTCTCTCTCTCTCTCTCTCTCTCTCTCTCTCCGCTTCCCAAACATCTGAGATCATTCCTCGCATGCATGTACAGGGTAGGTGAACTGTAGACCATGCACACGTGCTGTAGACTGGTAGTCTGCCTGGATCGGGATAACCCCCGCGAATTCCAGATAACCCGGCTTGGACGTGTTAGTGTTATAGTCTACAGCAGTATTACTTGCTTGCCAATTTTTTCCTCAAAGACGTTCCGACCTGAAAGATCTCGGAAATTGAATTGTCTGTCTTCACTTCAAATCAGCGCTCACATGTCAGCAGCCGTTTTTACTCCAACCCGTGGTCACACAGAAGGGCCCTTCTCTATCCTCCCCTTCTGCGGTACGTTGCCTTCGATGTTAAATGCTAGAAGAGTTCAGCACTCTCTTCCCTCTGTGTACACACGAACTAAATGGCGCTGTCCACTAGGCCAGGAGCGGAAGCGAGAGAAAAGCTCACTTTGCAAGAAAAGCTAGCTTTATGCCGGGATTCGAACCTCTGGCCTGACCTCCAGAAGGTTTCGAGGATACCAACTAGACCGCCGGGGCGATAGTCTTCCGCAAGCTGGATACTTCGGCATTTAGCGAAGTGACGCGTGATTCGATCAACCAAAGTACAAACGCCTCTTCCTGTTCCCTACACCCACGCACCCCAACTCCTCTCCGCCACACCTACCTAACCTACGCTCTACGCCACCATTCTGTAATTGTGTTGAAGTCCGGTCATATTCCAAGGCCTCGTCTAGACAAGTCTGTACGACACGGAGTTTGCCATGAATGTTGGCAAGCTCATTGTTGCTACAGCGCTGCTGCTGCCAAATGGGATGGATGCCTGCAGCTGTCCTGAACGCCCTACTGTATGCGAAGCCGTGGAAAATGCTGATGTTGTACTACGTGCCGTGCTCGTCTCCAGGTAAGAGGTGACGTGCTGTCATGCGTGTGTTCTCTCGTCTCGTTGCATCCGTGTGTACTGCAGAAACGTTTCCCACGTACTTGCGGGGAATTTTCTCACAACATGTTCGGGCAGCGGAGAGAGAGAGAGAGAGAGAGAGAGAGAGAGAGAGAGAGAGAGAGAAAAGAGAGAGAGAGAGGAGAGCCTCTTCTCGCTCTCCTCACTACAGTAGTCCACCGACAAGCAAAAATAAGCGGTGTACCTAAAGACCCCCCCGGTGGGGTATACAGGCCTTACTTTCCCCACACCTCCTCCACCCGTCCACCGGCGGGGTTAGGACCTTATCTTCCCCACACCATTTATGTCTTGTTGTTTCTACACCTTCTTTATCCAGGTGGTGGCAAGGTGGTGGGGTAAAATGAGGCCGCCTACTGTATAAGTGGGGTAAACAGAACGTCGCTCATCTACATAGTCTACCCACGATGTGGTCGATAAGAATTTACCGGCGGGGTGTTTAGACGACCTGTCAAGTAAACGGAGTGAGTGATGCCAGCAACAAGTCAGGAGAAATGATTTACCGTAATAGCCGTAGAGTTGGCACCGGGTGCGATTGTGTTTACTTTCGTATGTCTCGGGTTTTTTATCACATCCCGGTGCCATCTCTCCGACCCCGGTGCGGAAATGCAATTACATCACTTCTTTTAGTTTTTCCAAGGCACCCCGGTGCGATCTCTCCGACCGGTGCCATCCCCGATGAAATACACACACACAGGTCTTGTATGCACACACGCACCCGGTGCCATCTCCCCGAGACCGGTACGAGAGTAAGTAGTATTGACACCAGTGTAGGCACCCACACACACGGTCTTCTTCACACGCTAGTTGATCATGCTATTGATCAGTATATAACCACACGTACATACGTGTATGCATAGGTACCATTGTTGCTGGTTGGAAGCACACCGGTAACGGCAACGTAGTAGTAGGCTGGTACGTAACAGCTTTCCATGCAGCGAGTGGTCTTATGTTTGATGCGAGTTTGGCTATAGCGTGACAACAACAAATTATGTGGTTTCCATCTGACATACGGCATCAATTGTTTCCCGCTTTCGTTTCGATCTTCTTTTCGTATACCAGTAGGTACGCAGAAGTACAATAGTTTCGGGTTGTGTAAGGTGGGGTAGGGACGGCTTGTAGGTTGTGTGCTTGATTGATTGAGTGTACGGTCGGCAGCTTTCATACCAATAAAAAAATGAAAACATCTGGCATCCTGCGTGAACCGCGACCATCCAATCGTACGCAAAGGAGTGGCGCTCCGCTGACACCGTTCCCACGTGTAAAAGTAAGCACATGCACCTCATTCCGGCAGCTGAAAGGAGCTCAATCTTGGATTTGGGGGTCGGAGAGATCGCGCCCGATGCAATCTCACCGACCCCGGCGCGTAAATCGAATTAATTGTTTCTTTCTCGTTTTTTTTGTCACACCCCGGTGCCATCTCTCCGACCGGTGCCATCTCTCCCCGAAAAATTAAACGCACCCACAGGGACGCACATAAGCCATGCACCCACACCTTTTTCACCGACGGAAATCCTGTGTGAGGAACGAGTGTCACGAACATGTATGTTTTTTTTGTTTCTTCCACCTGTCGCTCTACTACAGGCAGGCGCAGTTTTCTGTTCCCTCCAACCAGCAACTACATGAAACCGGCTAGAGTCCCTATTTTGCGCTAACCCTAACCCTAACCCCAAACCCACCCAATAGGTGCTATGTTTGCGTTGGGTGGCTCAGTTCTAGGTTGTTGTGCCGGCATTGGTGCTAGGTTGGTATTGATGGGATAATCTCTAGGTTGGTATTGCTTGGATAGGTGCTTGGTTGGTGTTAATGCGATCGACCTAGGTTGGTATGGCTTGGATAGGTGCTAGTTTGGTGTTGACCTGTGTAGGTACTAGGTTGTGCGGGCCTAGGTCGCTCTTGGTTGGGTGGTTCCGTCGGTAAAAAAGAGGTGTGGGTGCATGGCTTATATGTGCGTCCCGATGGGTGCATTGAATATTTGTCGCCGGAGCTCCGGCCGGTGCCAACTCTCCGACTATTACGGTACTTGCACAAAACGCTCATTTTTTCTTTTCACGTTGTTGTGTTCTTTTTTGCAGCGTGGAACACAGTGGCGGCTTCTTGGCCGACGCCGTTGTGAAGGTCATCAAAGTGTTCAAGTCCGAAACAGGCCTGGAGAAGTACGCCGTGGACGAGGAAATCCAGGTCCTCTCTCCCGGCAGCACCAATTCCTGTGGGGCCTGGGGGGATTTCGGCGAAGAATACCTCGTTGATCTTCTCCGCGACGATGATGGCCTCTACCCGGTGCTGCCTTGCGGAATTGCCAGGCCTTGGGTCTCCCTTAGCGAGGACGACGAAGAATCCATTCGAGCTTGTTCCTGTGACGGTGGCTGTGGCACATTCCAGGTAAGATCTACATACTGAGGTCTATTCGGCCTAGGGTGTACACTGCGACTTTCAAAAGGCATGGGGAGCACGAACATTGTATTCCCTATAGCACAGTAGAGCAGTAGCATCGTGCGCGGAGTACTAGTGTACTTTGCGCAGCACGCACTACGTACGGCGTTCCTGCAGCTGTCAAGTGATGCATCACGTTGCCCTCCGGCTATCAGCCTGTTGGTATTCTTTGTGAGAGAATATTGGAAAATCACGGCAACGTACATCATTGTGCTTGGCAGAAGTTTGCCACTTTTAAGATTGCACGTGCCAACCAGCCAAAAGGTATTCAGGCTAGACTATGTACACCATCAGCACCGTACAGTACATACATGCTGAAAAACATGTGTACAGTAGTTACGTCTTGCTGTTACCACGTACTGTAGGCGTCGTGATGGCTGAACACAGAAAGAAATATAGCCGAAGCGCGCACCTATTCCTCTTCCGTTGCTCTTGTTTCTTGCTTGGCCGAACAATAGGAATGTCTTCCAAACGAAAGCGAATACCCGGTGTACGGTGGATCGGCCGAGTACTACTGCGCCGACGTGTGTATCCCGACCCCGTGCGGCGATGAAGAGGTGTGCGAGCTCCTCCCCGTGCCTTGTGCTCAGGAGACCTTTTGCCCCGAGGTGGCGGTTTGCTACCCTGCTACTCCAGAGCCGCCAACGCCCGCACCTAGCCTTGAACCAACAGCACCACCTACAATCCCAGGTAGGGCCCCTCGTTCACCTGACGTGGTGGGTTGGTTCTGTGACGCAGGCGAGAACCCACGCCGAACTCGGTGTGCCTTACTGTAGGACGAAAATATCCATCCCTACCTGTCTGGCGGCGGGTCCGCTTCTTAAGAACATCGCTCTCCGGTCGCTGTGCTTCTTGTCCCGTCTTAACAACTCTTTCCGTTCAAGTTGGCGAAATCTTGTCCCTACGTGTGGCTTACTACATAGACTATGCATGTTGCGTTTCCTGGGAAGAATATTTTAGGTGAAAATGTGAGGAAATACATGTATGTAGTCTATCGATATTAACGAGAACGACTCCCTTAAACGCCGTCACGCGAACCCTTCTAACACTCTCACGTCGACGATGGGCACACAGACGCTATTGTCTCGTGTGGATCTTGGGAGTGTGGTGCTGGATACACGAACATAGAACGCGACAGTTTTCTACGGACCCGTCGCCTCATTCGCGGAGGAGGCTACGAAGTTCCCTAGACTCTGGCAGTAACGATGTGTTGTACAGCACTGACGGATATACGACCCTCGGAAACTACCCCATGTGCCGCCAAGACAATTGCTGCGAGGGTGAGTGGTTCCTGTTCTCGCCTTTGCCTACCTAGTCCGAACGAGGAAAAACTTCGCCGGAAACATTGAGGATGTTCTCTGCCTCTCACTCATGGCCGTCCTCGCTTGTTTGAGATGGATGTTTTATGAGACCCAGCTGTTGACTTACATAATATGGGCGCACACGCATTGGCATTGGCATTCGACCAAGATAGTGGTCAACAGAGCCCTAACCCCGGTTCATACTCCTCCCGCCTTGCCCCGCCCCGCCCCACGCTGGTGCTACGTGTTCAACCTGGCTTTCATCCTGATTGTTTAATGACTGCTGGTACCGGTGCGTACGACGATCGGGCCGCAGAATTACCGGCACCCACACCATCACCGACAGCCGCTGGTGAGGCCTTCTATGTTGTGATTCCTGGGAAAAGGATACATATTTCAGGCGGAAAGTGTGGAGGAAATATCGAAAGTAACAACAACAACGATTCCCCTAAACGTCGTCACGCGAACCCTTCTAACACTCTCACGTCGACGATGGGCAAACAGATGTTATCATCTCGTGTGGATCTTGGGAGTGTGGTGCTGGATACACGAACATAGAACGCGACTGTTCTACGGACCCGTCGCCTCATTCGCGGAGGAGGCTGCGAAGTTCCCTAGACTCTGGCAGTAACGATGTGTTGTACAGCACCGATGGATACACGACCCTCGGAAACTACCCCATGTGTCGCCAAGACAATTGCTGCGAGGGTGAGTGGTTCCTGTAAATGCCTTGAGCAGCCCTTTGGCGTCGAGAAACAACTGTCGTAATGTTCGGGTTAGCCCCGCCACCCCAATAGCCCTGTCATAATTGCTTTGTTCCAGTGTACCGACTTCCTGCTTTCGATGTCATCGCCGCAGTTGCAAAAGCCCTTGAATTGCGTTGCCTCTGCCGCGGAACAATCACCGTTCTGGCCGCCTTGACATTGCTTTCAAGGAACATACGTAAATGCCTTTGTCTACCTAGTCCGGACGAGGGAAACTTCTCCGGAAACATTGGGGATGTTCTTTGTCTCTCTCTCATGATTGTCCTCGGTCGTTCCGTGACAAGCATTCTAAGATGATGGGATTGCAACAATCCTCAGTGCTCTATCAGACCCAGCTGTCGACTTAATATGGGCGCACACCCATTGGCATTGGCATTCGCCCGAGATAGTGGTCTACAAAGCCCTAACCCCGGTTCATACTCCTCCCGCCTTGACCTGCCCCGGCCCACGCTGGTGCTACGTCCATCGCCCTGATTGTTATATGGCTGCTGGCACCGGTGCGTACAACGATGGGGCCGCAGAACAACCGGCACCCACACCATCACCGACAGTCCCTGGTGAGGCCATCTCTGCACCCGCAGACGTCAGGGGGTGGCAATACAAAGCTTCACTGCTGTCCATGGAACCCACCAGGGTTCGCGTGTGGGCGTCGAGGGGATTGCTGTCGATTCGATGCTTCTTTCTTCACCGCTGATCACCCATACTAGTAAATATTGGCAGTTTCATGAAACCGTGTGCCTACATGCTGCTTTCCATAGGGGTCGATAGACTAGGCATGATCCGTTCGGGGCGTGTTAGTTCCTGACGATTGGGCGTTCCAAGCTGCAAGTCATGCCATGTCCATACAGGCTTGTCGATCCTTGAAGCGATGAGCCTGAGCGGCGTCCAATCAGATGGGCTTTTCGTTGCTCGCGAAACTTATTCGAATATAATCTGCCGGTATCCAACATCTTCTGTCGACACTTCGCAACCTGACTAACTTGTGGTCGGTTTCGTACCCGCTACGTCGGTCGCCAAATGAGTTTTTTCCCACTCTAGAGTAGCTCAATACGGCATATTTGCAACACGTAAGGCTGAGAACCTCCAAGGACGCACCATGCTTCCTTCACAGTGTACTACCACGCCATTCGTTTTCTAGGCCCTACGCCGGCTCCTAGTCCTACCCCGGAACCCGTCCAGGGAGGACCGCTTTCACTGGGGTGCTTCAATGATGACGGCGACGACCGCATCATGGATGACCGCGCTCTTGTCGACACTTCGATGACCACCGAGGTGGTATTATTCCGTCTTTGAATACCCCAGGCAGGCTGACGGCCTCACCACGCGAGACTTTGTGCCAACAGGGTTTGTGTTCTTGAGGCCCAAATTTCTTGGTTCGCACGCCCACGTACGGTTTTCCCCGGACAGCGTACGTCGCATATTTAATGCTTTCATGTGCAGCCATATGGATAGATCTACCGCATACAAAATCCTCTGGTACAATCGCGATGACACGTTGGCATAGAGACACTTGTGGCCTGCCGAGCGCGCAGGACCTGCACGGGTGCCACACACTGAGGTTTTTGACCACAGCCCTCTCGTGTTCTTCGTTTGTCCCGGTGCTGCCCCTCAACATCATGTCAGCTGTGCGAGCTCACGTGCGCCGGGTCTTCCTACTTCAGCACTCAGTACGGACGAGAGGTGAAGTTGACAGACACCTCGGTGTACTCTCGTGGGGCGGCAGAAGGCCGCAGAGGAAGTACAATTTCATAGGAGGAGTGCCCAGGCGAGTGATTACGTGACGAGCGTTCACGCCGATTCTGCGCACGCGTTCATATCGTACATGTTGGGTCTCGGCCACCCAAAAGTTCAGTCGTAACGCCGAATACGCCGTCTCCTTTTGCCCGCTCGCCGGCCGTATGCCGACATCATCACCACCACCACCACCACCGCCGTCACCAAAAGTGTTGGTGTGGGCCGGCTGGCACCGACTACGAAAAGCATGGGGAGTCGACTGAGTGCACCTATGAATGCCCCGGGAACCCAGACGAGACATGCGGAGGCTTCTACGCCGCCAGTGCCTACGCCTACTCGACGGTGGAGCCAACGCCCACGTTTTCCTATGTGGGATGCTTCCAAGACGACCAGGACCGTATCATGGAGCTCGCGCTGACGGAGAGTTCTTCCATGACCACGGAGGTACGTAGGTGTAGGAGTAGGAAGAGGTTCTTCAGTCCATACCACGTCGTCGTGGCACGCTCAGTCTTTTCAGTCATGGTGCCGAATGGCCTGTAGGACTCTCGCTCTCGTGTGAGTAGAACTCTCACTCATGTTTCTGGCACCAATACAGCATGGTTGTCGATGCCCTGCGTCCGGGCTGAGGCATGTGGTTATCATTTGGAGCTGCAATGGTCGCCACATTCACTCGGTTGTCCGATTTTTCAGCAGGGTTGTTTGGCTGTAACACAGCACCTGTGATGCACGTGTTGTTTGCAGTATGTACGGGTGGCAGAATAGAGGGGACTTTGCGTTGTCGCGGTTGGCATTGGTGAAGCTTTGCTCGCCGTCTTCCTTGCTGCAATCGAACTGGTGTACATATAGTACCGTTGCTCAATTTCAACCCGCTTTTCCCGGTGCTGCCCCTCAACATCATGTCAGCTGTGCGAGCTCACGTGCGCCGGGTCTTACTACTTCAGCACTCAGTACGGACGAGAGGTGAGGTTGGCAGGCGCTTCGATGTACTCTCGTGGGGTGGGGGAAGGCAGAAGAGGGGGCAAGACTCCATAGGAGTGCCCAGACGAGTTTCAAACATATTCTTCTAAGCAACTTAAATGACTAGCGTTCACGCCGATTCTATGCACGCATTCACACATGTTGGGCCTCGGCCACCCAAAAGTTCAGTCGTAACGCCGAATACGCCGTCTCCTTTTGCCCCCTCACTGACCCTATGCCACCAACACCACCACCACCGTCACCAAAAGTGTTGGTGTGGGCCGGCTGGCACCGACTACGAAAAGCATGGGGAGTCGACTGAGTGCACCTATGAATGCCCCGGGAACCCAGACGAGACATGCGGAGGCTTCTACGCCGCCAGTGTCTACGCCTACTCGACGGTGGAGCCAACGCCCACGTTTTCCTATGTGGGATGCTTCCAGGACGACCAGGACCGCATCATGGAGCTCGCGCTGACGGAGAGTTCTTCCATGACCACGGAGGTACGTAGGTGTAGGAGTAGGAAGAGGTTCTTCAGTCCATACCACGTCGTCGTAGCACGCTCAGTCTTTTTCAGTCATGGTGCCGAATGGCCTGTAAGACTCTCGCTCTCGTGTGAGTAGAACTCTCACTCATGTTTCTGGCACCAATAAAACGTAGTTGCCGATGCCTTGCATCCGAGGCAAGCGGGCTGAGGCATGTGGTTAACGTTTGGAGCTGCAATTGTCGCCACATTCACTCGGCTGTTCGTTTTCCGTTTTACGGCAGGGCCGGCTGTCACAGTACGTGGTGCACGTGTTTGTTTGCCTGATATGCTGGTGGCAGAATAGAGGGGACTTTGCGATGTAAGGGTTGGCATTGGTGAAGCTTTGCTCGCCGTCTTCCTTGCTGCAATCCAACTGGTGTATTACCTTGGCGCAATTTCAACCCGCTTGTTCCGGTACTGCCCCTCAACATCATGTCAGCTGTGCGAGCTCACGTGCGCCGGGTCTTCCTACTTCAGCACTCAGTACGGACGAGAGGTGAGGTTGACAGACACCTCGGTGTACTCTCGTGGGGCGGCAGAAGGCCGCAGAGGAAGTACAATTTCATAGGAGGAGTGCCCAGGCGAGTGATTACGTGACGAGCGTTCACGCCGATTCTATGCACGAGTTCATATCGTACATGTTGGGTCTCGGCCACCCCATAATTCATCGTAACGCCGAATACGCCGTCTCCTTTTGCCCGCTCGCCGGCCGTATGCCGACATCATCACCACCAACACCACCACCACCGTCACCAAAAGTGTTGGTGTGGGCCGGCTGGCACCGACTACGAAAAGCATGGGGAGTCGACTGAGTGCACCTATGAATGCCCCGGGAACCCAGACGAGACATGCGGAGGCTTCTACGCCGCCAGTGTCTACGCCTACTCGACGGTGGAGCCAACGCCCACGTTTTCCTATGTGGGATGCTTCCAGGACGACCAGGACCGTATCATGGAGCTCGCGCTGACGGACAGCTTTTCCATGACCATGGAGGTACGTAGGTGTAGGAGTAGGAAGAGGTTCTTCAGTCCATACCACGTCGTCGTAGCACGCTCAGTCTTTTCAGTCATGGTGCCGAATGGCCTGTAGAACTCACACCCGTGTTTGAGTAGAACTCTCACTCAAGTTTCTGGCACCAATACAGCGTGGTTGTCGATGCCCTGCGTCCGGGCTGAGGCATGTGGTTATCATTTGGAGCTGCAATGGTCGCCACATTCACTCGGTTGTCCGATTTTTTAGCTGGGTTGTTTGGCTGTAACACAGCACCTGTGATGCACGTGTTGTTTGCAGTATGTACGGGTGGCAGAATAGAAGGGGCTTTGCGTTGTCGGGGCTGGCATTGGTGAAGCTTTGCTCGCCGTCTTCCTTGCTGCAATCGAACTGGTGTACGTAAGTACCTTGACACAATATTCGACCCGTCCGAAGAGGGGGGGTGGTCTTGAAAGGTGCGTCTATTTTCAGTTACTCTGGCGCCAGCTCCGCATAGACGGGTAGACACCTCAGCAACAGCTTGGGCAATCGTTCCAGGAGACCCGTCCTTCTCATCGATCGATAAGGAGAGCATGCCAAGATCATGACTGGGACGCCAGCAGTCGGTCGAAGCATGGTAAATCGATTGATGAAACGAGACCTGGGAGCCACATGCACAGGGAGCCACATGTACATAGAGTAAACGTGTGGCTGAACACCGTGGAGATTGAAGGATTGCTTCCTTGAGGGCCTGACGCACCTCTTCCTTGTTATCCTTCCTCTTGTGGGCGTTGTGCTGCGGCCCTGCTCTTTCACCCTGCAGATATGCGAGGCCGAGTGCACCGGAAGCGCGTACGTCGGTCTGCAGTACGGGCGAGAGGTCAGACACCGGCAGAGTCAAAACGTTACCATTGTCCCACCCCGCTTGACTTTCCCTCGTTCACTTGATCAATGTCGAACTGTTCGTGTGAGTGCGTATGTAGTCGGATCTGTAGACGAGATGACAGTTTCAGGTGCACTGCACATAGGTATGCGTTGGGTAGTACGACCAGAGAATGATTGTGCGGAGCCCCCACGCCAGCTGCTGTCAGCTGGCGTGCGCGTGGCACTCCCTGCTCTTTCCCCCCCAACCGGGTGTGAGAGATAACAAGCATCTAAACATCAAGCACTACAATCTCTACAAAGACAACAAGGGCATACCACTTAGGGTTGACGAATACTCTAGAGTTTCCTTCGAAGGAGCCCCTTTGCGGAGATTATGCCTGGCGACACTCCAGCGAGCGAAGGCGGCGGAACCACGATCGACACGCGCGTGGCGGAGCTGTCCACGAGGCTCGAGGAGCAAAGCAAGGTGCTGTCGGCTGTCATGGAGAAGCTAGGGCAACTTCAGATGTCGCCTGCCAGGGCGGCGGGGGCAGAAGAGGGGGAGTCAAGCGGCGCTGGCAACGCCGCAGGGCGCGGAGGAGCCGCGCCGGGCACACGGTTTGGGGTGCCACCCGGTGGAGTCGGGGGAGTAGGTTCCCCGGGCCACCCATCCGCTGCCCCCCCGCTGGGAAGCAATGCGCAGGGATTTTGGATGCAGGGGGTGATGGACAAGATGTCATCGCTGCTGCAGGCAATAACAGATTGCGGAAGCCGAGGGGGGCCAGGCGGTGCTGGAAGACGCGCCGCATCCTGCGGTGGGATTGTTGGAATCTCGCCGCCAGGCAGCTGCCTATCAGAGCTGCACGCTGTAGCTGGCGTTAGAACAGATGACGCCGCTGGAAGAGAGAGCAGCAGTAGATCGGGCACGGAAGGTGTACCGGTGCGGGCGTTTGACGTCCCTGCAAATGGTGGGTTTGGTGGGTTCCAGACCATCGACTTTCTCTGTACGGTTGGCAGCTCTAGCAAAAGGCGCTGCTGGGGGTAGCTTGACTGCCCCGGGCACACGGGACGAGGTGTCAGGAGGTGGAGCCTGGAGGGTAATCCTTCGGGGCCACAAATATGAGCGACCTGTTGGGACCGGCCCAGTTACAAGGCAGCAACGGGGCGGCGGCGTCGGCGGTGGAGTAGCGGGCGGCACAACACACGAGCCTGTTGATCGCGGGAAAAGTACTCGCTCCGGGAGAACTGGAGGATTGCAGTCATGGCGATTCTGGTGAACGTGGAATTGCCGCAGAGGAGCAAGGGCGAGACCGCGAAATCTGCTGTGCTTTTGAACGAGGGCCAACAACAACGCGGCGTTACCGCGGGGCGCTTCTTTCTGGTTGAGTTCGTGAGTGATATTGAATGATTTTGCTTGCGACGAATGATACCGAAAGTTTCTACAGGGGATTCGCGGTTAAGGCGTTTCCATTTTCTGATTTGGTGTTCGTAGAGTGATGGTAGCTTCGCTTACGATGATGCGACCAATGATGTTTTTCGAAAGGGGATTCGCGGTCCAGGCGTTTCCATTCTTGAGTGTGGGTGTTTTGTCGAGCAATTCTTGTTCGTCTTTTCCGATGGTAAAATCCAGGCGTGTTATCGCGGGTGTTTCGTACGACGATGGTAATTCGGCTCCAAAAACCAGCCGCTCTATGATGGGGACTCGCGGTACAGGCGCTTCGATTTCATGATGTCCGCGGGCGATGAAAACTTTGTCTGGGGCAGAATAAAAAGGGGTACGCGGGACCAGGCGTATTAAACGAGGGGATGCAGCGTAGGCGCTCCCCACAACCGATGATAATTCACGCACAGAGGTAAACCAGTATCTAGCGTGGAGGTTGAACAGAAGGGGTGCACAGGACCAGGTGTATCAGATGAGGGGATGCAGCAAAGGCGCTCCCGACAGCCGATGAAAACTTACGCACAGGGGTAAAACAGTATCCAGCGTGTCGGCTGAAGAGAAGGGGTACACAGGACCCGGTGTATCAAAGGAAGGGATGCAGCACAGGCGCTCCCGGCAGCCGATGAAAACTTACGCACAAGAGGTAAAGAGTATCTAGCGTGTCGGCTGAAGAGAAGGGGTACACAGGATCCGGTGTATCAAAGGAGGGGATGCAGCACAGGCGCTCCCCGCGGTCGATGAAAACTCACGCACAGGGGTAAAACAGTATCCAGCGTGTCGGCTGACAAAAAGGGGGTACACGGGACCCGGTGTATCAAAAGTTACAGACACCGGCGCAGGTGAAATTGTGCTGGCGTCAACATGAGGTGGAACTGGGGAGGGGAGGACACAAATGTAGGTGACATTTCCGTTGTTGCTGCTGGTAGGTGTGGACCCATGTACCAGATACATCACCTTGTGTGCGTGAGGTGGAAATGGGGAGGGGAGGACACTGTTATACTGCTGTAGGTGACATTTCCGTTGTTGCTGCAGGTAGGTGTGGACCCATGTACCAGACGTATCCACCTTACTGAGGGATTCGCAGTAGCAAGGCGTCTCCACAATCTATATCAGTGTTTGTCTTGTAGAAGGGGAGAAGCCCCATGATGAGAATCACTGTGTTTGTCTGTAGGAGGAAAAGAAGCCTCAGCAATGACAAGTTCTCGATGCAGTATATAGTCAAGCGTGTTTTCCGCGAGCGTTGAATGAAGGAGGTATTGTGTGTGGCGTACCACTCGCAGCAAAGAGCGAGGGAGGTTATCGCACGACATGATGGACCGCAGTTTTCTTCGAGTGAGGGAGAGCAGCCATACCGACGCGTGCTGTATGACGGGTGAGAATTGGAACTTTGTTTTTTCTGAGAGTCTAAGAGTTGTGTGTGAGCAGGCTGAAGTTTGAATTTCTGAGAGTCGGAGTAAGAGTTGTATGCAAGAAGGCTTATCATGCTTGATGTGTTTGACAAAACAGCTGTCCCAGGATGATAGCATTTACCACCGACCCCGGGGGCGCGCGATGCGCCGGAATCAAGGGGGAGGGAGGAAGTTAGGTGCTCAGATCATCGATAGTTGTTCGTCGAGCGGGGAGGGCAAGTAGGAGTAAATCGCAACAGACTTTTGTTTGGGCTTTGTTGGAGTAAAATCGTGGCAGTGGCTGCAGACTTTTTGGACTTTGTTGGGTACTAGGGGAAATGTGATATTGAAACGTGGCGGGAAGTTTACCCGGATCGATGACGTTGTCGGAGTTATCCTGTTTGCGTCTCTATCTTGCTTTTTAGTAGTACCATCCTTTGGAGGGAGGGGTTTTGACCCGGTGGCCGGGTTTCCCCTTAGGTTTTTATTGATTTGTTGTTTTTGCGGAAAAAACCTGACTTGAGGTGGCGGAAGCACGCATCCCACAGAAGAAGTGGTTAGTTACTTTAGTGTAAAGAACCAGGGAGGGTGTTCGTGTGAGTGCGTATGTAGTCGGATCTGTAGACGAGATGACAGTTTCAGGTGCACTGCACATAGGTATGCGTTGGGTAGTACGACCAGAGAATGATTGTGCGGAGCCCCCACGCCAGCTGCTGTCAGCTGGCGTGCGCGTGGCACTCCCTGCTCTTTCCCCCCAACCGGGTGTGAGAGATAACAAGCATCTAAACATCAAGCACTACAATCTCTACAAAGACAACAAGGGCATACCACTTAGGGTTGACGAATAGAACCATCTTCGAATTAGAGCGAGCGACGGGATCCTTTGAACCAACATTGGACACCACCAAACATGCACATTCTTTGATACGTAATAACAGGGCAGTTGTCGGGTACACTTTGATGCGTACTGTTGACATGGCGCCATCTATCCCTGTTCGTAATATTGTCTCGCTCGTCGTAGTGCTGGTGCGGTGACCAAGACTCGGACTTAGTGAAGCATGGGGAGTCTACTGCCTGCGACTACGAGTGCCCGGGGAACCCAGACGAAATCTGCGGAGGCTTTTGGGCGATGAGCGTATACGAGATGAACTAGCTCCCTGCTCAGTTGGATCGATTTTCGTTGAATGTCTGTTGCGGATCTATGGAAGTTCAACGACGCACGGCGGATTTGTTTTCTTCAAGCGTATCAATAATAAGCCATCATCGGCTTAATTTTCGGCGTCGTGAAGCATGCCGGTAGGACGTCTTCAGCGATAGACGTGGTGTATCTCTAGGGATGGGGTGTATTGTGCCGCGCGCCATTTCGTTGTCGTGGACGGAAAATGGGTGATGGGTCAACGTTGAGATACCGTATGACTACATGTACTGCTACGAAGGGAGCTAGAGAGAGCACCAACAACATCATGAACGATGCGTTTCGCTTCGGCGATCGAACGATCGACACGTTGAGGGTTTGGGACAGTTTTAGGGTAAACTTGTACGGTCAGTTTCCAGTAAAAGCGGAGGTATCACAGATAGAGTATGGCGGATGGGTTTAGAGCCAGGGTTGTGACGACGCGCCCTCTCTAAGCGTATTTCGCGACAAAACA